GGACGACACGCTGAGGCTCAGGACCGCGGCGCGCGCGCGGTGCACGGACAGCGGCGCGCCGCTCGCCGCGTCGAAGATGGCGACGGCGCCCGCCGCGGCGCCGAGCTCGCCGCCGACGACGAGGCGCACCTGGGGCGCCGCGGGCGCGCCGCCGGCGGCGCCGCCCGCGGGCGGCGCGTGGCAGAACGCGACGGCGAGCGCCGCGAGCCACGACTGGCCGCCCTGGGCCGCGTCGTCGAGCTGGCGGTCGCAGACGACGGAGCCCGTGCCGAGCTCCGACATCTCCGCGAGGACGACGCGCGCGCCGCCGCAGACGGCGACGTAGTGGCGGTCGAGCGCCGCCGCGACGGTCGTCGCGACGCACTTGGCCTCGGACCCGCAGTCGAGGCGGAGCTCGCGGACGACGGCGTGGGCGTCGTCGGGCGCCTCGTCCTCGATCCGCGCCTGCGCCGGCGTCGGCGACTCGCGGTAGAGCGGGTTCGCCGTCGCGAGGTTGAGGTCCACGACGGCCGCGACGGACGCGCGGGCCACCACGAGCTTGTCGCCGAGGTGGTTCCAGCAGACGCCGACGCACGCCGTCGGCGTCGTCGGCGGCCGCGGCGGCACGGGCCGGTCCGGCGACACGCCCGCGAAGGGCGCGCGGTGGTTGTAGAGGTCCGCGAAGCCCCGGAGCCGCACGCGCTGGAGGCTGTCGCCGTTGTGGCCGTCGATGACCTCGACGATGCCGTCCACTCTTGAGATCGCGAGGCGCCGCCCGTTGTCGTCGGGGCTGTACGCGAGGCTCAGCACGCGCGCCTCGCGGTGCGTCGCGAAGGTCCGCGTGCCCGTCGCCGCGTCGCAGGAGCACACGAAGCCCTGCTGGCTCGCGCGGCCGCCGGGCGCCGACGCCGCGCCGGCCGCGGCGACGCGGTAGCCGTCGCCGGCCCAGGACACGCACTCCACGGCGCAGCCCTGGGTCCCGTCGACCTCGCAGACGAAGGCGCTGTTCGTCTGCACGACGGCGGCGCCGTTCGCGCCGACGCGCGCGAGGCAGATGAGCTTCCCGTCCGGCGAGAGCGCCACGGAGAGCGCGCCCTCGCACTCCACGGTGTGCAAGTTGTCCATGATTTGCGTAACGAGTTTGCGAAGCTGTGAGTCCGGCCTGGGCGGTGTGGCTCGGCGGCGGGTCACGCGGCGACGCGAGGTGGCGAAACTAGTGCGTCACGCGGCGACGCGGCGGTCGTCGTTGTGCGACCGAGTCTGACGGCGACCGCGGCGAGCGGCTTGGGCGCGGCGGCTCGGCGCGCGGGCCCTCACCTCGTCCGCGAGGGGGCTCAAACTCTAGCTAGCCTAAGTGCACCAACTCGACGTATCCGCCAGGAGCAGCATATTGTTAGCGCTTCTGCTGCAGCGGTGTGTTGGGCCGCGGCGCGGTCCTGTCGTCTCGCGGGGTCCGGGTCGGTATCTCGGTCGGGCGGCGTTCGTGCGCGGCGGCTTCGGGCGACCCCGCCTCCGGGCCTCTCGTTTGGCGGTGACCCTCTGAAAAGCGCGGACCACCACCATGGCGACGTCCCTGCTGCCCAAGGGGAGCGTCAAGCCCCAGCGGGCGGGCGACAGTATCCGCGGCAAGACCGTGAGCATGGTGGAGAATCACCTGAACAAGCAGCGGTCCGCCTACGACCAGTGGATCGCGGAGCTGTGCCGCGACGCCGAGGAGAGCGCGATGGAGCGCGACCGGCTCAAGGCCAAGCTCGCGGCGCTGCGCGAGGACCACAAGCGCAAGGTCATCATGAAGATCGTCGGGCGTCTGGGGAACATGCAGTACTACTGCGCCTGGAGCACGTGGTACAACGTCACCGTGAAGATGCACCAGCAGAAGATCGAGAAGACGATCCGCGAACTCCGGTCCGAGCTCGAGTCGACGAAGAAGAAGACGGAGGACGTCGAGGCCGAGGCCCAGCGCCGCGCCGACGAGGCGGCGAAGATGAGCCTGGGGGCGGCGTCCGAGTCGCAGCGCAAGCTCATCCTGAAGATCATGACGAAGCTCACGCAGGGTTTGGCGCGCCTCGGCTGGAACCAGTGGGCGAAGCAGGCCTTCGGCCACAAGATGCAGCAGCAGAAGATGAAGAAGATCATCAAGCGGCTCTACAACGCCCAGCTCAACAAGGGCTTCATCGCCTGGAAGACGATCACGCAGAAGTGGAACCTCTTCGCGAAGCTCGAGCTCAAGGAGCGGCTCATCAAGGAGCTCGCGGACCTGGAGCAGCGGGCCAAGGACTACAAGGTCGACGCGGAGAAGCGCCAGGAGGACGCCGCGGCCGCCGCCATGGCGCGGGCCACGGGCGCCCAGAAGGACCTGCTCATCAAGATCATGTCCAAGATGTGCGGCAACTACATGATGATGGGCTGGTCCGTCTGGAAGCTCCAGGCCGTGACCTTCAAGCACAACCAGCAGCTCCTCACGAAGATCATGATGCGCCTCGTGAGAATCAAGGAGCACAACGCCTTCAAGTACTGGCACATCGTCGCGTTCAAGATCATCGCGGACAAGCACAAGCTCCGCGAGGCGCTCCTCGAGAGCCAGCGCGACAACCTCGCGGCGACGCTCATGGAGCGCGCGGAGGAGCTCAAGAAGCTCCAGCAGGAGGCCGTCCAGCTCCTCCAGATGTCGCAGCAGAACGCCGCGGCGACGGCGTCCGTCATGGCCTGCAGCGACAAGTTCGCGGACCAGCTCCACCTCATCCTCGACCCCAAGGCCCTCGACAAGAAGGACGCGCCGTCCTACGAGGCCATGCTCCACGCCATGGGCGAGGGCGGCGCGCCGCCGCCGGACTCCGCGCAGCCGCCGTCGGCCTGGGGCGCCGCGCCCGCGGCCGAGAACCCCTACGCGCCGCGGGCGAACACGGCGCCGGCCGTCAACCCCTACGCGCAGCCGCCGCCGGCGAACCCCAACGGCATCCCCCAGATGCCGCCGGGCCTCGCGCCGCTCGCGCCGACGCCGCCCTACGGCGCGTACGGCGCCGCGCCCATGACGCCGTCCCTCGCGCCCCCCGTGGGCAGCCCGACGTCGCCGCCGGGCCTCGAGGGCTTCCAGGTCCTGCCCCCCGGCGAGTACTACTTCCGACCGACGACGGCCTCGAACTGAGGCCCCGGACGCGCGGCCCGCGCCGCGCGTTCGCGCGGAAGTCCGGGCTCCGCGCGCCGAGTCCACCAAGAAGCGCCCCCACGACCCCCCCATTCGACCCCCCTCTAAAGAACCGATTCAAGTGAACTGCGCCAGGGGGGGGCGGTGGTGCCCGGCAGGTTGGATCGGGGACGGCCCGAGAGCGGCACCATCGACGTTGAACATAACCTTGACGTTCGATCCGCGCAAGACCTTGAGCATGGCTGTGCCAGGATCGACCCGTTCTCGCAGCGCGTTGCTGCTCGTGCTCGCATCGTCGGCGCACGCCTTGGCGCTCAGCCCTGCGCAGTTGCAGCAGACGCCGCAGCTCTGCAGCCGCCGCGCGTCCCTCAGCCCCGCGCCGCCGCAGCAGCCGCAGCAATCGCAGCAGCGCTGCAGCCGCCGCGCGTCCTTCCTGCTGCCCGTCGTCGCGCTGCCGCTGGCGGCCTTCGCCGAGGGCGAGGAGGGCCGCTTGCTCGGCGAGGGCGCGGTCAGCGACGCCCCGGCGCCCTTCACGCAGCCGTTGCCGGAGCGCGCGAAGCGCGGCGTCTTCTCCTGCTTCGACAAGCGCGACGACGGCAAGTTCGTCGACGTCTGCAAGGAGCAGCGCATCGAGGAGGCGAAGAACGCGCCGCCCGTCGTGCGCAACGTCGAGCGCGACGTGGACATGGACAGCATCCGCGCGGTCCAGGCGGAGATCCGGTCGCGGCCGCGGCAGATCAAGAACCGCGAGACGCCCGACTGGCTCAAGGGGACGCGCGACACGACGAACGACGCGCGGCCGCGCTTCGACGGGTCCTGAGGCGCGTCGCCCCGCCGGGGGCTCGAAGTTAGAGACTCACTTAGGTGCAACGCCGCGGCGCAGGGGCGCGCGATCGGGCGGGTGCCGCGGCGGCGCTCGCGGCCGCCGCGGGGCCCGGCCGGGGCGGGCGCTGCTCTACCTGGACGCGACTGGGTCGGGCACGGGGGCCTCCTCCTCGGCGAGCTCCTGGACGGCGTTTTTGGGCTGGTCGATCTCGGACGGCGGCACGACCTGGACGAACTGCGTGTGGTCGAAGTCCTCGAGGAGCTCCTCGGCCCACTTGGAGCCCGTCGCCTCGAGGTGGTCCTCGATGAGGCCCCTGAGGCTGAGGGCCGCGGGGGACGCGGCGTCGACGATCCTCCGGCCCTTGACGTTGCCGCTGTTGAGCCGCGCGGCGACCTCGTCGTCGCCGTCGGGCGCGTAGAGGTACGCGACGCCGCCGGTCATGCCCGAGCCGATGTTGATGCCCGTCGGGCCGAGGACGACGACGATGCCGTTGGTCATGTACTCGCAGCAGTGGTCGCCGGCGCCCTCGATGACGGCCTGGACGCCCGAGTTGCGCACGCCGAAGCGGTCGCCGGACTGGCCGTTCGCGAAGAAGCGGCCCGACGTCGCGCCGTAGAGGCACGTGTTGCCGATGATGACCGAGTCCTTGGCGACGAAGTCGCCGTTGGCCACGGCCTCCTTCGGCGGGAAGATGGACACGTGGGCGCCGCTGAGGCCCTTGCCGACGTAGTCGTTCGCGTCGCCCTCGAGCGTGACGCGCATCTCCGAGACCGCGAACGCCGCGAACGACTGGCCCGCGGAGCCCCGGTAGTTGACCTCGACGGGCTGCACGGACCCGAGGGCCCGCCGGCGCCGGGCGATGTCGCCGGCGAGGCGCGTGCCGATGGCGCGGTCCGTGTTGAGGATCGCGTAGGGCTCGGACGACGGGCCGTCCTCGCCGAGGTACTGGTCGTCGAAGTGGCCGTCCGCGTTCGGGCCGAAGCTGTAGATGAGGGGCCGCGCCGGCGGCGGCTTGTACGGCGCCACGAAGGCCTCGCCGCCCAGGGGGCCGAACTCGATGGGCTTGAGCACCGTCGATTTCACGTCGAAGCGGTTCGTCTTCGGCAGCAACGCGTGCATCGCGGCCTCGTCGAGCGACTCCAACAAATCCGCGCGGCCGATGGCCGCGAGGAGCGAGTCGAGGCCCAGGGACCGCAGGATGTCCGCCGTCTCGTCGGCGACGCACTCGAAGTAGCGCGTGATGTCCTCGGGCTCGCCGCGGACGCGCTCCCTCAACTTCGACTTTTGCGTCGCGACGCCGACGGGGCAGTTGTTCGTGTGGCAGACGCGGGCCATGACGCAGCCCGCGGCGACCATGGCCACGGTGCCGAAGCCGAACTCCTCGGCGCCGAGGAGCGCGAGCTTGACGACGTCCAAACCCGTGCGGACGCCGCCGTCGGCCCGGACCGTGACGCCGTCGCGGAGGCCGTTCTCGACGAGCGTGTTGTGCACCTCGGCGAGCCCGAGCTCCAGGGGGCCGCCGGCGTGCTTGATGGACGAGATGGCCGCGGCGCCGGAGCCGCCGTCGTGGCCGCTGACCTGGATGACGTCCGCGCCGGCCTTGGCGACGCCGCACGCGACGGTGCCGATGCCGATGATGGACACGAGCTTGACGGAGATGCGCGCCGTCGGGTTGATGGCCTTGAGGTCGAAGATGAGCTGCGTCAGGTCCTCGATGGAGTAGATGTCGTGGTGCGGCGGCGGCGAGATGAGCGTGACGCCCTCGGTCGCCGCGCGGATGGACGCGATGTACGCGTCGACCTTGCCGCCGGGGAGCTGGCCGCCCTCGCCGGGCTTGGCGCCCTGGGCGACCTTGATCTCGATCTGGGACGCCGTGGCGAGGTAGGACGCCGTGACGCCGAAGCGGCCCGACGCGACCTGGCGGATGCGACTCACGGCCGTGTCGTCGGCGCGGATCGACTTGCCCTTGAGGTGCTTCCACGTCGTGTCGCGGTTGTCGCCGACCTTGTCGTTGCGGACGCTGTCCTCGCCGCCCTCGCCGGAGTTGGACGCGGCGCCGAGGCGGTTCATGGCCATGGCGAGCGACTCGTGCGTCTCGCGCGAGAGCGCGCCTGGGCAGGAAAAGAGTGCGAAATTCCCAACTTCAAAGGGTCCTATCTCGGCCGTTTTCCACTCGTTTCGGCTATTTTTTGGACGAGCGATCATCTCTCGGAGCGCTCTCGACACCTGGATGCTTTTTCCGAAACGCGCGCGCGCGGAACACTCACGTTGAAGCGACGTTGAATCACTCTTTTCCTGCCCTGGAGCGCGCCGAGCGACATGCCGCCCGTGACGAAGCGCGTGAAGATGGACTCGCGGGGGATGGCCGCCGTCGACGGCTCGGCGGCGTACTTGAGCGTCATGAGGTCGCGGAGCCCGAAGGGCGAGTCCTCGCGGAGCGCGGCCGCGAACGCGTCGTACTTGATTTTCCGCTCGGCCGCGTCGTCCTCGCGGACGGCCGCGTGGAGCAGCTTGGCGACCTTGGGCGAGTTGGCGTGCTCCTCGCCGCCGCGGCCCTTCTGCAACGCGTTGATGAACCCGAAGTTCGCGAGCTTGAACACCGGCAGGTCGTCGTCGTCGATCTCGTAACTCGCCGAGTTCACCATCGACTTCACCTCCTTCTCCATCTCCTCGAAATCCAACCCACCTAACCGGCTCGCCGTGCCCTTGAAGGCCACGTCCACGACCTCCGGATGCAACCCGACGCACTCGAAGATCTGGGCGCCGTGGTAGGACGACAGCGCCGAGATGCCGATCTTCGACATGATCTTCAAGACGCCCGTCTTGAGCGCCGCGCGCGCGTTCGCGACGCCCTCGGCGGGCGTCACGCCGTCGATCTTGGGCTTCTTGCCCTCCTTGGGCGGCGTCGTGAGCTGGGCCGCCACGCGGAAGAGCATGTAGGGGTGCACGGCCGACGCGCCGTAGCCGCATAAGGTCGCCACGTGGTGCGTCGACCAGACCTGCGCCGTCTCCACGAGGATCGAGCCCTTCAACCGCAAACCCGCGCCGATGAGGGCGTGGTGCGTCGCGCCCGTCATCACCAGCGGCGGCACGTAGAGGCGTTTGGAAGAGTCGAGGCCCTCGCCGAAGGATTTGTCGCTGAGGATCACGAGGCGCGCGCCGCCGGCGACGGCGTCGATGGCTTCTTGTGAAATTCTCGCCACGGCCTCCTTCAAGGTCTCCTGCGACGGGTCGTAGGTCGTGTCCAGCGTCTCCGCGAGCAGCTCCGTCTTGAGCACGTCGACCTCGCCCGCGTGGACGACGGGCGAGTCCATGCGAACCAGCAAATTCGAGCCGTCGTCCGTGCCCAGCGCCACGTCGACGCAGTTGGGCCGCTCGCCCATCCAGGTCTCCGTCGTCATGACGTGCTTCTCGCGGATGGGGTCGATGGGCGGGTTCGTCACCTGCGCGTGGCGCTGCTTGAAGTAGTCGTACGCCGGGTGCGCGAACGTCGACATCGCCGCCAGGGGCGCGTCCGCGCCCATGCAGTGCGTCGCCTCGCCGCCCGTCTTCACCATGGCCGTGACCTGCATGTCCACGTCCTCGGACCCCCACCCAAAGGCCGCCTGCGTGCGCAGGTCCCGGTCGCCGGGCACCGCGTACGCGGGCGCGTCCATGTCGTCGAGGCGGAAGCGGCGCTGGCGGTCGAGCGCCTCCTGCCACTTGGGGTTCGACGCGATGCGCGCCTTGACGGCCTTGTCGTCGTAGTAGCCGCCGTCGTTGGCGACCAAATCGATGAGGCAGGACATGCCCGGGCCCAAACGCTTCCGCTCGAGGATCTCGCTGTCCGGCGGCATGCCGGGGAAGAGCGCGTACGAGCCACTCTCGGACCCGAGGCACACGAGGCCGTCGCGGTAGCGCGTGATGCGCGCCGGGCGCAGGCCGTTGCGGTCCAGGCGCGCGCCGATGACGTTGCCGTCGGAGAAGCAGACCGACGCGGGGCCGTCCCACGGCTCCTGGAGCGGCGCGTGCAGGTCGAAGAAGACCTTCTCGTTCTCCGCGGGGATGGCCGGCGGCATCATCATGAGCAGCGACTCGTCGACCGTGCGGCCCGCGCGCGTGTAGAGCTCGAGGGACGCGTCCAAATTCGCCGAGTCGGATTTCGACGCGTCGACGACGGGGCCGAGGCTCTCGGGGTCGACGTACTCGCACGCGCGGTCCGGGTCCTCGGAGGAGCAGCCCGCGGCGATGGCGCCGAGGTCGCCGCCGGCGGCCTCGGCGCGGGAGACCATCCAGTTGACGTTGCCGCGGACCGTGTTGATCTCGCCGTTGTGCGCGATCAAGCGGAACGGCTGCGCGAGCGACCACCGGGGCATCGTGTTCGTCGAGAAGCGCCGGTGGTAGATGGCGAACTGGGACACGTAGTCCTCGGACTGGAGGTCCGGGTAGAAGAGCTTGAGGGAGGCGGCGTTGACCATGCCCTTGTAGATCGTGGTTTTGGAGGAGCACGACGCGACGTAGAGCTCCTCGTCGCGGTCCCAGGCGCCGCGGAGGCTGCGGCGGTAGAGGTAGAGCGCGCGCTCGAAGTTGCGCTCCGTGCGCGTCGGCGTGTCCGCGGACGTGCGGAGGAAGACGTGCGCGAAGTCCGGGCGGCCGAGCTCCGCGGCGACGCCGCAGACCGACGCGTCCACCGGCGTGTCGCGCCACGCGACGACTTCGAACCCCGTGGCCTCGGCGGCCTCGAGGACGACCTCCTTGGCGCGCGCCGCGGCCTCGGGGTCCCGCGGCACGAAGAGCGTCATGCAGCCCATGCGCTCGCCGGGGTGCGCCGCGCGCCGCTCCTTTAAGCGCGGCGTGTCCGCCTCGTAGACCTCCCAGGGGATCTGCGTCATGATGCCCGAGCCGTCGCCGGAGATGCCGTCGGCGGAGCACCCGCCGCGGTGCTCGTTGGCGCAGAGGCAGTTCGTCGCCGCCTCCATGACGCGGCGGCTCGGCCCGCCCTTGCTCTCGGCGATGAACCCGACGCCGCACGCGTCGCGCTCCGTGTCGAGGGCGCGCTCGACGGACGTCATGTCGTACTTCCACGCGGCGAGCTGGGAGGCCTTGCCCGGCCGGGCGACGTGTAAGCGCGGCGCGACGAGGGCGCCCGCCGACGCGGCGAGGGCCAACAGCGCGGCGGCGTGGTTGAACGGAGCCATCGCCGTCGCGCGCGCGCGGTGCGTCTTCTTTTTTGGTCTCGAGCGGCTATGCGTGAGCCGCACGTATCACGCGAGGGCACGCTGCGTTACCGTCGGAACGAACGGCGGCGCGTGGCCGTCAGCTCAAGCTCTGTTGCCGCGACGAAGCTCGGGCGCGATCGTGACGGCGGTGGTTATGCCGGCCTGGTGGCGCTGTTGCACATTATCGCCGGGGCAAAAAGCCCTTCGAGGCGTCCTTAGCTCCGCCTCGTCTATCACCGCTCCGCATCCCTGCATACTGGTATTTACGCCCCCCCCAGGCAGGATAGCGGTGGCCCACCTCCGCACGGGGGACGCACCAGGCTTTGCTGCCAGCGTCGCGAGTCCGCGGCGGCCTGAGAAAGTGAAGGCCTCCCCACAACTCAAACGAAACGCGCCAGGAAGTCCCCCAATTAGGCTGCGCGACGCGCTGGGCGCGCCGCGCCGCGCCGCACCCGGGCCGACCTCGCTAGGCCTCCGCGGCCTCGGCGTCCGCCTGCGCCTTGTTCGCGACCCAGAGGCCGCTCTTCTCGCAGGCGTCCATGTGCTTCTTCGCCTCGTCGGGCGTCATGGCCTCGAGGGCGACCTGGAGCATGGCCATGTCCTTGGCCTCGAAGGCCTCCTGCATGGACTGCGGGAGGGTCTCGAAGACCTCGACGGGGTCGAGTCCGCCCGGGCCGACGCGCTCCTCCTTGGACAACACCTCGTAGTCGTCGTCGCCGCCGCCCTCGGCGGCCTTGGCGGCGTCCATCTCCTTGCGCTTCTCCACGGCCCGGTTCTCGATGCGGGACGCGAAGCCCGCGACGGCCTCCTCGAAGCCCTTGCGGTACTGCTCCTCGGCGATGCGCTTGAAGAAGGGCAGCACGACGTCGCGCGGGTGGCGCTGGAGCGACGTCGCCAGCTCCGTGACGTGGCTCAGGATCTGCGAGTTCCGCGCGGACAGCACCATCTTGTCGTGGTAGCCGTTCATCTCGTCCTCGAGGCACGAGAGGAGGATGTAGGACTGCGCGTGCTCGTGGAGCAGCGTGCCGCCGTGCTCGTGGATCTTGCCCTTGCACTGCTCGATGTCGCGCGTCGCGAGGTAGTCCTCGAGCACGGCCTCGTGCTCCTCCACGAAATTCGAGTACGACTCGACGGCGTCGCGCTCGGACGTCGGCCCGATCTTGCCCGACGCGCCCTTGGCGCCCGACACCATGCCGCCCACGAGGTCCGACGGGTCCGAGCCCTTGCCCGAGATGATGGTCTTGTTGTGCGTCACCGTGCCCATGTTGTCGACGTTCCACTTCTTGTTCTTCTCCATGAAGTCGATCTTGTCGACGCGCTCCTTGACGCGCGTGCGCACCTCGACGAGCTCGCCGCTCAACGCCTCCTCGTCCTCGTACTCCGCCGCCTCGCCGCCGGCCTTGATCTCCGCGAGGATCCGCAGGATCTCGGACTCGCGCTCGCCGTCGGCGCGGTTCTCCGCCTCCATCGACTTCCGGTCCGCGGCCTCCGTGTCCTCGCGCTCGACGCGGGACCGGTGCTTCATGCGGAACCACGACGCCTTGTCGATGTTCGGGTGGCAGTCCGCCTCGTCGTCGCTGATCTCGATGTTGTCCCACTTCGAATAGTCGAATGCCATCTTCGACATGATTGATTCGGCGAGTTCGGTTCCTTCGCACCGGGTGTTCTCTTGGTTGGCGGCGGCGCGGCGCGGAGGCGGCGACGCGGGAGCGGACGGGGCGGCGAGCGCGAGCAGAGACGCGCGTCGAAGCACCTGGGCGCCGCTGTGGCTTAGCGAATCGAGGGCGGGCGCGCGGCTCTCGGCGTCCGGCTGTGGCAAGACTGCTCCTTGCCTGCTCTTTGCCGCCGCGCGCCTGCGACATGGACGCGCACCTGGCGCGCAAGCGCCCGGCCGGCGACGCGCCGCAGCCGGCGCCGAAGAGGGTGGAGCTCCTGGCCTTTAGCAAGGCCTCGGCGTACTACGGGTCGCGCAAGGGCTATGTGTTCAAAATGGGCGACGAGGGCTTGGGCTACTACTTGGACGACAAGCAGCTCGCGAAGGAGCGCGCCCTCGAGGGCCTCGAGGGCCCGGGCATCCCGCAGACCGCGCCCGTCGCCGCGGCGGACAGCGACGACGAGCGCGACGCCGCGCCGGCCGCGCCGAGCCGCGCGGCGATCATCGCCGCCGCGGACCTGCCGAGCCCCGCGGCGAGGCCCGCGGCGGCCTTCGACCCCTACGCGGACCTGCCGCCGCCCGCGGCCAAGGCGCCGCCGAAGCCCAAGGCGGCCGCCGCGGCCGCGCCCGCGGCGGCCGGCGACCGCGGGCCCGTCAAGGTCTTCGCGCCGGGCCTCTTCAAGCTCGAGAAGGTGCACTGCCTCCACGTCGTCCGCAAGCACCGCGACTCGCGCAACCCGACGTCCTGGCGCAACCCGGCGAAGCGCGTGACGCGGAGCGTCGACGACGCGACGGACGAGCTGCGGATCGCGCGGTCGAAGCTCCTCGCCGCGCCGTCCTACCGCCGCGAGGACCTCTTCAAGGAGCTCGCCAAGGCCCAGTCGGACTGCGGCTCGGCGAAGAAGGGCGGCGACCTCGGCTTCTTCCGCCGCGGCAAGATGAGCCCGCCCTTCGAGGTCGCCGCGTTCAACCTCGACGTCGGCGAGCTCTCGAAGACCGTCGCGTCGTCGTCGGGCGTCCACCTCATCTACCGCGTGGCGTAACGTGGCGTTTTATACTCGGGGTCGTCGTCGGAGGCGTGCGAGGTATTGTGTCGACGAGCGCCGCGGATCCCCGGCCAGCGACTCGCGGATTTGAGCTGATGGGCTCGACTGCAGTAGTGCCCTCCTCTGTCTCTCCCTGAGCCAGCAGAGAGCGTACGTCGACCACGCAGCGTTGCGCGCAACCGCGCACGGGAGACGCGCTTGAAGCGCTCGCGAAACCTCGTCTCGGGAGCGCAACCGCACGCGCCGCGCGGTGCGCCAACGCCACTTGTGTAAGCGATGGCCGAGGTGACGGAGCAGGAGACGAACAACCAGGTCGTCGAGCGGTTCTGCCGGTTCCTGCTCGACTTTAGCCCCGGTGCGAGCCCCGAGGACGCCGACGACGACGGCGGCGGGTGCGGCGGCGGCAAGCGGCCGTACGCGTCGCAGCTCGAGGGCATGGTCGCGGCCGAGGAGGGCGCGACGGTGCGCGTGGACTTCGCGGAGCTCGAGCAGCACGACAGCGAGCTCGCCCTCGCCATCGAGTCCGAGTTCTACCGCTTCGAGGTCTGCGCGCGCGCGGGCGCGAAGCGCGCGTACCGCGAGGTCTACGAGCGGTCCGTCGGCGCGGCGCGCGACGGGCCCGCGGGCGGCGACCCCCTCGACGCGAAGAATCTGTTCGTCTGCTTCCGGAACCTGCACCGCGACGCGGCGAAGCTGCGGGACCTGCGGAGCGACAAGGTCGGGTCGCTCGTGCGGTGCCGCGGCGTCGTCACGCGGACGAGCGACGTGCGGCCGGAGCTGCTCGCGGGCTCCTTCCTCTGCCTCAAGTGCGGCCTCCAGGCCGACGACGTCGAGCAGCAGCTCCGCTACACGACGCCGACGATCTGCCGCAACCCGCAGTGCAACAACGCGTCCGCCGCCGCGTGGCAGCTCCAGATGGAGCGGAGCCGCTTCGCGGACTGGCAGCGCGTGCGGCTCCAGGAGGCGCCCGACGAGATCCCCGCCGGGTCCTTACCCCGGTCCATGGACGTGCTCGTGCGCGACGAGATGGTCGAGCAGGTCAAGGCCGGCGACAAGATCGTCGCGACGGGGTGCCTCGCGGTCATGCCCGACACGGGCGGCCTCGCGCGCGCGGGCGAGGCCACGGTGAGTAGCCGCACGGGCCAGGACGGCATGGCCCAGGGCGTGACGGGCACGAAGCAGGCCGGCTCCCGCGAGATGACCTACCGGCTGCTCTTCATGGGCAGCTCCATCGAGCGGTCCGACGACGTCGGCGGCGACGCGGCGCTGCGCGAGGACGAGGAGGACGAGGCGCTGCGCGCGCTGGAGACGGCGGGGGGCGTCACGGACGACCCGGACCGCATCATGACGCCCCGCGACGCCCGGGACCAGGTCGTCGCGCGGCGCATGCGCCAGCACCCGCGCGTCTACGACGCCTTGGCCGAGTCCGTCGCGCCCGCGGTCTACGGCCACAAGGACATCAAGCACGGCGTGCTGCTTCAATTGGTCGGCGGCGTCCACAAGCGCACGCACGAGGGCATCAAGCTCCGCGGCGACGTCAACGTCTGCATCAGGGCAGCAAAAGAGAGCGAAATTCCCAACTTCAAAGGCTCCGATCTCGGCCGTTTTCCACTCGTTTCGGCTGATTTTTGGACGAGCGATCATCTCTCGGAGCGGTCTCGACGCGTGGGCGCTTTTCTCGTGACGCGCACGCGCGGAACACTCAAGTTGAAGCGACGTTGAATCACCCTTTTGCTGCCCAGGTCTGTATCGTCGGCGACCCGTCGACGGCGAAGTCGCAGTTCCTGAAATACGTGCACTCGTTCCTCTCGCGGTCCGTCTACACGTCCGGTAAAGCGGCGTCCGCGGCGGGCCTGACGGCGTCCATCGCCCGCGACGGCGAGACGGGCGAGTTCTGCGTCGAGGCGGGCGCGCTCATGCTCGCGGACAACGGCGTCTGCTGCATCGACGAGTTCGACAAGATGGACAGCGCGGACCAGGTCGCCATCCACGAGGCCATGGAGCAGCAGACCATCTCCATCACCAAGGCGGGCATCCAGGCGAACCTGAACGCGCGGACGTCGATCCTCGCGGCCGCGAACCCGAAGCACGGCCGCTACGACAAGTCGAAGACGCTGAAGGCGAACGTCGACATGACCGCGCCCATCATGAGCCGCTTCGACCTCTTCTTCATCGTCGTCGACGACTGCGACGAGCTCACGGACCGGGCCGTCGCGACGCACATCGTCGACGTGCACCGCGGCGAGCGGAAAGCCTTGGACGCGCCGTTCACGCTCGACGAGCTCCGGGCCTACGTCCGCGTGGCCAAGAAGCTCACGCCGGAGATCGGCGACGCGGCGCACACGACCCTCGTCAAGTGCTACCGCCAGCTGCGGCAGAACGACTGCGTCGGCCGCAACAAGACCGCGTACCGCGTCACCGTGCGCCAGCTCGAGTCGCTCGTCCGGCTCTCCGAGGCGCACGCGCGCATCCGCATGAGCGACACGGTGGAGCCCGACGACGTCAGGGAGGCCTTCCGCCTGCTCAAGAAGTCGATCATCAGCGTCGAGTCCGAGGCCGTCGTCCTCGACGATTTGGACGACGACGACGACGTCTTCGCGGCGGCGAACGTCGACCTCGCCGGCGACGAGCACGTCGCCGCGAACGGCGACGACGCGCACGGCGACGCGCCGCCGTCGGCGGCGAAGCGGCCGCGGGAGGGCGACGAGGGCGACGCGGGCGACGAGCCGCCGGCGAAGCGGCCCGCGGGCGACGGCGACGGCGGCGACGGCGGCGGCGACGACGCGCCCGCGGCGGCGCCCGCGGCGGACGCGGCCAAGCCCAAGACCAAGATCAAGCTCTCCTACGAGGACTACCAGCGCTACCGGCTCCTCATCACGACGCACCTGCGGTCGCGCGCGACGCTCGACGACGTCCCGGGCCTCCCGCGGTCCGCGATCCTCGACTGGTACCTCCGCGTCCACGCGGACGAGGTCGGCGACGAGGTCGCCGCGCACACGAAGCTCCTCAAGCAGATCCTCAAGCGCCTCCAGAAGGACGAGCTCGTCATCGTCGTCGCGCACGAGGACGGCGAGCCCGTCCTCGCGGTCCACCCGAACGTCGACGTCGACGAGAGCATGTCCTAGGCCCGGCGCGTCGCTCTCGTCCGTTAAAAGAAGCAAGCCGGGGCGCCACCTCCTAGGCGGCGACGAAGCCCGTCGGCACGTCGCGCCCCGCGGCGAGCGGCTGGCCCTCGCAGAGGACCTCGCCGTCGACGTCGAGCGCGCACACGTGGTCCATGCCGACGGAGACCTGCTCGAAGGTCCGGCCGGCGAACTTGGGCTTCTCCGCCGTCTCGAAGACGTGGCTCGACACGCCCCAGCAGTCGATGGCGCTGCCCGGGTCGCGGATCGCGCACGTCGTCTTGTAGCCCGTCGCGACCTGCACGAACGGACCCGCGACGAAGCGCGGCGCCGCGCCCTTGTTGTCGTGGCCCCAGCAGACGAGGTCCCGGTCGCCGAGCGTGAGGCCGCAGGCCTGGGCCGACGACGTCGAGCACTCGAGCTGCTCGAAGCGGACGTCGCTCGGCGGCGACGCCTGGCCCTTGTCGTCGCCGCCCCAGCACCTAGAGAGAAACACCGTTCGTTTTTTGGTTTCGTCGCGCGGGGCGCCGGCGCCAGCACTCGACGAAGCCCGAGGGCCGCAGGCCGCAGGTGAAGTCGTAGCCCGCGCCGATCTGCACGAACTTGCCGCGCGGCGGGAACACCGCGCCGAGCGCGCGGTAGTCCTCGCCCCAGCACCGCGCGTCGCCGTCCTTCGTCAGGCCGCAGCTGTGGAACTGGCCCGCGCTCACCTGGCTGAAGAGGCCCTCGGGGCTGTGGGCCGTCTCCTTCTCCTGGCCCCAGCAGAAGATCTTCTCGCCGAGCGTGAGGCCGCAGCTGTGGAAGTGGCCGCTGCTGAGCTGGACCATGGGCGTGCTCGGGCTCCGGCTCACCTGGCCCATGGCGTCGAAGCCCCAGCAGTGGGCGATGCCCCCGAAGTCGCCGTCGGAGGCGCGCAGGGCGCAGGTGTGGAAGTGGCCCGCGGACACCGTCGACCCCGCGGGGTCCTTGTGAAAGCCCGCCGGCGGCGCCTCGAAGCTGGTGACCGTGGGGTGCGGGTCGTCGTCGAAGGCGCGCTCGCCGTCGTCGCCCTGGCACACGGCGACCAGCGCGAGGGCCAGGGCTGCCCGCAGAGTGGCGGCCATCACCATCGGACCGCGCTTGGGTGCAATGTGGTGAGCAAGGTCGAAGGTGCCCCCACAGAGGTCATCAGGGTCCGACACAGCTCCCCCAAAGCACAACATGGACTTCTTCGCCGCCGCCAAGGACGCCATGAACGCGGCGAGCGAGCAGGCGAGCCAGCGCGTGGCCCAGGCCCAGGCCGGCAAGCGGCTCCTCGACGACGGCGGACCGGAGATGGAGCAGAAGATCGCCACGAAGGCCCACTGCCGGCGCACGACGAACGCCGACACCATGGCCGTGGCGACGATCAACGACATCGCGGCGCAGTACGAGGAGGCCATGCAGGAGCTCACGCGCGCGCTCGCGACGAGCGCGTGCACGCCCGAGGAGCGCTACGACTTCCAGCAGCTCCTCGGCCTCTACGAGACGCGGCTCGGCGACTACCGGCAGGCGGCCCAGGTCCTGAGCGCCATGCCGCCGCCGGCGCCCTTCATCTCCGGCGAGGAGGACGACGCCATCAAGATCCTCTGGGCGCGCGGCAAGGCGCGGACCGCGCAGGAGCGCGCGCAGGCCGTCTCCCAGCAGGCCATGGACGCGGCCCAGCGGTCCTAAGCGATGCGCTCTCGAGGGGGTTCTCCGCCGCGACGGACGCCCCGCCCCCCGGCCGGCAAGCGTCGGACTCGCCGCGCCTTAGCCCTAGCGGCGGCCCGAGCGGCGCGTCTTCATCTTGCGCTTCGCGGAGAAGCAGCGCGCGAAGACGGCGAAGGCGTCGTAGAAGTGGTCCTTGCGCGGCGGCTCGACGGCGACGGACTTGAGCAGGTCGTTGGTGATCTCGTGGGACGCGAACTTGTCCGTGATGACCGCGAGGCTCGTCGAGCACCACGCCGCGAACGACTCCGGCGGGCACACGAGCCGGAGCTTCCAGAGCACGCCGAGCAGCGACCCGCGGCCCTCGTCCTTGATGTAGGACGGCAGGTCCCCCGACAGCGCCTTGAGCAGGCCGTCCGTGAGCGCCGCGCCCGACGCCTCGACGACCAGCAACCCGTGGAGCGTCGCCGCGTGGCGCCGCGCGTCGTCGACGTCCTGCTGCGACTGGGGCGCGTCGCGGCGGCTCAGCGGCGGCTCGCAGTGGGCCACGGCCGGCGGCAGGGGCCCGCCCGCGCGCTGGAGCGACCGGATCGCCGTCGACGCGAAGCGGTCGCAGCAGTGGAGCACGCCCCGGAGCGCCTCGCGGTGCTCCACGGCCAGCCCCGCCGTCGCCGCGCGCAGCAACGCCGCGAGCAGCGGGCTCTCGAGCAGCGGCTCCGGGCAGTGGTCCAGGAAGCGGGACGCGAGGTAGAAGTACTCCTCGACGACGTCGGGGGCCGCCGCGTAGGCCTCGGGCGTGCTCAGCAACCCAAAAACCGCCGACGACAGCGACGCGAACATGTCGAAGAGCGCCGGCCGCTTCTCCGCCTCGTCGCCAAACTCCGTGATGCAGATCGACGAGCAGTAGATGAACGACGAGATCGGGTTCGACGCGAACGACTGCACGAGATGCGCGGCCATGCGGCTCAGCATGGGCGCGAAGGCCTTGCGGCAGGACCGCATCGCGTGCTTGTAGCACCGGCACAGCTTCTCGACGACGACCTGGGCAGCAAAAGGGTGCGAAATTCCCAACTTCAAAGGCTCCTATCTCGGTCGTTTTCCACTCGTTTCGGCTGATCTTTGGACGAGCGATCATCTCTCGGAACGGCATCGAAGCGTGGATGCTTTTTCCGGAACGCGCGCGCGCGGAACACTCACGTTGAAGCGATGTTGAATCACCCTTGTGCTGCCCTGACGACGACCGTCGACTCGCGGTACTTGGCGCCCAGCGCCTCGAAGACGGGCCAGAGCTTGTCGAAGAGCTCGAGGACCGGGTGGGGCCGGCTCCCCAACAGCGCCGCCGGCGGCGACGCGTAGCGCACGACGGACGTGAGGCGGTCGAGCTCGCGCGCGACGACGCGCGGCTCGCCCGCCGCGTTCGACGACGCGATCGCCGTCAAAGCGAGCGCCGGCGGGCCCGCGAGCTGCTCCGTGCCCGCGCGGACGGCCTCGTAGTCCGGCATGGCCGCGACGACGGCGCCCAGGCCTTCGAGGATCTCGAGCTCGTCCTTGAGCGGCACGCGGTTCGTCAGCGTGTCGCGGATCGTCAAAGCGCCCGCCTGCCCCAGCTCCGGCGCGCACTTGTCGCAGAGCCGCTTGAGCGCGCGCGCGGCCTGGGAGCTGTGGTCCCCCTTGGCCGGCGCCTGGGCCGGCAGGGCCGCGAGCTCGTCCAATAGGAACTGGAAGCACGACCGGAGCGCGTCGGGCCGCCGCCGGAGCCACCGCGCGTACGCGCCCACGAACACGGACCCCCGGTCGCGCGCGCGGCGCCAGTCGCGCGGCAACGCGCAGACCATGGAGCAGGCCGACGGGAGCACGAAGGCCTCGGCGTCGGGCACGAAGTCGGACAGCGCCGTCAAGGCGAACAAGCACGCCTCGACGCCGTCGCACGTCGCGTTCGCGCCCGTCGCCAGCTGCACCTCCTCCGCGACGGCCGCGAGGACCGCGTCGGCCCCGAGGAAGTAGGCCGCGTCGCCAAAGGCGTCGAAGAGGTCGCAGCGGTGGCTCGAGAAGTCGTCGCCGTCCAACCGCGGGTCCGCGGCGTCGACGTCGTGCTCTCCCCGGACGCTCAGGCGCACGCAGAGCCGCGCCAGGGACGCGTAGGCGTCGCGGAACTTGGCCACGAGGCTCGCGCGCGCCGGGTCGCCGTCGGCCAGGCGCCCGACCGCGCGCGCGAGGTGGTACCAGAACCGGAGCGGCGCCGCCGCGACCTGGGCAGCAAAAGGGTGATTCAACGTCGCTTCAACGTGAGTGTTCCGCGCGCGCGCGTTCCGGAAACAGCATCCACGCTGCGAGGCCGTCCCGAGAGATGATCGCTCGTCCAAAAATCAGCCGAAACGAGTGGAAAACGGCCGAGATAGGAGCCTTTGAAGTTGGGAATTTCGCTCTCTTTTGCTGCCCTGGCCGCGACGCGCCGCGCGGGGTACTCCGTGCACTTGATCATCACAGAAACGATGGCGAGCTGGTTGCAGTCGCGCTCGCTCGCGATCATGGGCATGTAGGCCTCGCCCATCTCGCAGAAGATGCGGCAGAGGCCCATGGCCTCGTCGTCGTCCTCGCTCGCCGTCGCCGCGGCGAAGCGCGCTTCTAGAGCCATGACGCGCGGCGCGATGGCGGCGACCAGGACGCCGTTCTCCGGCAGGCGGCAGTCGAAGCGCCGCAGCGCCTCGACGATGACGTCGCACGCGTGCTCGAAGAGCGGGCCGTGGCCCAGCGCGTCGAACGCTCCGGTGAAGAGGGCGCTCGACGCGAGGTGCTCGGCCTTGATGTCGCAGAAGGAGATCCAGGACTTGAGGCACCCGAAGACGGCGCCGTTGAGCTGCTCCGCGCCCGCGGGGCAGCCCGCGGCCGCGCCCGCGGCCCAAACCACGAGCTGCGTGAGCACGCCGAGGACGCCCTCGGAGCTCTGGCAGAGGTAGCGCGTGTAGGCCTCGCGGCGGCTCAGGGGCACGTTCAGCTCCTTCCAGGCGCACTGCTCCGGCAGCGCCGCCAACAGCTCGACGGCGACGACCTTGGTCCGCATGCCCTGCGCCGCGTCCGCCTCCTCGCGGCCGAACGCCTCGCGGACAAAGTCGAGGGCGCCGTCCCACGACGTCGACACGGCCAACGCCGCCACGGTCAGCCCCAGCTTCTTCACCACGACGCCGGGCACGCCGACGCCGCTCCAGCGCGCGAGGTGGTCGAGCGCCGCGCCGCGCAGCGATACGGCCTGCTCCGGCGACAGCTCGTGCAGGTCGCCGGAGACCTTCGCGTGGAGCGTCATCGACGCGAACGTCACCGCCTCGGCGCCGAGCGCGTTGGACGCGAGGTCGCCGGGGCCCGACGCGAAGGGCGTGCGCCCGCCGAGGATCGCGTCCGCCAGGCCCCACCCGCTCGCCTCGCGCTGCAGCTTCTGGAGGAACGCGTCGGCGCTCCGCCGCTGGGCCGCGTCCGTGCCGTGGTACATGGCCTGGAGGTTCGTCGCCAGGAGCGCCAGCATCTCCTGGTCCGCCATCTCGGCGGCGCGCGGCGGCGAGTGGTGAATGGGGGGTTTCTCGGCGGCGAGCGGCCGGCGAGCGCGGGACGGGCGCGCGCGTTCGAGTCCTGGCGTTCGCGGTGGAGGCCGGCGAGCGCGGGGCTGTGTGGACCCGCGGCGCGCGCGGCGAGGCCGGCTGCGGTGGCGAGGCGAGCTGCCAACCGCGAGCACTTCGAGTGGCGGCGTGCGGCAGCCGAGCAAGAATGAGCAAGCGGCGCGCCGAGCGAGCGCCGCGCGCCGCTGTGGTAAGAGCGCCGCTCGCGACGAGTCGCGTCTGACCTCCACCCTCGCCCCCCCTCTGCCTCGTCCACACGCCCCGTCGCACACACACACACGCCTCCTCGTCGACCATGAATTTCCTGCGAAGCTTCGCCCTCGTCGCCGCCATCGGCGTCCGCGCCGACGATGTTTGTCAACGGCGACGTCTCGGGTCCTCCGACCGCATGATCTCGAGCGTTGTTGTCCTGAACAACATCGAATCGGACCTCTTCAACATCGACAAGCTCGCGCACGTACGAAACGCGGCGTCTTTTTCCCCCGCGAACCCGTCGCCGCGAACCCTTCGCCGCGAAACCGTCGCCGCCCTAGGTCGAGTTCGCGGACGGGGTCGTCGGCAAGATCCTCGACATCCACGTGTACTACTTCAGCGGCGTCCGGTCCGAGCCCGGCGAGGGCGGCGGGGCGGAGGTCTTCTACGAGGTCGTCACGGACATGGACCTCGCGGAGTTCAAGGCGACGATCGTGGGCGCGGCGGAGTCGGGCGAGATGGACGACCTCCTGAACGGCGAATACAGCTCCGTGCTCCACAAGGCGACGGTCGACGTCGCCCGGACGCTCGAGGCCGTCGAGGAGTACACGATCACGCTCGGCGGCGGCGGCGGCAAAAAGAAGGGCGACCTCAAGCGGGGCGAGCTCGTCGGCCTCATCATGGGCCTCATGGTCCTCGGCATCGGCCTCGCGGTCGCCGGCATCATGCTCTGGCAGCGCCGGTCGTTCAAGCGGCGCCGCATCACCACGCTGGCCCACAGCTTCGGCTCGGGCGCGGGCGCCGCCGCCGGCGGCCGCCGCGACGAGCCCGACGAAGAGCTCGTCCTCTCGAACATGCGGCCCGCGGCCGACCAGGGCTTCGCGAACCCGGGCGTGACGACCGTGCGCCACGGAAAAAGCGTCGAGCCCGTGCCCACGGACGACATGGAGGAGGTCGCCATCAACGACAACCAGGTGGAGCTCTAGTCAAGAGCTCTCCACGCGGCGCGCCGCGGCCCGAACTCGCCGCCGGGGCCGCCGCGCGGGGGAAGTAGCTAAATTGCGAGCCGGTATTCCGAGCACTAGACAAAAATCGTCATGGCTTACGTCGGCGCGACGTCTCGCGATGCCGAGTCCGCGGGGGCGGCCTCGGCCTCTTGTATCAGCTGCGCGAATTCCTGCCGTCGCTCTTGGGCGAGTTCCAAGAGAGTCTCCCGGGCAATCTTGGTGGAGTAGCTGGCGTATAGTTCCAGGGGGGCCGCAGATCAGAGTGAGACTGCGTTACGGGTATCCTAGGCGTATCCTGGCTCCTCTGCTCCCCCGCCGCGGCCGGAAAGGCGGAGCGGGGACTGCGAAGCCAGGCCGGGGAATGAGAGTGTGCACGCCGCAGCGTGCAGGGCGGGTGCCACGGCACCGCGCCGGGGAGGAACGGCGGTGCGGCGTGCCTTGCGGGCACGCCGTGTTGAGGCCGAAGAGCGGGAACCGGCGTCGAACCCCGCAGGGTTGTCGCTGTTCCGGGCGTAGGGAGGAAGTAGGCGCGGGCTCCGGCGGGCGACCCCGCGGGGTCGCCCGCGGCCTCAGGCGCGGGAGTGTTGTGCACGCCGCGGCGTGCAGGGAGGCGGGCGGGAGGAGCGGCCCGTTGGCCAGGTTGGCTCGGTAGGCGGCGCGCCGGCGGGCTAGCTCGTCTAATGCTCTAGAGAGAGAGGGCAACCGGACTCGGACGCGCGGCTCATTATCTCCCGCACGCGGCCCACTCGGTGCGCCCCTCGTCCGAGACGGTGTAGTTGCACGCGTCGCAGCCGCCGCAGCGGAAGATCCGCCCCCCGCTGGCGCCGCGGTCTCGGTAGTGGTGACCGAGCGCGCTGATGTCGCAGCCCGACGGATGCCGGCAGAACGCGTCGTGGAGATCCGGGTACCGGCTCGCGTAGCACTCCGCGAACTCGCCCGTGGCCGCGTGGGTCGGGGACGACGGCTCGTCGTTCCCGGCGCAGCGGCCCTTCGTGTGCTCGTGCGTCGGCGGTCTGATGCCGACTCGAAGCTGTGGCGGTGCGGCGCGAAGACGGTGTCGAAGACGTCCTGCTCCGTGTTCGTGTACGGCACGAAGTCGCCGGACGCCGCCTTGTCCCGGAGCAGGGCGAAGACGTCGAGCGACGGCCGGGCATAGAACAGGTGGCTGTTGAAGCCGTCGTAGTCGCGGTTGCCGCGCTCCGCGGCCGCGGCGAAGGGCGCGCGCCGGCGGTGGAGCTCGGCCATGAAGCCCTGGAGCTCGTGCGCGGACGTGAAGTGGAACCGGGCCGCGGGCCGATGGCCGCCGCGGCCGTAGGGCCCGGCGAAGGCGCCGTTCCAGCAGACGTCCGCGTCGGCGACGACGACGCCGTCGAAGTCCGCGAGCGCCCAGGCCCAGAACTTGAGCGTCGTGCCGGCGCCGTCGTCGCGCGGCTGGATCGCCGAGTCGCGGCCGCGGCCGGGCGCGAGCGCGGGCGGCAGCAGGCCGTCGCCCTCGCGGCGCGCGCGGAAGCGGAGCTCCGACGGCGCGACGGCGACGACGCGGTCGAAGGCCGGGGAGCGGAACGCGCGCGCGAGCTCGCCGCCGTCGAAGCCCGACGCCAGGAGGACGACCGTCGCGTTCGTGTCCGTGCGCCGCAGCGACGCGAGCCACATGCGCGTGCGCGCGACGCGGTCGAAGTCGCAGCGGCGCCCCGCCATCGTCGTGGCGATGGCGAACCGCGGCGGCGACGCGGCGCACGCCGCCGCGAACAGCAGGCCGATGCGTGGTGCAGCAGCCCGCTCGGATCCCATCATCGATCCGCAATAATTCTTTCGGTGCAGCCGCCTTGCACTTCAAGGTTACCTCCGGGCGCCCCGCGGCGCGAGGGCCTCCGCCGCCTCGAGGAGCGCGAGGTGGTCGTCGAGGAGGGCGGCGTAGGTGCGCGTGGCGCAGCCGTGCATGAGCTGCTTCTGGGGGCAGCCGAGGTTGGTCCGGACGTTGCGCGCGGCGATGTTGTTGACGACGAGGTTCAGCGCGGGCGTGTAGTTGCCGCGGCGCCAGCAGAGGACGTCCTCCGGCGTCGTGCGGTCCCAGAGCCAGATGCGCGCGTCCCGCGGCGGGAACGTCACGGGGTGGGCGAACGCGCGCGCCGCGTACGCGGAATCGTCGTAGTAGGCGACGGGCCCGCCGCGGCCGGGCACGAACCACTCGACCATGAGGTCGCGCTCGTCGGGGACGCGCCAGCGCCGCCGCCGCGCGAGGTCGAGCACGTCGGCCCGCATCGCGGCGAGCCTCGGCGCGTCGAGGACCATCAACACCGCGGCGTCGAGCTCGCCGCCGAGGTTCTCCGTGCCCGCGGCCTCGGTGCCGACGGCGACGACGGCGCCCGCCGCGTCGCCGCAGCAGCGCTTCGTCCCCCAGTTCGTCTCCACGAGGGGCCGGCCCGGCACGTGGCACGCGGCGCGGCGCTCCGCGCAGAAAGTGATCTCGTCGAGTTTCACGTCGCCCGCGAACTGGACGCCCGCGGACGTCACGAGCGCCCGCCGCCCGTCGCCGACGCCTCTTTCCTCCAACTCCGGCCGCAGCGCCTCGAGCAGCGCCGCGGCGTCGATCCAGGCGAAGCTGTGGAGCGGCACGTCGCGCAAGTCTGCCGGCAGCTCGTCCGCGAACGAGAGCCGGTGGGGAAGCCACGCGACGCCCAGAGCGTCCAAAAACCGCGTGAAGTCGTCCTCGACGTCGCGGCGGCCGTGGTGGAGGTAGACGACGATGGGAAACAACGACGGCGCGTTGAGCGCGGCGCTGAGCGCCGCCGCGCGCGCGAGCGCGGCCGCGCCCGCGGCCGACGCGGCTCGATGCTTCCGCGCGAAGAGGAGCCAGGGGTAGCGCTTCTGCGCCGGCGGCGCCCGCGGGCTGCCGGCGCAGGGCGCGGCGCGGGGCGGCACCACGAGCGCCTCGTCGTCGGGCGCGTGGGGCGGCGGCGCGGGGCGCCGGTTCAGCGGCTTGTCGACCCAGTCGTCGCGCGGGTCGATGCCCGCGTGCCACGGCAGGCAGCGGTCGCAGGGCATCTTCCGCCGGGCGCTCGCGGCGCAGGCGGCGGCCACGGTCGCGCGGGCGCAGGTCCGCGCGGTAAAGAGGCGCCAGAGCGCGTCGCGCCGGCGCTCGGGCGCCGCGCGCGGCCATCGGGTCCGCCGGCGGACCGCGGCGCCGTCGACGTCCGGCGCCGGCGGCGGCTTCGGCGGCGGCGCCGCGTAGGTCGCCGCGACGCGGGCCGGCACGGTCGCCGCGTCGACGCCGAGCGCGTCGTACCACGTGCCGTTGCGCCAGCCGCGCGTCGCGTCCCAGACGCGCGATTCGGCGTAGCGCGTCGGCGCGGCCGGCGCCGCGGGGCCGTTGTAGAGGAGGTAGGCCGCGGCGTCCCGCGCGGCGGCGGCGTCCGCGGCGGCGTCGCCCCCCGGGGCCGCGACCTTGCGCCAGAACCAGTCCAGGACGGCCCCGCTCTTGAACTTGTCGAAGTGCAGCCGGCCGCGGCAGAACCCCCGCGGGTCCGCCGGCGGCGCGAAGTCGGAGCGCTCGCGGCCGTGGGCCGCCGACTCCGTCGCGAGGGCGAGCTTCTCCGCCGGCGTGCTCAGGCGCTGGAGCTTCTCGCGGTAGTGGGCCCAGGTGTTGACCCGGGGGCCGAAGCCGAGGACGCCCGGCGCCGCCTCGACCGCGGCGTCCATGTCGGCGTCGAGGTAGACGGACGCGACGGTCCGGGGCCAGACGTCCGGGTAGGTGTGGTGGTCCACGAGGCGGACGCCGCGGTCCTTGTTGAAGCCCTGGCGGAAGAGGAGGGGCACGCCGTCCTCGACGAGCCGCGCGCGCCAGTCGCCCTTGGACGCGGACCAGCCGCTGCCGTAGGTGACGCCGTTGCGGATCTGCGCCGGCCGCAGCTTCTCGTAGTAGTAGAGCGCGAAGTAGTCGGCGACGTCGCGGCTCACGAGCACGAGGCAGTTGTCGAAGGCGTCGCGCCGGTTCCAGCCGAGCACGAGGCCCCGCGTCGGGACCGGCAGCGCGCCGAGGATCTCGACCATGGACCGGGCGCAGACGAAGGCGTCGTCGTCCGTGTGGGCGATGAAGCGGAACCGGGCGAAGCGCACGGCCCAGGCCGCGCAGTTCAGCTCCCAGTCGCGGCTGTACATGCCCGACCACGCGCTCTGCTTGAGGTCCATGGACGGCGGGTAGATGAGCTCGAACTCGCGGTGCGTCCATGTCGCGTCGCGCACGACGACGTCGCGTTCGTCGGCGCAGCAGCCCGTCGAGTCGGAGAAGAAGCGGTAGCCGAGGCCGCGCCGCGGGCTCAGCCACGTGCGCCGCAGCACGGACCGCAGGCGCGCGTTGCTGCCCTTGGACCGCACGGCGAGGAAGACGACGACCTCGTCCTCGACGCTCGCCGCGCCGACGAGCCAGGCGGCGAGCAGCAGCCAGCGACGCATGGAGAGGCTAGCGGCGGCAGCCCCGACGTCGCATATGCATCATGCTCAGTGTAATAATAATGAGATTGTAATGCGGCATTCAAGGTGCAGAGCACCCACGACCTGATTACCGCCGGGGAAGCCCAAAGTCCGGGAGCTCGAAGGCCGGCGCGCAGCCGCAGCCGAAGGTGAAGTCGAGGCGCGGCGGCGGCGGCGGCGGCCCGTCGGCGTCGCCGAGGCAGCCCGCGGCGAGGCGGAGCCTCGGGTTCTGCGCGACGGAGACGCGCGCGCGGAGGCCCGCGTCGCTCTCGATGTCCGCGAGGCAGGCCACGGCGAGGGGCCGGTCGCCGTCGGCGAGGGCCACGGCCGCGCGCTCGACGCGCGCGGCCGCGAGCGCGACGGCGACGTCGCCGTTCTCCGGCGTCGCTTCGAGCGCGGAGAGGCAGAGCGCGATGGCCTCGTCCGCGCTGGCCCGCGCGGCGCCGTAGTCCCGCGCGGCGACGCGGTGCCGCGCGGCGTCGGCGAGCGTCGTCGCGAGCGCCGCGTCGCCGGCCCAGTCGCGGCGCGCGGGCGGGAACTGCGGCCGCGCGACTCGGTCGAAGTACGGCGACGGATCCTCCGCGGCGCCGTCGTCGGCGTCGGGCCGGGTCCGCGCCTCCCGAAGCACGGCCAGGCGCCGCACGACGGCGTCGAGCACGGCGCCCCGCGGCGCGCCGGAGAGCTCGAGGTGGCACGCGAGGTCGAGCAGCACGGAGTAGCGGCGGAAGCCGACGAGGCCCCGGCGCACGGCCAGCGCGTCCTGGAGGACGGCGCAGCAGGCGCGGTGGTCGTCGGGCTCGGCCTTGGCCTTGGCCGCGACCTCCAACGCGAGCTCCTCGGCGGCGAAGCGGATCCAGGCCGTCGTCTTCGCCTCGAGGAAGTCGCCGTCGACGCGCGCGCGGAGCGCGAGCGCGCCCTGGAGGAAGGCGCGCCGCTGGCGGACGGCCTCGTCGGCCTCGCCGCGCCGCGCCGCGCGGCAGGCGAGCGCGTTGGGCGCGGCGACGGCCTCCGCGTGGTACCGGAGCGACGCAGCGTCGCGGCGGTCGGAGCACGCCGCCGCGTCCGCGGAGGCCCCGCCGCCGCGCGCGAGGTCCGCGACGCCGGACCAGTAGGAGCACACCTCCTGGCGCTTCGCGACGGCCGCGCCGTGGCGGCCCGCGGCCCGGAGCGTGTCCGCCTCGCCGGCGAGCGCCGCCGCGTGCGCGTCGTGTTCCGCCAGACTTCGCGCGGCCGCGCCGGCGCCGACGGCGGGCGGCGCCGGGGCCGCCGGGGCGCCGGCGCCGCGCTTCATGAGCTCGGCGACGTGGGAGCTCGCCTCGCTCGTCGCCAGCTCCGACATCTCGAGCTTCTCCGCGAGGCGCGCGAGGCGCCGGTGCAGCTTCTCGGCAGCCTTCGTCGCCGCGTGGGCGTCGTTCTCGCCGGACGCGAGGCGCCGCGTCGCGAGCTTCTGCTGGATGCGCTGGCCCACGGCGCCGTCCATCGTCGACGTCAAGCTAGACGTTGTCTATCGCACATCGATGCGGGGCAGCCTGCAAAGGTCAACGATGCTGCGGCAAGTGCTTCTCATTGCCGTCGATGGCCGAGTATGAAGCTCGCGTGAGCTGCCACAGCTCTCGCGTGTGAGCTACTCTCAACAAGCATGATGGCTCGATGCCTGCTGGCGCTGCTCATGCACAAAACGAGCGCCGACGTGCATTGGCGCGACCTGGCCGTGCGCCGGCCCGACGGCGCCTTCCTGCTGGAGCCCTGCAGCGGCACCGCCGCCGCGGGCACCTTCACGGCCGTCCTCGGCGCGAGCGGCGCGGGCAAGTCGACGCTGCTGCGCGCGCTCGTGCGCGCGCCGCCGCGGGGCGCGCGCGCGGAGGGCGACGTGCGAACCGGCGGCCGCGCGGTCGGCGGCCTGCGCGACGGCGACTGCGGCCTCCTCGCGCAGGACTCGGAGCTCTTCGCGATGCTGACGGTCCGCGAGACGCTCGAGTTCGCGCACGCGCTGCGCGGCGCGTCGCGCGCCGAGGCGGCGGCGCTCGCGGAGCGCGGGCTGCGGACGCTCGGCTTCCTGCGCGTCGCGGACCGGCGCGTCGGCGACGGCCGCGGCGGCGGCGCGGCCATCTCCGGCGGCGAGCGGCGGCGGCTCTGCGTCGCCGCGGAGCTCGCGCTCGCGCGGGGCGCGCCGGCGCTCCTCGCCGCCGACGAGCCGACGAGCGGCCTCGACAGCGTCGGCGCCGAGGCCGTCGTCGCTACTTTACGCCGCCACGCGGTGGACAAGCACTGCGCCGTCGTCGCGTCGCTGCACCAGCCGTCGTCGCGCGTCTGGCGTTCCTACGTCGACGGCGTCGTGCTGCTCGCGCCGGGCGGCCGCGTCGCCTACGCGGGGCCCCGGGACCGCGCGGCGGCCTTCGCGCGCGCGGCGACGGGCCGGCGGCTGCCGCCGTTCACGAACCCGGCGGAGTGGCTCCTCGAGCTCGTCGCCGACGAGGCCTGCGCGGAGCAGCTCTGCGCCGCCGCGGCGCAGGCGCGGCCGCCGCCCGCGGCGCCGGCGGACGACGCGGCCGCGCGGCCGCGGCGGCCGCGCGCGACCCGGCCGCGGCGCTTCGCGCTCCTCGCGCGGCGCGCGGCGCGGCAGGTCGCGCGCGATGCCCGCGTGCAGGCCCTGCGCCTCGCGTCGACGGGCGGCCTGGGCGCGTTCCTCGCGCGGCGCTACGGCGGCGGCGCGCCGGCGCTGAGCGCCTCCGGCTGCGCGGACCGCGTCGCGCTCCTCTCCTTTAGCGCGATCTCCATGTGCGTGCTGCCGCTGACGCGCGCGCTGGACCTCTTCGGCAAGGAGCGCAAGGTCGTCGCGCGCGAGGTCGAGCGCGGCGCCTACGGCGGCGGCGAGTACGTTTTGGCGAAGGCCCTCGCGGAGGTGCCGTCCGACGCGCTCTTCGCCGCGCTCCACGGCTGGGCGCTCGGCCGCGCCACGGCCGGCGGCGTCCGGAGCGCGCCCGCGGCGCCGCTGGCGCTCGCCGCGGCGGCGTCGGCGACCCTGGGCCTCGCGGTCGGCGCGGCGACGCCGTCGAGTGACGCCGCGCTCGCGGCGGGCATGCCGCTCGTCGTCATCCACATGCTCACGGGCATCGTCAATCCCGGCGGGGAGGCTCCTTCCGAGCGCCCGAAGCCGCTCGCGGCGCTGTCGCCCATCCGATGGACGATACGCCTGCTCCTGGACCGCGAGTTCCGCGGCGCCAAGCTCGAGGGGAAGGACGCACCAAGAATGGGCGGCCTCGCGCTCGTGAGCTCGGGCGACGAGGTCCTGCGGCGCCTCGGCCTCCGCGCCGGCGAGCCGCACGCGCGCGCGCTGTGGGGCCTCCTCGCGGGCCACCTCGGGCTCGCCGCGCTCTGCGCCTCGCGCGATGCTTAGGGCGGATAGCGAAGCTTGTGGCAGGCCGGGCGGAGGTAGTCCGGCACGTAGGCGCAGAACTTCTTCGCCGCGAGGCGCTCCTCGTAGACGATGACGCGCGGGAGGTCGCGGAGGCGCCGGAGCGCGAGGCCCGGCGTCCCGCGGAGCGTCTGGGCGAGCCACTTCTCGCTGTGCTGCGGGTTGGCCTTGGAGCAGTTGAGGTAGGCGCCGGCCATGGTGAAGACGCGGTCCGCGTGGTCGCGCGGCACCGCGAGCCACCAGTCGAGGCCGCCGACGTAGGAGTCGTCGCCGCCGCCGGCGAGGTTCGCGTAGGCCGCGGCGCCGGCCCAGAGGCCGTCGAGGGCGCACCAGACCGGCGCCGGCCCGAGCCAGAGGTCGTCGCCGCGGAGCTTGACGACCGCGTCGAAGCGGACGCCCTCGCGGCGCTCGTGGCGGACCATCTCGCGGAAGGCGTTCCGCAGGCCGAGCCACTGGCTCACGACCCAGTGCGTCGGCGCGTCCGCGGGCGGCACGGGGCCGCAGGGCCGCAGGGCCGCGCGGAGCTCGCCGCCGGCCGCGTCCCAGCGCGCGGACGCGGGCCGCAGGTACGCGATCGCGGCCGCCGCGGCGCCGGCGTCGCCGCGCTCGGCGCCGAGCCGCCCCGTGCCGGCGCTCTTCAGCTCCAGGAAGACGGCGGCGTCGACGCCCATGGCGTCGATGCCGTACTGCGCGATGGACCGGTGCACGCGCGCCAGGGGCAGCGTCCGCACGAGGCCGGCGATGAGGAACGCGACGCGCTTGCGTTTCGCCGGCGCGCCGCAGACCGCGTCGGCCTGCCAGCGCCCCAGCGCGATGGACGCGGACCGCATGGACTGGGCCTCGTCGGCGCGGGCGTGGGCGGTCGCGAGCGCGAACGCGAGGACCATCATGATGCTTCATCAACCGTTTGCTTGACGTTTTTTATTCTGGGCTGCGCAAGGGCAGTCCAAAACCGCAGCCAGCCGCCGGGGGCCGAGCCAGCCAGCCAGCCAGGGACGTCCAGTCCACGAAACGACCCCTCGCTACAACCTCTACAACGCGCGCCTACGGCGCGCCGCGCCGTCCTGGGGCGGCTGCGGCGACCGGCTGGCCGCCGGCCACGCGCGTCGGCGCTCGCGCTTCCGTCACCCCCGGCGGGCCACTCCGGATTCTAACTAGATTTTGACATGTATCCCGCACGAAAATCGCAAGATTTGCACATGCAACGTCTACATTGAAGAAATGGGTGGCTGTCAGCGACCGAGCCAGCCAGCCAGCCAACATCTACCTCACGGTCAGCCAAACCGGCTCCCGGCGGAGGATTGTTATCGTGGACTGCCCTAGGGCTGCGCACAATGTTCACGGTGGGCCGCCTCGGCCCGCTCGCCGCGGCGTCCGGCGCGGCCTGGCTGGCGTCGGGCGGCCCCTTCTCGCGGAGCGAGGAGGAGAAGCACACGGTCGGCGGCGTCTTCCACGTCGACCGGAGCCAGGCGGCGAAGATCCACGGCGCGCTGGACCGCGGCGCGCGCTGGTACCACGACCTCTGCGACGACAAGCGCGACGAGTACCTGCGCGCCGAGGTGCCGCTGAGCAAGCGCTACGTCGGCACGAAGATCGAGCGGAGCCCCCGCGCGAAGCTCTGCCTCAGTGATAATGAGGTGGTGCACACGTCGCACCTCATCAACGACCTCGTGGACCTGGTCTGGTTCGACGAGGCGCAGGAGCAGGAGATCTTCGAGTTCTGCGTGCTGAAGATCATCGACACCATCGCGCACAACCTGCCCAACGAGTTCATCCGTTTGGTCCACTCGAAGCAGGTCATGCCGAAAGTCGCCGCGGACAAGTTCGAGGCCGCGATGTCGCGCTGGCTCTTCGCGGAGGTCCAGCTGCCCTTCCTCGACGACGCGGACCGGCGCCGCGTGATCCGCTGCGTCATGGCCATGCTCATGCGGTCCATGCGCCGGTCCCACGAGGACGTCGCCGCGCACCTGTCGCCCGACGAGCAGCAAAAGTGTGCGAAATTCCCAACTTCAAAGGCTCCTATCTCGGCCGTTTTCCACTCGTTTTGGCTGATTTTTGGACGAGCGATCATCTCCCGGAACGGTCTCGAAGCGTGGATGCTTTATTTGGAACGCGCGCGCGCGGAACACTCACGTTGAAGCGACGTTGAATCACCCTTTTGCTGCCCAGGTCGCCCGACGAGCACCACGCGTTGGTCACGGACGTCTTCTTGCGGGGCGTGCAGCACATCTTCTACGACGAGGACGAGCGCAACGCCTTCGTGAACAACCTCGCGGCCTACACGGACAAGCTGCCGTTGGTGCCCGTGTCCGTCGTCGCGAGCATGATCGAGAACGCCGTCAACATGGCCTCCGCGTCCGTGACGAACGCGCTGACGACGTCCTACCACGAGTACGGCGACGCGGTCCGCGGGCGGCGCCACCACGAGCTCGCCGTGCGGCGCCACCCCCTCGAGGACCCCCACACGGAGTCGCAGCGGAAGAAAGCGCACGAGAAGCCCTTCGAGCACGTGCTCCGCTACAACATGTGCCTGGAGTTGATGGACCCCAAGGAGGACATCTTCGGCCGGCTCCAGCTCGTCATGCCCGAGTCCATGCCTGTGTGCAAATCAAATCTTCAACCCGACTTCAATGTGTGCGTATTCGAATCTTTCGACACAGGCTCTTTGGCTGTGCTTCGATAACTCGACGAGAGCAATCGATTCGTCCAAAAATCAGCTGAATCGACTTCGATTTGACCGAGCTAGAGATTTCTGAAGTTTGGCCCCGACGTCCCAGCTCACTGGTTGATTTCCACACAGGTCCATGCGCTTCGCGCTCGTGCGGTTGTTCGTCGAGGAGCTCATCCAGACCATCGATGCCGAGAAGATCGAGGCCATCTTCTCCCGCTGCGCCGCGAACGTCGACTTTGAGTGCGCGCAGGCGACCGTCGTGGCGGCGGAGGCGCCGCCGCGACCGTGGTGGCGCTTCTGGCGGAGGTCGTGAGTGTGCTTAAGGAAAGTCCGTGTGCTCGGTTGCGCCGCATCCCCGAGGTCTCGCCGATACGTATATAGTATACGCCGAGGGCGTCGCCTCGGCTCAGCAGGCTCCTCGGGTCAGCCAGCCCCATGCGGCGTGCTGCCGCTGCGCGGCGACGGGGAGAGCCCGTGATGCCGTCAACGCCGGCGTCGGTCGCGTACTAAAAGTACCTTGCACTAGAAAAGCAACATCATGAGTTGAAGTGTAGTCGACTCCTCGGCAGCCTCTGGTGCGCCCGTGCAATGGCCGCTGCGATGTCAGCTGGGTCCGATGGAACCTTGCGACGCCGCGACGACGTTCTCTCGTCGCGCATAGCCGAGTTATGGTGAGCCGGTCGCTGGGAACGCGACGGCGCGGCGGGCTGCGGAACCCGCTTTGGAGCACGTTCGAGCGCGCCATGAGCTCCACGAAGCGATCCCAGCGTCTGCGGCTGCCCGTGCTTGGCGCGCTGAGTTGCCTGGGACCCCGCGCGGACGAGCGCGGCTTGTGGACCCCCAAAAGATAGTGATCATGCCATGGTAGTGCGCGCGAATGGGTCCACATGCAGCCCTTTTTCGGCACATTTTTGCCACAGCGTCTATCGCTAAAACGCAGGCGCGCGCGCGCCGATTTTCGCCGACCCGCTGCCGATGGCTCGGCAGCGCCTGTCTCTCGGGCGTGACCAATTTTGGTGCACTAAAACTCGGATCATCACATGGAGAAGTGCGCGGAGCCTGCGCAAAGCCCTCACTAGGGGAAACATGTTGTTTTTCTAGTGCAAGGTACTTTTACAGTAGGGCTGCGGGTCAGCTCGATCGGCGAAGAGCCGCATTTTTGCGGCAGCGCGCGCGCGTCCAGCTCGATGGAGGCGCCTATCATTTCGTTCAATGGCGGGAAAGTCACAGTTTCATTCACGCCGCCGCCGAATTCCTCGCATGCCATTTTGTACCTCTTCGAAGGCGAGCGGGAGACCAAGCACATGTACGATGAAGCTACGGGCACGCTCCTGAAGGAGGGTGAGGTGGGGCGCGCAATGAAGGCACGGGTCACGCCATTATATTCTGGTACAAATGTGTCTACTAGAACCTGCATTGTCAGGGAGCTCCAACCTGACACGGTCTACACGGCCACGTTCGCCACGCGCGAAGCCGACGAAGTATCGTTCGGCGCCGAGTCGCCGCGCAGTCTGCCCAAGACTTTTGCGCCACCGAAGTCGCCGGCCGAGCCCCGCGTCCTCCCGCATAACGGCACCACGGCGGCCGTCTTCTACGTCGCACCCCTGAGCGCTCATGCGATCAAAATTTACTTCAATGATCTAAAATCCACGCACGTGGACCTGACCACGCCGGATACTCATAGTGGATCTGTTCTCGTTCAAGGATTGGATAAGGAGACCAAGTACAAAGTGCGCGCCATCGCGTTCAGCAGCGTTGGTCCAAGCTCAGAATCTCCTTCCACGACGTACTGCGCGGCGGATCACGCGCCGATCGCGCCTCCCGCGCCAGACGTGGAGGTCCTGGGGGACACTTCTGTGAAAGTGGGTTTTGCGAGACCGACGTATGACCGTTTCGATGTTCTTTCCACGACGGGCGTCAAGATCACTTTTGAAGCCGGTGGTGAGGAATTTTCGGTTATCTACCCTGCTCCCTCCCCGGTACCACCGACATTCAAGCTTGTTCCGGCTAAAGAATTGAATGATTTCGTCGCCGCAAAAAAAGGCGTCGGCTTCTTTCCACCAATAAATTCCGTCGAGACTGTCACGGGCTTAAAAGCGGACACCAAGTACGCCATCTCAGTGAAAGCCTGCAACCAGTTCGGGTTCTCGCCTCCGTCGCCGGCGACCACGGTGACCACGGAGAAGAGCGAGATCGAGGTGACGGGCGTGCGCTCTTCCGAGGAGCGCGACGCCGAGCTCATGAAGGACGCCGTCGATGTCGACGAGTCGCCCGCGAAGCGCGCGAAGCAGTCCGCGGGCGGCGCGGCGAAGCGGCCGCGCGACGAGCCGGCGCCCGCGGCCGACGCGGACTTCAAGCCCGCGGGCGCGTACGCCGGTGTGATGCCCGGCTTCTTCTTCGCGCGGGGCGCCAAGGGCCTGGGCTACTACCGCGACCTGGTCTGGGTTAATCTCACCCACGCACCGCCCCCGAAGAAGAAGTGAGCGAGCCCCCGTGAACTAGCATTGATCATAAAGGTTCTGGAACCACGGCGAGCCCCGCGGGGACCTATCCCTACCGCTTTACGATGCGCGGCGGCACGGCGAAGCGCCCGCCGTCGGCCGGCTGCTTCTCCGGCGGCAGCCGGTTGATCGCGGCCGCCGCCGCGCGCCGGCAGTCCTCGCGGACCGCCTTCTTGGAGAAGGCGGGCAGGCGCGCGAGCAGCGCGACGAGCACGTCCGGCGCGGCGTCGCCAAAGTCGGCGAAGAGCTCCTCGACGACGTAGTCGTCGACGGCCGGCGCGCAGGCCGAGAGCACGTCCGCGAGGTGGCGGAGCGCCGCGGTCTCCGCAACGACCCTCCCGGGTTCGCGGAGCCCCGCGGACGCCAAATCCGGGTCCTCCGTGAATTTCGGGAGGAAGTAGGCCAGCACGTGGTTCTGGTCCCGCAGTAATAACATGGCCGCGCCGTCGCCGTCCGCGAAGGGCTTCGGCTTCGCGTCCAGGAGCGCGTAGACGTAGGCCTCGACGAAGAGGTCGAACGCGCGCCGCGCGAGCTTCGCGTAGAGGTACGCCGGGAGCCAGGCCCGGTAGTCCCTCAGATAGTCGTCGAGGGTCGTCAGCGCCACGTCCACGGCGTCGGCCTTGGTCCGGTCGCTCTCCCAGCGGGGCCCGAACAGCGCGCGGTCCGCGTCGGGGGCGAAGATCGCGTCGCGTAGGTCCACGAAGGGCGCCGCGGCCGCCGCCGCGCACGCGTCGAGCGCCAGCTCCGCGTAGTCCGCGACGACCTGGTCCGTCACCGCGCGCACGGACAGCAGGGGCGCGCCCGTGACCGCGTCCTTCGATTCTAGCGATTCCACGAGTTCCTCGCACCGCTCCTGGACGCGCAAGGCGTCGTTCGCGAGCGCGCAGAGCCGCTCCACCTCCAGGCTCGGCGGCGCGGCGTCGTCGTCGGGGACGCCCAGCGAGTTCTTCCGGCCCTTGCGCGAGTAGGCCGACCGCCGCGTCTCGGCCTTGGCCTCGCCGTCGGAGCCGGACGAGCCGCCGTCGTCGTCGTCCTCCCTTCGCCCGCGCGACGCGGACCGCACGTAGCGCTCGACGGCGGCGACGCACTCGCGGCAGCGCTCCGAGGACCGCGCGGCGTCGTGGCGCAGCTCCTCGAGGCAGCGGAGCACGACCGTCGCGACGTGCTGGCCCTTCGGCCGGCCCGGAGACGCGGGCTCGTCGGCCGGGTCCGGCGCGTCGCGCGCGGCGTGGTCCAGCGCGACGCCGACCTGCATGGTGATGACCTGGAACATGTCCTCGGGCCGCGTCGTCACGAGGCGGCCCGCCGGGTCCGCGCGCGGCTCCGCCTTCCGCGCGCGGATCGCCACGAACCACGACTCGACCTGCTTCGCGATGCGGTCGAGGTACTCGCCCATGAGGAAGGCGCCGGCCGTGGCGAAGGCCTTGGCGGGCCCCCGGGGCCGCAGGGGCGCCGCGGCGCGCGCGTCGTCGTCGCCGCCGTCGCCGTCGTCGTCGTCCGCGACCGGGTCGATCTCCGAGAGGATCGCGTTGTAGGTCTCGAGCCACTCGGACACCTGGAAGAGCTCCTCGACCTCGAGGTCCCGCGCGCGCGCCGGCGACCAGAGCTGGCCCAGCTGGCGCTCGACGTGCGCCTCGAGCGCGGACCGGCAGACGCGCGCGCAGCGCCAGCTCGGCGGCAGCAGCGGCGCGAGGTGGTCGACGCAGGCCTGCGTGTCGAGGATTAAACGGGTGCCCGCCCCCAGCAGGGCCGCCGTCGCGCCGTGGCCCCGGTCCGCCAGCGACATCTGCGCCTCCGCGAAGGCCGTCGCCGCGCGCTTCCGGAAACCGTCGTAGAGTCGCGCGACCGCTCCGGCGCGCGCCGGCGCGCCCGTCGGCGAGTGGCGGAGCCGGTCGAGGGCGTCGGCGGCGTCCTCGCCCCGCGCCTCGGCGTCCGCGAGCGCGTCGCGCCGCAGCCGCTGGCGCTGCAGCGTCTCGTGCAACTCGACGACGCGCGCGGCCGCGACGACGCGCGCCGGGTCGTCCGCGGCCGACGCGAGCACGTCGTCCCCCAGGGGCGCCAGCGCGAACTCGAAGACGTCGTGGACGAGGCCGGCGACGGCGGCGAAGCGGTGCGCCAGCGCCGCGGCGAGGCGGCCGAGCTCCTCGAGGCCGTAGTCGCTCGTCGACCGCTTCAGCCCGTCGGCCGCGCGCGCGCGATCCGTCGCCTGGCGCACGTGGCGCTGGAGCGACGACCGCCACAGTTCCAGCTCCATGGTCCGCTTGTAGACGACGACGACGTCGCGGGGCCGCTCCTCGAGCTGGGCCCGCAGCGCCGCGCAGCGGGACGGGATCGCCGCGTAAAAGTCCATCTGCGCCAGCAGACTCTCCAAGTTGCCCATGGCGACGCGCGCGTCCTCGAGCTCGCTCCGCGGGAACGCCTCGAGCGCCGCGCGCGCGCGCGACGAGCCGGACCGCACGGCCTCGAACTTGGCGTCCATGTCCTTGGACACGCGCGCCGTGTCCTCGAGCGCTCGCACGCCCAGGAACGCGGACTGGCGCTTCGTCTCGAGCGCGACGCGGCAGCGGCCCTCGGCGTCGCGCCGCTGTTGCTCGTAGCGGCGCGCGAGCGCGTCGATGGCCGCGAGGCTCAGGGCGCCGTCCTTGACCTCGCCGAGGATCGCCGCGCGCGCGCGTTCCTTCGCGCGGCCCTCGAGGCCCCGCACGCGGTCGCGCGTCGTCCGCGGGATCTCCTCGCTGAGCCGGCGCGCGCGCGGCGGCGCCGCTGCGGGCGGCGGCGCGGGCGGCGGCGCCGTCGGCGGCTTCGGCGGCGGCGACTTGCTGCCGCGGCGCCGCGGCGCCGCGAGCGGCGCCGCGGCCGCGGCCGGCGGCGCCGCGGTCGCCGGCGGCGGCGACCGGCTGCTCTTGCGCCGCGGCGCCGCGAGCGGCGCGGCCGGCGGCGGCGCCTCGACGGGCGCCGCCGCGCGCCGGGGCGCGCGCGCGGCCGGCGGCGGCGTCGGCGCCGGAGCGGCCGGCGGCGGCGTCGGCGCCGCGGCCGCCGGGCTCGCGCTCGCCGCCGCGCGCGCCGCCGCGCGCTCGCGCCGCAAACGAATGCGCTCTTTCATGTCCGACATCGCCTCGCGGCGGCGTCGCGGGCGCACCGGTGCGGGCGGCGCGCGCGCGCAGAGCTTTTTGCGCTTGCGGCAAATAAAGGGCGATTGAAGCTCTCATTGAACCTTTCGAGCACTCGATTCGTGCTCGAGAATCGACGATGGATTGACCCAGGGCTGGCTCGGTAAGCGACCATGCGGCGCAAGCTCGTGAAGATGGAGCGGCGGTCGGCAACGCTCATGAAAGCCGTGAGCGACGTCAGCGACGCCGCCTTCGACGGCGATGATGACGGCGTCGCACCACACCCGAGCCGGCTCAGCACCACCATCGCCCGCGCCGCGAAGCCCGCCGGCGCGCTCGCCCTCGTCCTTTTCGCCGCTATGATCCCGCTCCGGGTGTATGCGGCTGCCTTGCTCTCCGCCGCGGCCGCGGTCGCCGCGGTCGCCGCGTACCTGTGGCTGCCCGCGGCGGTGGGCGCCGCGCTCTCGGCGCTCGTCTCCAAGTACGCGCTCAACGGCGCCGTGGACCTGGAATTCAGACACCCGCGGCTCGCAGCCTGGTTCGCCCGGGGCGACGGCGCCTGGCGGCTCCACGCGCGCCTCGACGTCGCGCTCTTCCGCTTCGGCCAGCCGCGCGTCGACGGCGTCGACTGGGCGCGGGACGAGGACCACGCCTGGTGCCACGCCGACTTATTGAGCGCGAGCGACGTCGCCGTGGAGGCGAGCATGCTGCCGCGCGAGTTCCTTCGCCTGCCGCTGCTCTTCTCGCGGTGGCGCGCGACGCCGAAGGCGCAGCCGCCGCGGCCGACGGCCGACGGCGGCGACGCGCCCTTCGGGGCCGTGCTCAACCCGGCGACGGGGTGCTGGCAGCACCGGTCGCCCCTGGGCACGATCCGCGTGGAGCAGGTGTCCCTCGGCGAAGTGAGCCTCGCGTTCGAGCACACGCGGCAGCGGCTCAACGTCTGCGCCGTCGGCGACGCGCTCGCGCGCGGCGAGGTGCGCGCGGCGGCGCGGCGGCGCCGCTGCCCGCGGGCGCGGGCGCTCGTCGCGCGCAAGTTCAACCGCCTCGCCGTCGAGGTCGTCGCCGCGCGGCACCTCGACCGCGCGGCCGAGGGCCGCGAGAGGCTCAACACGTTCGCCGTCGTCCAGGTCGTCGCGCAGCAGCGGCGGTCGCGGACCATGATGATGAACGGCGACCCCGTCTACGCGTTCCGGCCCGAGGACCCCTTCGTGCTCACGGAGCCGTCGACGTGCGTCCACGTAGCCCTGTACGACGAGAACTACGTCGGCGACGCGCTGCTGGGCCAGTGGACGACGACGGCCAAGTGGCTCGCCCTGGACCCGACCTACGCCGACGGCGGCCTGGGCGTGGCCGCGGACGGCGGCGACGTCAACGAGGGCCTCGGCTGGGCGGGCTGGGTGCCGCTCCGCGACGGCAAGTGGCGGCCCTTCGACGCGCCGGGCGCGCCGAACACGTCGGACCTGCGGGGCGCGCCGGCGCCGGGCTACCCGGCGGTGCAGCTCCGGCTGCGGTGGTACCGCGACGACGGCGACGACGCCGGCGCGTCCGAGACCGCGGGCCTCACCGCGCTCGAGAAGCTGCAGCTCGACAGCAACGAGACGAACCAGCGCGTCGGCGCCCACGACGCCGTGCGCGGCATGCTCGCGACCTTCCCGTTCTTCCTGCAGATCCGCGCGTTCCAGATCTCGTCCGTGACGTTCTACGTGCGCGACCTCTTCCTCGGGAACAAGGGCAACCTCGAGCGCGTGCGCGACGCCAAGGACGGGCCGCTGGACGAGGCGGACTACCGCCTGGCGAAGAAGCAGGCCGTGCGCTTGAAGGCTACGACCAGCGTCTTGTGGCCGTGACGATTTTCGAGAGATTTCCGCTGGGAAAACGATGAAAAATCGTTGCCGTCATGCTTGGTAGGGGCTCTACCTCAACCTCTACACGACGCGGCGCGACTACGGGCTCGGCGCGCGCGAGACCGCGGACGAGTCGCGCGACGACGACGACGACGACGACGACGACGAGCGGCGGGACAGCAGCCTCCTCGAGCTCCTCCCCGACGCGGAGCGGGTGCCCGCGGCGCCGGCGCCGGCGACGAAGTCCTACCCGGCGCCGCCGCCGCGGTGCGGCACTCTGGACGCCGCGTGCGTGAGCCTCATCCGGGGTTTGGTGAGCCGCGTCGCGGCGTCGGGCCGCGTCGGCGCGTCCATGGGCCACGTCCTCGCGCCCCTCTTCTACCACGCCTTCGGCGGCGGCGCGCCCCAGCGCATCCCCAAGTCGGAGCAGGACGTCGCGAAGAAGCGGACGCGGTCCGACCGCGCGCCCGTCGCGGGGCTCCTGGGCACGCGGAGCGACCGCCAGTTCGCGCTCATGGTGGGCCTCGTCAAGCCGTCGCACAAGCGCATGCGCGCGGACGCGGCCGGCGACCTCTCCCGGCCGCTGGCGGCGTGCGGAATTTTGTTCAAGACGTCGCGGCCGCCGGGCCACCTGCTCGGCCGCCACTGGAAGCACTACCGCTGCGCGCTGCGGGGGGGCACGCTCTTCTACTTCGAGGTGAACTCCAAGGGCAACGCGCGCCACGGCGAGGATTTGGTCGTCGACCTGCGGCGGGTCGTCGGCGACCGCGCGGACGTCGGCGCGGGCCGCTGCGGCCGCGACGAGATCGCGTTCGCGCTGCGCTGCGAGGACGGCGTCGAGAAGCCCCTGTTCCTGCGCGCGCCGGAGGCCGACGAGTTCGACTGGCGCGCGGACTTTCGCGCGTTGGACGCCGCGGGCTGGGACGAGGAGGCGGCGGCGAAGCTGCGGTCGGCGCCGTCGACGACGCGCGAGTGGGCCGCGGCCATCGACGCCGCCGTCGCCGCGGAGAAGGCCAAGCTGCGCGACGAGCTCGCGGGCCTGCGCCGGGAGTGGCGCCGCGACGCGTCGCAGGGCGCGCCGCCGCCAGACGCCGAGGGCCGGCGGTCGCCGCCGCCGGACGCCGGCCCGCCGCGCGGCGCGAACCCCTTCCAGTTCCTCAAGGCCCTCGTCGCGTCGACCGCCGACGACGGGGGCGGCCTCGACGACGACTCGTCGGGCGACAGCGACGGCGGCGCGGGGCGGACGACGGCCGACACCGTGCGCCGGTCGCTGAGCTTCGAGGGGTCGCCGCGGCCGTCGCGGAGCCGGAGCGCCGAGCGGCCGCCGGAGGCCGACGGCGACCCCGAGAGCCGCCTCGCGGGCGCCTGGGAGCTCCGGCGGCGCGGGTCGGGCGTCGACGCGCTCCACCCGGCGATGTCGGCGACGGGCCGCGTCGCCGCGCGCGCGGCCGCGGCGACGGTCTGGATCAAGCGCGCGCGGGGCAAGTGGTTCGTCCACCTCCGCGACGGCGTCATCAGCCACCGCTTCTCCGGGCCGCCGGGGCTGCCCCTGCGCACGGCAATGGACGACGCCGAGTGCGACCGCCGCGCGTTCTTCGTCGACGACACGCTCACGGCGTCCGACGACGCCCTCGAGATCGCCTGCGCCTGCGCGGCGACGGGCGCGCCCGTGTTGAAGTTCCGCTTCGCGCTCCGGCGGGGCGCGACGGCGGGCCGGGACGCGCTCGACCTCGCCGTGTCGCGGAGCGGCCCGGGCCTCGAAGGCGACGGCGACCCGGGCGACCCGGACGAGTACGCCCGCGCCAAGCCCGACCGCGCCCTCGACATCGAGCTGTCGGCGAGCGGGTAACCTTCAGGTAGCTCCTATGCAGCGCCTTCACGGGCGCTTGTAGGTCAACTTACAGACCGTCTGGCAAGACCAACCTGCGTTTTCTTGATTCTCAAAACAGCATGGCGCGCCTTCTCGCCGTTCTTGCGGCCACTGCGTCCTCCACGGGCGCGCTCGAGGGCCTCTTGCGCTTGGACAACATCGCCAAAGAGGGGAATCTGCGCTTGGACAACATCGGCAAACCGCGCCAGCCGCTGGCGCCTCGCGGCGGCGGCGTCTTCGAAGAGGCCTTCGAGGCGGCAGATGTTCTCGCCGGCTACGGGTCCGCCGAGGTCCACTTGTTGGCCCACGCGCGCGCGCACGCCGGCGTGCACGCCGCTACGAGCGCTGCGGGCGCGCTCGAGGCGCCCGAAGGCGTCGCGGACAAGGCGCTCGCCCTCCCGCGCGGCGGCAAGGCGCTCGCCGTCGCGCGCGGCGGCGCGACGGTCGACGGGGTCGTCGAGGCGCTCGCCTACGCGAGCTCGGCGTTCATCTTCCTGCCGGCGGGCCGCGACATCGTGTCCTACGGCACGGCGATCCTGCCCGGCGAGGCGGAGACGCGGCCGCTGATGACCGCGGCGGACCCGTCGGCGCGCGCGATGACCTGGGGCATGTGGGGCCTGAACCACTGCTTCATCACCGCGCTCAAGCTCCTCGCCATCAAGGCCAAGGACAAGGCCATGCTCAAGATGCTCGCGGTCCTCACGGCCGTCTACGTGCCGCTGCTCCTCGTCGGCCAGAAGGAGATGGGGCCGCTCGGCGGCGACGTCGGCGGCTTCGTCGCCATCTGCGCGGTGCAGACGCTCACGCTCGGCTACCTCGCCAAGTGACCAAGATCCAAGAACCGAAGGCGGCGTCCCCGAGCCACCCCGAGGACGACGGGCGCGTAAGAAGGCGCGTCGAGCCCCCGCGCGCGCGGGGGCGGATGGCGGTGTGAGGCTCAGAACATGTTGAGGATGGACTGGTTGAGGTCCTGCGCGGCCGGGGCCGGCGCGGCCGGCGGCGCGCCGAAGACGCCGAAGGGGTCGTCCGTGGGCGCGGCGGCCTTGGGCGGCGCGGCGGCGGGCTCGTCCGAGGACTCGGACTCGTCCGAGTCGTCGTCGTCGTCGTCGTCGTCGTCGCTGTCGTCGTCGTCGTCGTCGGACGACTCGTCGTCGTCGTCGTCCGAGTCGCTGTCGTCGTCGTCGTCCGAGTCGCTGTCGTCGTCGTCGTCGTCGGAGTCCGAGTCGTCCGAGTCGTCGTCGTCGTCGTCGTCGCTGCCCTCCTTGGCGTAGAAGGGCGCGTCCTCGGAGGAGATGCCCTGGGTCGAGATGGGCCCGCCGTCCGTGAGGTCGCGGGGGTCGTCGGGCGCGCGCGTCGCCGGGTCGCGCGTCGCCGGGTCGGGCGGGACGTCGGGCCAGTCCGGCAGGTCCTGGTAGCCGTCGACCTCGTGGCCCACCATGATGGACAGGGAGCCGACGACGAAGTTCGGCAACCCGTCGAGCGCCACGGGCCCCGTGAGCGTGAGCGGCGGCTTCTTCGCGGCCAACACGAGCGCCGGCGCCTTCGCCTTCAACGACGCGAGCGCGGCCTCGTCGACGTGCTCCGACCCGGCCACCGAGAACCCCAGGAGCGCCGTGTAGTAGCGGCCCCGGTCCCGGAGGTCGTGGTTCAGGTCGAAGCGCGCGAGCTCGAGGACGAAGCGGAGGAGCGTCGCGAGCCGCCCGTCCGCCGGGTCCGCGACGTGCGCCTTCACCGCGAGATTCACGACCTGCATCTTCACGAGCGTGTCCTCGCCGGCGAAGCGGCCCGCCAGCAACCGCACGAAGTCCGGCAGCAGGTCGCCCGCGTCGGCCCGGTACTCGCCCAGGAGCCAGACGACGTTCGCGCGCGCCGTCGCGCCCCGCGCGTCCGCGGACAGCTTCGACGCCGCCGCGTTCGCCGACGGCTTGGCCACGTCCAGCCCCTCCGTCGTCTTCTCCGCGGCGAAGGCGTAGCCCCGGCCCTCGGGCTTGAGGAGCAGCCGCGCCAGGCGCAGGACGACGTCCGCGCGGAGCAACCCGGGCTTCGCGCCGTCGTCGGGCGCCGCGCCCGCGCAGGCGCCCTGCTGGAGCAGTTGGCGGATGACGACGACGGCCACGGAGACGACGGCGGCGTCGGACGGCTTCGGGTCCTTGTTGTAGGCCGCGATGAGCGCGAGCAGGCCGCCGACGACGTCGTCGGCGACCGCGGGCTGCGCGTCCGCGACCCTTCCCGTCGCGGCGATGGCGTCGCAGACGAAGGAGCGGTCGTTGGACTTCACATAGGTCTGCAGCTCGCGCAGGATGGGCGTCACGTTCTCGGGCGTCGCTAAAGATACTAAGATCTCGAGCTTGAGCTCGCGGTTGAACCGCGCGTCCGTGCCCTTGACGAAGAAGTCGTTGAGGAAGGGCGCGAACATGGACGGCCGCTCGGCGGCCATGGTCGCGATGGACTTGAGCACGACGTACTGGATCTCGCGCCGGTTCCGGAGGATGCGGACCAGCGCGCGGCCGAGCGTCGCGCCCGTCGCCGCGCCGCGCGTGCCGCAGTAGTAGTGGAGCGTGCACACCCCTAAAACGACGCCCGAGTTGCGGCTCTTGAGCAGGGGCAACGACGACCGCAGGGCCAGGCGGTGGTCCGGGTCGAGGTGGCCCTCGGACTCGCCGGGGCCCTCCTTGGTCATGAGCCCCGACGACGGCGGCAGCTCCGGGTCGCGGGGCGCCGCGAAGCCGCCGAAGCCGCTCTCCTCGACGTCGACCTCCTCCTCCTGGCTCTCGTCCTCCTCGTCGGAGTAGAAGGCCTTCTTCACCGTGCGCCGCTTCACCTTGCGCGGCGCGGCCTGCGCGCCCGCGGCCGACCGCCGCTGCGCGAGCGCCTTGGCCGCGTCCGCGGCGCCGGGCGCCGGGTCGACGAACTGCGTGCGGATGTAGCGCGCGAGCGTCTTGAGGATGATGATCTGGGCCCACTCGTCGACGTCCGCGAGCAGGTGGCAGAGCTTCCGGTACGCGCGGTGCAGGAGCGCCCAGTTGTCCGGGCAGACCTCGGAAAAGGCCTGGACGGCACTTCCAAGCACCATGGTCGACGAGTCGCGCAGGAGCTTCTCGATGAGGCCGTGGAGCGTCTCCGCCTGGTCCGGATCCAGCTTGTAGATCTTCGAGATCGCGTTCGCCGCGCACTTGCGCACGTAGGGGCTGCTGTCGCTCGCGCACTTGCGCACGGCCAGCAGCTGGATCTGGATGATGTCGGCGACGCGGATCGACGTCATGACGCGCAGCGCCATGGCGCGGATGAGCTGGTTCGACGCGGCCAAATCCTTCTGGAACGAGTTGATCGACAGCAGCGCCATCTCGCGGCACGCGTGGTTCGCGTCGCAGTAGTGGCTCAGGTACATGTAGACCATCTTCTTGACCTCGACGGACTTGGCCACGACGTTCTTCACGACGTCGCTGAAGAAGTCGCTCGCGTCGCGCCTGCGGGCGCGGTCGAAAGCGAAAGCGGCGCGGCGCGCGCGCGCGGGGCGGCGGGGGCGGCGTCGACGCGGGAACCGCGCCCCTTGGACATCATGGCGAGGAGCCACTTCATGCCCTTGGCCTTGTCGTAGTCCCGCGTCGAGTCGAGGTACTGCTTGATGCGCGTCGGGTTCATCTGTTCCTCGAGGAAGTGCGAGTCGCCGGACACCGTGCCCATCTTCGACGTGGCGGCGTTCATGGCCGACGGTCGCCGCGGCCGGCGCGCCGCCGCCCGCGACTACGAACGACGAGGGACTCCGGCGCGCGCGCGCGCAGGCAGCCGCGCGTCGTGCTCGCCGCGGAGACGATCGTCTACCACGCCAAAGGTGCTGTCGAGATTGCCGTGCTGCCCTTCCACCGTGGCCGCCGAGCGAGGCAGCCCGCGTCGGTGGCATCCATCGGCGCCGCGGCGGAGGCGGCCCCATGGCGTCGCCGCGGGAGCGGGCGATCTCGCCGCCCATCGAGGTCACGGACATGCGCGGCTTCGGCGGCCGCATCTGGGCGCGGCCCTTCATCCGGGCGCAGCGCGTCGTCGAGGAGGCCGACGAGGAGCGCGCCGCGGCGCTCGAGGCCTGGTTCCGCGACCTCGGTGTGAGCAGCGCTTCGGGCGCGGCGCACCCCATCGACGGCGTCCTGGCGACGGGCGGCGTGCGCGCCGCGGGTTTGGTCCTCCGCGCGGCGCGGTGCCTCGTGGGCGAGGAGAACGGCAAGGTCTTCGGCGACGCGCACGGCGACGCCTGGCGCGACGCCCGGGGCATCGCGCGGCGCTTCTCGGCGTGCGCCTTCGCGCGCTGGCCCGGCGGCGACGTGCCGACGCCCTTCGACGCCATCGAGGCCGGGGAGATTTTACTGTATTGCGCGGCGTGCTGCGACGACCGGCCGGAGCGGCGCGGCCGCGTCGTGCGGCGCATCCTGAGCCTGGCCCTGCCCTTCCAGCGCGAGCTCATGGACGCGCTGCGGCGCCAGCGCCGGGCCGAGGAGGGCCGCGACGTCGCCGCCGGCGCGGCGGCGATGACCGTCGTCCCGGACCCCATCGCGCACCTCGCGGCGGGCGACGACGGCGGCGACCTCGTGCGGCCGCCGGCGCGCGACGACCCGCGCGGGCCGGGGGTCTGCGACCCCGAGGACGCCGCGCTGAAGACGCGGTTCCTCGACGCCGTCCGGAGCGGCCGCCCGCTGCGCGTCCGGGGCGCCGCGCGGCCGGGGTTGGACGTGCGGAACTTGATCGCGCTGGGCGAGCACCTCGGCGACGACGGCGGCACCATCGCCGTGCACCTGCCGCGGGAGAAGCCCGAGCCGTCCGGGCTCTACGTCGTCGACGGCGAGGCGAAGCTCCAGAAGCAGCGCGAGTCGTCGCTGGTCGAGTTTCTGCGGTGCGCGTCGTCGACGGAGGACCCGCGGCCCTGCTACGGCTGCCAGATCCCCCTCGCGGGGCCCGACGCGGCCGCGGGCCCGCTGCGGGCCGCGCTCGCCGTCGCGGCGCGCGCCGCGATCCCCGCGTGGGCGTCCTACGCGACGACCGCCGCGGACAGGGCCATCGCCGGCGGCGGCGACGACGGGTCCGCGCGGCTGAACGCCTGGATCGCCTGCGGCGACGCGCCCATGGCGACGGTCGCGCACTTCGACGGCTTCGAGAACTTCATGGTCGTCCTGGAGGGCCGGAAGATGGTGGAGCTCTGGCCGCCGGGCGAGCCGGGCTTGTGCGCGCAGACGGCGCCCTTCATGAGCCACGCGCGGCGCGGCACGGACCTGCCGGAGCCCGTGGAGCGGCTCTTGTTGGAGGCGGGCGACGTCGGGTTCTGGCCGACGGGCTGGTGGCACCGCGTCGTCTCCGCGCCGCGGACCCGGGCCGTCAACGTCTGGTGGCACGGCCGCCACCACCGGGCTTTGACGCAGGGCGTGCCCCCGGAGCTCATGGCCTACGCGATCCGGTCGCTGGCCTCGGACGCGGCCGAGGAGAAGCTGCTGGACGCCGCGGACGCGCGGCGCCGCGCGGACGCGCTGCTGGAGTGCCACCCCGTCGACGAAAAGCTTCCGGCGGCGCTGCTGGGGGGCGACGATGTCGTGGCCTCGGCCTGCCTCCGGAGCCGGACGCTGAAGAGGGACGCGCTCGCGCAGGTCGTCGCGGACCACCCGGCGAGCTGGGCGGCCTTTTTTCCGGGGCGGCTGACGTCGGACCTGACGGCGCACGTGCTGACGAACTACTTCGGCCTGGACCACCTCGACTTCTTGTTCGACGCGCACGGCGCGGATCGCGCGCGCGCGAAGAAGCACCTGTTGGACCGCGCGGAGCGGTGCGCGACGGCCGCGTGGCGCGACGTCGTCCTCGACGCGTCGGGGCTGCGGTCGGACCCGAGCGTCCACGTCCTCGAGGACGACGAGGACCCGCGCGGCGGCGCCGCGGCGCGGCAGCCCGCGTCGCCGACCGCGGCCCGCCTCGCGGCGCTCTGCCTGGTCCACGACCAGCGCGAGGACCCGCGGCTCGACGGGCCGCAGTAGTGTAACGGGGAGTTTGTTTGTGACTTGGTCTAGCCGGCGAGGCCTCGGGTGCACGCGGCGGATCGACAAGCCTATCGACCCCCGGCGGCCCGGCGGCTCTGCGAACGCGCATCCAGCTGCGGGTCCTCGACAGACGAGGCTCGGCTCGAAGTGGGCGTCGAGGCTGCGGTAGACCGCGCCGGGGCCGTCGCGCGCACGCTCAGCACTGCGACGAACGCGCCGCCACTCACTTTCACCTGCGCCACCGCCGCCGCCGCGCCGCGCGCCGCGCCGCCTGCGCCGCGCCGTTCTTCGATGGCTTCTACCGCTCAGTTCACGGCCGCAATGGAAGCGCCTGTCATCGAAGTGCTAAACGCGAAAATCGTTGTCTCATTAGCCGTGCCTAAATCAGCCGCGCACGTCCTCATCTATTTATTTGAGGGCGACGACGAAGTCAAGCTCTTGGTTCCCGCCACGGGCGTGATGCTACCGCCCGGCGCGGTAGGCCGCGCCTGGCGTGTCACGCCGTCCCAGCGTACGCCTTTCACGAAGCTCGCCTTCACTGTCGAAGGGCTCAAGCCCGACGTCAAATATACGGCGACGTTCTGCGCGCGCGAATCTGACGAGATTTCTTTCGGCCCGGAGTCGCCTCGGAGTCTGCCCAAGACGTTCACGCTGCCGAAAGCGCCCGCCATGCCCGTCGTGGTTCCGGCTGACATGGGGTCTGCGAACGTGTTCTTCGCCGCGCCGTTCAGCTGCAACGCGATCGAGATCGTCTTCACCAACGAGGCCGGGGATGAAATTCGCGAGAAGCAGATGATGACGACTCCAGTGTCACGGACTTCCTACAAAAAGGTCTCAGGGTTGGAACTAGGGAAGAAGTATACTGTGGTCGTTTTCAGCTTGAACGGCGCCGGTCGAACTCCATCGCCTTCTACGTCGTACTGCTCCAAGGAATTTGCGCCGATTGCTCCGGGCGCTCCAGACGTGGAAGTCCTCGGCGACACGTCGGTGCGCGTCTCTTACACGCTCCCTTTGCAAAATATTGCGCGCGTGGCCACAACTGCCGCTTCGATTAGTTTCGCAACCGGCGGCATGACGTCCTTTGTTCATTCGCAGAAAATGGTTCTCGTTTCAACAGCTTCCTACTTCGGACGCCAGCCTAATGCCGTAACCGTCACTGGCTTGACCGCCGACACCACATACAGCATCTCCGTGAACGCCGCCAACAGCTTTGGGACCTCGCTTCCGTCCCCGGAGACCACGGTGACCACGGAGAAGTCTGAGGTCGAGGTGACGCGCGTGCGCTCTTCCGATGAGCGTGATGCCGAGCTCATCAAGAACGCCGTCGTCGTCGACGAGGAAAACGCGGCGCCGCACGCGAAGCGCGCGAAGTCTGAGCCTCTCAGTGCGCAAGAACTTGAAAATTTGCCAAGAATTTCGAAAAAGTGAACACGCGGCCATCATAAAGATCCCACCCGCCCGTGTTTAAAACTGGAGCAGCGCGGCCGCGAGGGCGAGGAGGAGCAGGGCCGCGAGGCGGTGGTTGGCGTCGCGGGCGTCGGGGAGGTCGACGCCGCGCTCGACGTCGTTGGCCGCGGCGTCGACGGCGTAGGCGACGGGCGCCGCGGCGAGGAGCGAGCCGCCGAGGAGGGCCGGCAGGCCGCAGAGGGCGCCGAGCGCGTAGGCGCGGTTCGCCGAGAAGGGCGCGTCGTCGCCGAGGAGCGCGACGGCGAGCGTCGCGAGCGCGGCGGGCGCGGGGCCGAACGCGCGGCCGAGCGCGGGCTCGCACCAGCAGAAGAGGTAGCCGTAGTGCCCCGCGCCGAGGGCGTGGTAGGCGAGCACCGGCGCCAAACTCACGGGCTTCGGCGGCGGCGGCGGCGGCGCCGCGGGCATGACCGGCGGCGCCTTGGCGCCGCGATCCGTGTCGACGAGCCAGTCGTCCAGCGCGTTCAGGTCCGCGGTGTCCTCGTCGTCGTCCGTGTCGCTCTCGTGGTCCAGCAGCTTCGTGCGCACGTCCTCGACGACGACGTCCTCCGTGCGCGTCTTGCCCTTGACGACGTAGGTCTTGGCGATGCGGCGGACGCGTTTCGCCGTCGTGACCGCCGAGGCCTTCAACGCGTTCTTCGCGTCCTTGAGCCGCGGCCAGAGCGAGTAGGCGACGACGGCCTGGGCGATGATCGCTACGAGCACCTTCGGCCCGCCGAGGCCCAGGTCGGCGGCGGCCGCGGAGCGGCCCACGGAGACGAAGAGGGCCGGGATCGCGACGCCGACGAGTAGCTGCAGCAGCGCGAAGCACACGGCGCCCGGCGCGCGCTGTTTCGCGCCGCGCCGCCGCCGCCGCGCCAGGTAGCAGAGCGCCACGTAGACCGGCGCCGACGCCGCGACGAGCGCCGGCTCGAGCGACGCCATGCGGTCGCTGTGGAACGCGAACGCGTCCGCCACGACGCCCGTCGGCGGCGCCGCGGACGGCGGGAACGGCGCGCGGCCCGGCGCCGGCGTCTTCCGCCAGGTCTTCGGCGACCACCACTTGCGCGGCGCCAGCGCGAGGGGCTCGTCCGCCGAGGGGCCCTTCGCCTTCCGGTAGACGTGGCACCAGTGCGTCACGGGCTCGGGCGCGCCGCCGTTCGGGGGCGCGAGCGTGCCCGACGCGCGCACGACGACCTCGATGTCGAGGTGGAGGAGCTGGCGCAGCGCCGACGGGATGACGAAGGTCGCCAGCCGCTCCCGCTCGCGGCACCGGTCCTCGTAGGGCGAGCACGTCGGCGCCGTCGCGGACGTCGCCGCGCGCGCCTTGGACCCCCTGGGGTCGCACATGTCCTGCGGGAAGGACCCGAAGGCGTGGACGAAGAGGTTGAGGAACGACGCCGACGTCTTCACGTCGACGTAGTAGCCCGTGACGTTCATGCCGCAGGCGCGCCCGTGCGGCATCCAGGGGATCTCGAGGTGGGTCCCGTTGTCCTGCGGCAGCGACCAGCGCTCGATGTGGTCCGCCGGCTGCGTGAGCGAGAAGCCCGTCATGTCCGACTCGCAGAAGCCGACCTCGAGACCCATTTTACGACTTCGCTGCGAGTGATTGCGTCGACGGGACGACGACGACGCCGACAGCGAAGCCGACGCAATTTGTCCACGGCACCACACACACCCTAATGGTGCGGCCACTAGACGTCCGCGCCTCCAGCGCGCACGGACGCGCGCGTCGAGCGGCCCGAGAGCGGTTGGCGCTGTCGACTGCTACCTCTAGGAGGGCCGGAAACGCTCTTCTTTGTTTCGTAGACCCGACTTCGCGCGCGCACGCGTCGGTCGACAAAGTGGCGGAATCGGCCGAGCCAGCCGTGCTCCGGCGGATCAGCGTTTGAATAGCTTCTTTTGCGACTGGAGGCTCGTCATGGTGGTGCGAGTCGATGGTGCGACGCACTCTTTGTGGTTCGTCGACTTTTGGGCGACTCGCGAATGTCCGCCGGGCGCCGAAGCGCTTCGACCGAAAACGCGAGCCGCGGTGCGCCTGTGGGCGCTGGCGGCGGTCTGGCTGTCGTCGAAGGCGTGGACCATATGTTACGAGCGGGCGAAGGCGTCGGAGTCGCCCCGGGTTGCGAAATCGGCGTGCGAGAGGTTGTTCTGGTCAAAAGTGGCCTCAAATAGCCCGAAAACGAATGATTTCGGCGCCAAACGCAGCGTTTCGCGTCGACCGATCACCGTCGCTGTGTTCCGCCGGGCGGTTCGACATCATAGAGCTCCTGCACGGCGATCTACACCGTCTCCGACGCCCACAAGGTGCCCGACACTCGCCGAAAGCGTCCCGGCCGAGAAGCGGCGAATGGTCTCCGCGGCCTGTTTCGACCGCGTCCGGGCCTCGGTCGAGGTTTGTGCGACCTGCCCGTCCGTCGACGGTCCCGACCGCAGCCGCGGGCGGCTGGATCGCCGCAGAGAGCGCCTTGGAGCGCCTCCAGGGGCTCAAAATAGCTCATTTTTACCTAAAAGCACTCCCATAAGGCTCTCTAGAGCTTACCCACGCAAGTTCCTGCTTAAGCGTGAACGAAACCGACGCGGGCGGCTCTCAGGAAAGCACGGGCGGCCCGCGGAGGCTGGCTACAGAGCCTGCAGGAGCAAATTTAGGTGAAAATGGGCTATTCTGAGCCCCTGGAGGCGCTCCAAGGCGCTCTCTGCGGCGATCCAGCCGCTCGCGGCTGCGGTCGGGACCGTCGATGGACGGACAGGTCGCACAAACCTCGACCGAGGCCCGGACGCGGTCGAAACAGGCCGCGGAGACCATTCGCCGCTTCTCGGCCGAGACGCTTTCGGCGAGTGTCGGGCACCTTGTGGGCGTCGGAGACGGTGTAGATCGCCGTGCAGGAGCTCTATGATGTCGAACCGCCCGGCGGAACACAGCGACGGTGATCGGTCGACGCGAAACGCTGCGTTTGGCGCCGAAATCATTCGTTTTCGGGCTATTTGAGGCCACTTTTGACCAGAACAACCTCTCGCACGCCGATTTCGCAACCCGGGGCGACTCCGACGCCTTCGCCCGCTCGTAACATATGGTCCACGCCTTCGACGACAGCCAGACCGCCGCCAGCGCCCACAGGCGCACCGCGGCTCGCGTTTTCGGTCGAAGCGCTTCGGCGCCCGGCGGACATTCGCGAGTCGCCCAAAAGTCGACGAACCACAAAGAGTGCGTCGCACCATCGACTCGCACCACCATGACGAGCCTCCAGTCGCAAAAGAAGCTATTCAAACGCTGATCCGCCGGAGCACGGCTGGCTCGGCCGATTCCGCCACTTTGTCGACCGACGCGTGCGCGCGCGAAGTCGGGTCTACGAAACAAAGAAGAGCGTTTCCGGCCCTCCTAGAGGTAGCAGTCGACAGCGCCAATCGCTCTCGGGCCGCTCGACGCGCGCGTCCGTGCGCACCGGGGGGGCTGGACGTCTAGTGGCCGCAGCACCCCCTCTGATTAGGGTGTGCACAGCGGCACCGTCCTCGCGAATCCTTGAGCTCATGAGGAGCCAACTTTGAGTCCGTCGGGGCAGCATGTCGGGCTACACGGACCTCGACGCGCCGCCGCGGCGCGGCGTGCACCGCGTCGTGGGCTTCGGCGCCGGCGCGGCCCTGCTCTTCCTCGGCTTCGCCGCCTCGCGCAACGAGTGGCACTTTCTGGAGGAGGAGCTCAAGGAGAAGCGCGGCATGCACGCCGCGGCGGCGGAGCCGACGACGTCCGTCGTCACGCTAAACTCCACGGACTTCACGGCCATCGACGCCGTCTGCGAGCACGTGGCCAAGATGGAGGGCGTCGGCGACTGCCGCGATCTGGACGACGACACGCTCTGGCGGTACGTGCCGCGGAAGATGGAGCTAGAGGTCGACCGTGAGCTAGTAGAGGGATCCATCGGTTCCGTGGCGCTCGGGGGCTACGTGGCCTTCAACATGGTCTGGCAGGATACGACGGGCGACTTCGCCTCCTCGTGGTTCGTCGTCGTGTCCTACGCCGGAGAGATAAAGACGATGGTCCCGCTCCACCAGGGCGGCGACGTCTGGCGCGCCGCGGGCCTCAAGCCCTGGTCCGAGTCCGAGTTTGTCTTCGCCGCGGGCAAGAACACGCTCCTCAAGGGCTACGCGTTCAAGGTGGACTGGCGGACGGGCGCGTACGAGCGCCTGACGGACGTCGAGATCAACACGCACGACGTCCAGAAGGGCTACCAGGGCAACGCGTTCTGGAGCGCCCTGCCGTCGGAGGAGTTCCAGGAGACGTGCGTCGACCTCGGCACGGCCTGCCCCAAGTCGTCGGCCATGCGCATCTCGGGCGTGCCCCGCGCGGACGTGCAGGATCTGAACCACATCCAGGCGCTGGAGGACGACGCGTATCTCCTGATCTCGTCGCGCATGACGAACACGCTGTACTACGTCCACGCGGGCAACGGGTCGAAGATCTGGGCTTTGGGCGGCGACGACGGCGACTTCGGGGTCGGATACACGGGCGACTACTACGCGCCGGGCGAGAGCTACTGGGTCGGCCAGCACAACGCGGAGTTCATCGGCAAGAGCCAGTACGCGCTCATGAACAACAACTTCGACACGAAGAAGAATTCCAAGCTGCTGATCGTCGAGTTCGCGCCCGACTCCGACGACGCGAACGCGACGGTCGTCTGGGAGTACGACACGGGCGCGTACTCGCAGAACTTCGGCGACAACGACCGCCTGCCCACGGGCAACATGCTCGCCTGCTGGTGGCCCAGCGAGACGATCAACGGCTCCGACGCCTACGAGGCGCGCGTCGCCGAGATCGCGCGCGACTCCATGGAGACGGCCTTCCGGCTGGACATCTACGGCAAGAAGACGTGCGCCGACGGCGAGACGTGCGCGCGCGGCACGGGCTGGCTCATGTACAGCGTCGAGCGCTTCTACGAGGGGCCCCTCGTCTACGACGTCACCTGCGACGGCCACGACGTCACCTTTGGCGTCGCGAACGCGTTCAAGCAGGCGAGCCAGTACGAGGGCTTCTTCAACATCACCGACGACAAGGACGCGGAGCTGGCGACGGGTCGGTTCAGCTTCGCGCCCCACTGGCGGGCGACGGCGGTCCACGCGAAGCTCGCCGCGACGTCGAAGACGGGCACGATCTACGTCGAGAACCAGTTCGGGTCCAACGCGACCGCGACCTACGACTGCCGCCAGGACAAGCCCTAGGCCGTGCCCCCACCTGTATGTTCACTTTTGATGTTGATGTCACGCGAGGCTCCGGGGCCGCGCGCGCGCCGCGGCCTTCTTCGGCGCGCCGTCGAGGGGCGCGGGCGGCGGCTCGTCGTCGTCGTCGCCGCGGCCGCCCTTGCGCTCGGGCACGATGGACGACACGAACCAGCACTGGTCGAAGCCGTCGAAGCGCTCCGTCTCGCGGGGGTCGATGCTGAGGCGCTCCGGCGGCGGCGGGTCGTGCTGGCGCATGAGCGTGAAGACAAAATAGACCGGCGGCGCGGCGTCGGCCGCGGCCTGGAGCCAGCCGCCGTCGGACGCGTCGTACATGTCCGCGTGGAAGGTCTTCACCTTCACGCGCGCCGTGTAGCGGGGCAGGCGCCCGTTCGCGCGGTCGTTGATCGCTAGACCGGACACGATCTCCGCCCAGCCGTGGCCGATGAGGCCCGGGCACGTCTCGTCGAGCGTACACCGCAGGCGCCGCCGCACGACGTCCGCGGGCGGGTCGAGCTGGCCGCCGCCGCCCTGCGCGCGGCCCTCCTCGACGATGATGGCGCGCCAGGCGCGCGAGCAGAGCGAGTAGGCCGTCTGCAGGTCGTTCGTCGACAGCGCGCGCAGCTGGGCCTCGATGACCTCCGTCGGCGGCGTCGACGCCGTCGGGAAGCGCCCTTCGTTCGCCGGACTGCTCGCGGGCGGGAGCCGCTTCGACGGCGGCTGCAGCGCAGCGGCGGTCGCGAGCAGCGCGAGCAGCGCGGCGTGGACCATAATTGCGCGGCCAGAGGCGCGCGATTTGTTCTCGAGATTTGCCACAAGATTTAGCGAGATGTTAACCCCATTTTCTTGCACCTGTAATTAAAAAGCCAGCGGCATGGCCAGCGGCATGGGGCGGCCCTAGCGAAGATGCGCCACGTCCTCGCGTCCCTGCTCGCTCTCACCCATGCGCGCCTCGCGGAGCGGCGCGGCTTCTTCGAGCTGCACATGGACCTCCAGCTCGACGAAGGCCAGGTCCTCTTCGTGACGCGGGACTACCGCATCGACGAGGACGTGGCCCTCCTCTGCGCCGCCGTCGCGCCGACCTCGGCGAGCTGCCCGAGCATCGCAAAAACCGCGGCGTCGCACGTGCTGGACCGCTGCCTCTACCTCATCCACCTGGGCACGGACGACGGCAAGGCCGCGTGCAAATGGGTCGTCGCGGACGCGACGGAGACGGAGGCGTCGCCGCCCGAGGACGACCTCGTCGCGCTCGTCGACGCCTACGATGCGGGCCCGGGCCTCGAGAAGTACCGCCACTACTTCGAGGTCTACGAGCGGCATCTCGCGCCCTTCCGGCGTCGAAGCTTCCGCATGCTCGAGATCGGCGTCGCCGACGGCGGCTCGAGCGTGCTCTGGCGGTCGTGGCTCGGGCCGGGCCTCGAGCTCCACTGCGCCGACATCAACCCGCGCTGCGTCGCGGGCGACCCGGCCGCGACGACGCACCACGGCGACCAGGCGGACCCGGCGTTCCTCGCGCGGATCCTGGCCGCGGCGTCGGGCGCGCTCGACGTCGTCGTCGACGACGGCGGCCACGGCATGCGCCAGCAGATCGGCACGTTCGAGTTCCTCTACCCGAGGCTCGCGGCCGGCGGCGTCTACGTCGTCGAGGACTGCCACACGTCCTACTGGCCGTCCTTCGGCGGCGACGGGCCCCGGTCGTTCGTGGAGTTCGTGAAGCGGAAGATGGACGCGCTCCACTACTTCCACCTCCCCGTCGCGTCGGACGCGCGCGCGCGCCTGTCGGCGGAGGACGTCGCCTTCGCGCGGGAGACCAAGGCCATCAGCGTCTTCGAGTCCGTCGTCGTCTTCGAGAAGCGGGAGACGGCGATCTCGCCGACGGATTTAGCCCCGGTCATCCGGGGCTCCGTGTTCACGCCGGGCGTCGGCCAGCGCGCGGACTCGACGGCCGGGATCGGCTACGCGCTCTACGACGCCTAACGTGTACGGCAGCCGCCCCGGGCGACCCAGGCCCGCGCGTCCTCGGGCCGGAGGCGGACGTACTGGGGCAACGGCCAGTGCGCGTCCGCGCGGAGGCACTTGAAGCGGCCCGAGTGGTCCTGGAGGTACTCCTCGTCGTGGGGCCAGTTGTACATGACCCGGTCCTTGCCCTTGGCGTCGAAGATGGGATCGTAGAGGAAGGTCTTCGACGCGAGGTGGCGCGCGGCGCCCGCGAGCTCCGAGAACGTCGAGCTCAGCGCGCCGACGGTCGTCCGCGAGTTCGCGAGCAGCAAAAAGTCGGCCACGGACGCCCAGCGCTCGTGGGCGAGCTCGCCCCAGTCGCGCCCGGCGAGCACGGCCTTGACGTCCGTCCGCGCGACCTTCTTGAGCGCGTCGCGGCGGCTCAGGGGCATCGCCGACGCGTTCAAACACCGGAAGTCGAGCCGCGCCGCCGCCGCGGCGCCGACGGCGCCGCGGATGGCGTCGTACAGCCGCTCGACGCGGCTCGGCAGGTCCGTGGCGACGAAGACCGTGCGCCGGCCGCTCCCGGCGTCGTCCGCCAACGCCACCTTCACGCAGCGCGCGGCGTTCGCTTCGATCGCGTCGAGGGGCTGGTGCCGCCGATGGCGCACGTGGACGCCGACGTCGAAGAGGCGGTCCCCCGACCGCGGGAGCGTCTCGTCTAAAATCGACGACAGGGCGAAGGTCCCGTCGCCCGGCGCGGGCTGCGGGTCCAGGAGCGCGTCGTAGAGCAGGCCCCACGCGTTGACGCCGGGCGCGCCGAAGAGCGCGCGGAGCCGGTCGCCGAGTTCGCCCGCCGCCGCGGCGTTCTCGAGGAGCAGCGGCGCGAGCCAGGTCACGGCGGACCGCACGTGGACCAGGGGCGCGTCGCCGCGCGACAGCGCTGCGTCGTCGCAGAGCAGCCACGAGACGCCCGCGCCGCACGCGTTTTCATTCAAACACCGCGCGGACATGGGGAAGAAGTCGCGCACGGCCTCGGCGCCGTCGGCGCCGCAGCCGCCGCACTTTTCGCAGCCGCCGGCGGCGCCAAAGGCCGCGAGCACGGGCTCCTTCGACGCCCACCGCCGTTCGACGGCCCCGAGGTAGCGCCAGAAGCCCGCGCGGAACTTCTTGTCGTCGCTCACGAGCAGCGTCCGGTTGCTCGCGACGGCGAAGGCGAGCGCGTTCAGCGCCACGTTCGCGCTGTTGCCCAGGCCCCGGCCCCAAAAGTCGGCGCTCACGAAGCGCTGGCCGCAGGGGTCCGCGGCGACGCGCGCGACGACAGCCTCCGTCGACGCCGCGTGCTCCGCGACGTAGCGCGCCAGCAGGCCGCGCACGGCGCCGTCGTCGCCCGGGGCGGCGGCGGCCACCGCGACGATCAAAAAGGTGAGCAGCATATGCATATGCATCCCATCGTCATCGTGCTTTGCTCTGTAGGGTTAACATTAGCTTCTTGAAACGGACCCGGGCCCGCGTTATCGATGGGCGTCTCTTCCAACCAAAACACGGCGCGGTCCGCGCGGAGCGGGCGCAGCGGGAAGCAGGGCCACGGCGAGGAGGAGAAGCAGAGCAGCGGCCATGGCGCGCCGGTGCTGCCGCGGCTCGGCGTCGGCTACGATGCGCCCGGCGCGCTCGACTGCTTCGCCGACGGCACGCCGCCCGTCGGGCGGTCGCTGCCCGCCTTCTGGATCAAAGAAGAGGAGAAAGCGACGGTGACGCGCAAGCGCAAGAAGACCATGGACCCCGAGTTCCTCAACCTGTTGCATCGCAAGCTCCACGAGGCGACGTCGAAAGCCGTCGGCAACGACTGGTCCATGCTCTTCAGCAACGCGGACAAGGACGCGTCGGGCACGCTCGAGCTCGACGAGCTGCGGCGCCTCGTGCGCACCACGTTGAAGATCCCGCCGACGGGCATGTCCAACGACATGGTCAAGCAGCTCTTCCAGGTGCTCGACTACAACGACAACGGGTCCATCGAGACGCACGAGTTCGAGACCTTCCTCAAGCACGGCGCCGACGTCATGCGCACGGAGAACCAGGCCGAGGACCCCAACGCGAGCCGCGAGGCGACGCCGCGCCCCTCGATCGTGGAGGCGAACCCGGCCGCGGGCACGGTCCGCGCGCGCGAGGTCAACCAGCCCTTCCTCCAGCACCACGTGCGCGAGATCCGCATGGAGAACAAGCGCGCCATGGCGTCGACGCGCGAGAAGCTCATCTTCGAGCTCGCGAAGCAGACCCAGCTCGGCCTCTCGAAGCACCTCGGCGTCCACTACGAGATGACGTCCGTCGCAAACGTCGTCCGCCTCGCGATCCAGAACGAGCACCTCCACGCGGCGGAGATCGACGCCCTGCCCAACGCGGGCGACGTGCGCAAGGCCAAGGAGGTCTTCAAGGCCGTCCGCTCCTACAACCTCAAGAAGGTCGCGACGCTCCTCGAGATCGACGTCCCCCGGACGCCCACCTGGGGGAGCATGTCCTAACGGTGCTACGACCGGCGCGGCGCGGCGTGGTAGGCGGCAACCGCCTCCCGCTGGGCGTCGCGGCACAGCGTCGCGATGCGCCGGAGCTGCACGTCGACCGCGGCGCCGTTGCCCGGGTCGTTGGCGACGACGAACTCCCAGGGCGCGTAGTCGTCGAGCCCGCACTCGGACTCGGCGTCGTCGACGCCCGCGGCGAAGGCCCAGCCGCGCGCCGCGCGCGTCGCCTCGGAGGCCGAAACCCGGACGCGGACGACGGTCTTCACGCGCTTCAGGAAGAAGTCGACGTCGCCGGGCCGCCGCGCGTCGGAGACGATGAGCACGGGCCGCGTCGCCGCGTCCAGGACCTTACGCGCGAAGAAGCCCGGGTCCGCGTGCCTCCGCGCCTCGCCCCAGGCGATCATGGGCTTCCGGTGCTTCTCCTTGTACGCGCTCGCGGTCAGGAGCTCGGCGTAGTCGAGGCCGTGCTCCTCGGCGTAGGCGCGCTTCAGCGGCGCCGACACGGACCCGATCTCCGCGATGGACTCGCCGACGAGGGCCAGCAGCTTGTCGGAGCAGTAGTCCTTGCCGCTCTTGCGCTTGCCCGAGAAGACGACGGCGAGGTGGACGACGGCCTCCGACGCGTCCGTCTTCGCGCAGAGGCGCCGGTAGAGCCAGTAGGAGAAGCCCAGGGCCGCCGTGGCGCCCAGGGCCGCCGCGGGACGCACGGCCATCGGGCTCGGCAGGTGCGGCGCGCGCGGCTCGACCAGCGTCCACAGGGCGCACGGGCTGTGTGAGCTCCGTTCGGCGATCCGTTAGAGCTGACGATAAATTTTACTGCAAGTTTGTTGAGCGCCGCACCGAGGCAGCCCGCAGCGCGGCCGGCGTCGGCCGCCGGGCCGCGCGCCGGTGCGGAGCGATGGCGCAGAAGAAGTACAGCCCGTTCGCGAAGAAGCTGCAGGTCCACCCCGTCGACGACGACGGCGCCGCGCCGGAGGCGGCGACCAAAACGCTCGAGCCGGCGACGATCCGGGAGGACTACGCCCAGGACGTGCAGTACTACAAGGACCTGTTGGCGCACCAGGAGACGGGCCTCCTCTGCTGCCGTTCGTCGCTGATCATCAACCCGAAGGGCCGCTACATGCACTGCTGGGACATGGCCGCGCTCGTCGCGCTATTGCTCACGGCAGTCGCGACGCCGTTCGAGGTCGCGTTCGTGCGCTTCGCGCCGGAGACCATCGGCGAGGCGACGTCGCAGGGCACGAAGGCGCGCTGGTTCTTCTTCAACCGCGCCGTCGACGCGGCCTTCTCCGTGGACATGGTCCAGACGTTCTTCATCCCCTTTAGAGATCCGAAGCACGGCGGCCGGCTCTGCAAGAACCACCGGCGCATCTTCTGGAACTACGTGCGGGGCTTCTTCATCCTGGACTTTCTGGCCGCCATCCCCTACGACCTCATCGTCATGACGACGGGGGGCGGCATCCTGAAGATGCTGCGCCTGATCCGGCTGATACGGGTCGCGCGCCTCGGGCGGATCAAGGCCATCTTCCAGCGCTACATGCAGCGCGTGACGGTGAACTACGCCGTGCTCGCCCTCTGCCAGTTCGCCTTCTTTCTGCTGTTGTCCGTGCACTGGATCGCCTGCATCTGGGGCATGGTCGCGTCCCACGAGGCCGTCGGCGTCGACACGAAGCCCGTCTTCTCGTGGCTCGACGCCTTGGAGCGGAACAAGCCGTCGTCGTGCATGTGGATGGGCTCTACGCCGGGCGTCGAATACGTGAACGGCGCGTTCGTCGCCGTGCCCGCGGGCGAGCTCGCGTGCCAAAACTACCGGAAGATCGCGGACCGCTACTTCCCCGCGCTCTACTTCGCGGTCTACACGCTCACGGGCACGGGCTACGGCGACATCATCCCCGTGAACGAGACGGAGTACGCCGTCTGCATCGTCTGCATGATGTACAGCGCGCTGCTCTGGGCCTTCATGATCGGGAAATTCTGCACGATCGTCGCGGGCATGGACAAGCACGGCGCGCAGTTCCGCCAGACCATGGACGACGTCAACTACATGCTCCGGGACCGGCAGCTCCCGCCGGAGATGTGCCGGCGCGTGCGCACCTACTTCGTCAAGAAGCGAAGCATCATGCGCGCGCGGAACCACCGCGTGCTCGAGCGGACGATGTCGAGCCAGCTGCGGGGCGAGGTCGCGGCCGCGAAGTGCGGCAAGTGGCTCGACGCCGTCTGGTACCTCGCGGACACGTCCCACGAGTTCAAGCGCGAGCTGTCCGTTTGTTTGGAGCCCATCCTCTACGCGCCGCTCGAGCCCATCGACTCGCCGAACGCGTTGTACGTCCTGACGTCGGGCGTCGCGATCCGGAAAAGCAAGGTGCTCACGCACGGCGAGATCTGGGGTTTGGACTTTTTGCTCCCGTCCAAGAAGACGCACAAGTGGCGCGGCTCGAAGCGGCGCGTCGTCTCCGTGGCCATCACGTACGTCGAGGTCTTGATGCTGTCGCAGTCGGCGCTCAACGCGATCCTGCTGGACTTCCCCGAGGAGCTGCGGCGCATCCGCGGCGCGAGCCGCTGGCAGGTCGTGCGCATGGCGCTGGAGCTCTGGGCCATGAACTACGCGGACGAGCGCGAGGAGCGGCGCCGCGAGGAGAAGCGGAGGGGCGAGGCGAAGGGCGACGCGCCGCTGGCGCCCCTCAAGGGCGCCGCCGTCGCCGACGCCGAGGGCTTCTCGAAGAGCGCGCTCGCGGAGATCCGGTCCGCGGGGCTCGTGCACTCGAGCCTCGCGCGCGCGGACGACGACGACTTCTCCGACGTCTCCGATTTGAACAGCCCCATGGTCCGCGCGGCGCCGTCGCCCGTCGGGCCCGGCGGCGACCCGCAGCCGGGGCCGGGCAAACAGACCGTCGACGCGGCCCTCGTGGACCAGATCGGCGACCTCGAGCAGGTCATCGCCGCGCAGGCGGGCCAGCTCGCGGCGCTGCGGCAGGCCGTCCTCGACCGCGCGCGCCGCGACCGGACGCGCGTGGAGCTCGGGGCCCAGTAACTAGGTGGCGATGTAGTCGTCGGCCTCGCGCGCGCGCGCCGCGGCGCTCCGGGCGCTCCAGCTCGCCCGGAGCTCGGCGACGAAGCCCGGCAGCTTCGCGCGGAGGCCCGGGCAGTCGACGGCGCCCAGCAGGCTCAGGTCGCCCTCGCAGGCGCCGTGGGCCCGCTCCAGGGCCGCTAAGTCGTCGGCGCAGTCGTCGACGTCCGCGTCCAGATCGAGCTGGAACGCGTGCACCAAGCCCAAGATCCACTTCACGGAGTCGTCCCAGCGGCCCCGGTCCCGGCGCGCCGCGCGGTGCACGAGGCCCAGCGCCGCGTCGAGCATCTTCGAGATGCGCTGCTCCAGCAGGATCACGCGGTCCAGCGCCGTCACGTAGTCGTCGGTCGCGTCGTCGAGGGCCGCGCCCCAGTTCGTCAGAAGGTCCTCGACCGCGTCCGCGGCGCGCACGGACGCGTCCGTCAAAATCTGCGCGACGGGCTCGAAGAGGGCCGGGTGCAGCGTGCAGACCAGATCCACATAGTCCTCGTCCCCGTACGCCGCGACGAGCGCCTCGGCCTTGCGCCGGTAGCCCTCGAGCGCGCACGCGCGCTCGACGGCGTCGCGCTCGTGTTCCTCGCACTCCGCCGCGAGCGTCTCCAGCGCCGCGTCCGTCGCGCCGGCGACTTCGGCCGCCGTGTCCGGCGCTAGACCCTCGCACGGCTTGAGGTCGTCGAGGCCGAGCGACGCGCGCACGGAGCTCTGCGCGATCGTCTCCGTGTAGGAGCCGTAGACGGACCGCGTGAGCTTCGTCTTGACCATGAGCTCCACGAGGCCCTGGACGAAGGACGGCGACGAGGGGAACGCGCCGACGCGCAGCGCGGCGACGACCGTGCGCCGCGGGAAGGCGTCGAAGGCGCCGCGCGCGGCGCGGAGCCGCTCCGTCCGCGGCCGCAGCTTGCGGCCGAGGCGGAGGACCACGAGGGGCTTCGCGGCGTCGAGGACGCACCGGAGCACGTCCGGCAGGTCCGACGCGTCCGGCGACGCCGTGATCGCGTCGAAGACGACGTCGGGCGCGAGCTCGCCGGCCGCGCCGCGGCACCGCGCCTGGAGCCGCGCCTCGTACGAGTCGCCGGCGTCGGCCGCGGCGCGCTCGCCCGCGCTGAGGTAGAAGAGGGGCTGGGCCGCGCCCTGGAGGAGGTGGTAGCGCGCGCCGCGCTCCTCCGGCAGGCCCGCGCCGCCGGGCCCCGCCTCGAGGGCCTCGGCCTTGGCCAGCAGCCTGGGCATCTGCGCGCACAGATCGTCGACGACCTTCGGCCAGTCGTCCGACGCGACGAGCGGGCAGCGCTTCAGCGCCCCGAGCAGGCCCCGGAGCACGGGCGCGCCCGCGTCCTTGGCCGCGTCGTCGGAGGCCTCGTCGAGCATGGCGTCGACCTCGTCGCCGAGCGCCTTCTGCAACAGCCAGGCGACGGCGAGCGACGTCGCGGGCGGCGGCGCCTTCGCCGCGGCGCCGACGTCCTCGGTGAGCGGGCGCGTCCACGTCGTCTCGCCGTCGTCCGACACGAAGTAGTCGCTCCCGCTCGACGGGTCGCGGAAGCAGCTCCAGCCCGCGGGCAGCGCGTCCTCGGCGAGCTTCCGCGCGACGTCCTCGATCCAGTACGGCGGCGGCGGCGGCGCGTCCGCGGGCGCCGCGGCGCCGAACAGCGCGAGCGCCGCCTCCCAGCGCGCGCGGAGCGCCGCCTCCCGCGGGAACCAGAGCTTGAAGGGCGTGTCGCCCGCGCCGCCCTCGACGGTGATCTCCGCGTCCGCGCGGTAGAGGCCCCGCTCGTAGCGCGCCGCGTACACCGCCGCCGCGACGACCTCGCCGGAAATCTCCACCGCGTCGTCGGCGCCGGGCGTCGGCCGGAGGCCCGCGGGCGCCTTGTTCACGCGCCAGACCGCCAGCGTCCAGGCGCGCTTCTTCGGGGGTGGGGGCGTGAGCTGGACGCAACAATAAGGGGCGAGCTCCAGAGGCCAGCCGCCGAGCTGCATGATGGACGTGTAGGGCAGCGGGTCCGTCGCCTCGCCGGCGACCATTGCGACGGCGAGTACGCGCGGGGGCCTCGCGCAGCCCTTCCCCGACCGCTACTACTGGACGAACCCCGTCGCGGATGGTGTCTTTCGGCTGGTTTCAATGCGGTTCCATGATGACAAGGCAGCCTTTGGACAGCAACAAGCGGCACCTTGCACTGATCGATCCTCGCCGATTATCGTGCATGCGTGAAGCTCTGGCCTCGTGTGCTGGTGCAAGCAGCAATGGTCGCCTGTAACTCGCTGGCCCTGCTCCTGTCGCTGCGGGTGAGCGTCGCCTTCATGGCGTCGCCGCCGAAGAGCCTGATCTCCAAAATCGCGCCGCTCAAGGCCGAGGCCACGGACGAGACGCTCTACGCTCTGGGCGTCAACGTCGCCACGCAGCTCGGCGACATCCGCAAGCTCTTCCCGACGGAGGAGATGCCGCAGATCCTCCGGGGCATCGAGGACTACCTGACGAACAAGGTCGCGGACCCGACGGACATCCTCCGCGCGAACGCGAACGACATCAACGCGATGCTGCAGGACCGCATGGTCAAGGTCGTCGCCGACGAGCAGGTCAAGGGCCTCGCGGCCCAGGAGGAGGCCGCGGCGCGCGAGGGCGCGACGCGCACGGCGTCGGGCCTCGTCATCGAGCACGTCAAGGAGGGCGCGGGCCCGCAGCCGACGGCCGCGTCGACGGTGTCGGTGCACTACGTCGGCACTCTCGTCGACGGCACGGTCTTCGACAGCTCGCGGGCCCGGGGCGAGCCCGCGCAGTTCGCCGTCAAGCAGGTCATCGCCGGCTGGCAGGAGGCGCTCCTCCTCATGGCCGAGGGCGGCACGGCCAAGCTCACGATCCCCGCGGACATCGCCTACGGCGACGCGGGCAGCGGCGACAAGATCCCCGGCGGCGCCACGATCTGCTTCGAGGTCGAGCTCATCAAGGTCCTCTCCGGCGGCGTCGGCGGCCTGGTCCTCTAGGGGCGCGGTTAAGACGGCCAGCAGTCCGCGAACGCGTCGACGGCGCTGCTGTTGAGCATGCGCCGGAGGCACGGCGACGCGCGTGCATCGAAGTAGGCGACGAGCTCGTCCTTGTTCGCGACGCGGCCCGCGACGTCCTCGCGGCTCGTCTGCGCCGCGAGGCGCCGCCGCCGCGGCGCGCGCCCGGCGACGCCGAGGGGCGCGAAGAGCGCGGCGAGCGTCCCGGGAGCGTCGGCCTGCAGGTCCTCGTAGCGCGCGACCGCCGTCGGCCAGCAGCTCGCGCGCGCGAGCGCCAGCAGGTCCAACGTCGCCGCGCGCTTTTCCACGGCCAGCTCCAGCAGGAAGCTCGCGTTAATCGCGGGCCGCCCGACGTCGCACGCCGGGTTCGACCGGTCGACCTGGCCGCAGCGCGTGCACCGCGGGGATTTCTTCTTGGCCAGGTCCTTCAGGACGTGCGACAGCGCGGACTTGACGACGTTCGCGCGGTAAAAGGCCACGAGGAGCCGCGGCCGCTTCGGCGCGCGAGCCGCGTCCTCGCAGAGCGCGGCGGCCGTCGCGTTCGGGTCGGCGAGGACGACGGGGTTGAAGGTGACGCCGCGCACCGTCGCGTTCCGTCGCCCGTCGCCGCGGGACGAGGAGCAGGCATTATTATGTTTTTTTTCCCGTTCCGGAGGCGCCGGTGCCGCGTCGAGGTGCCGCGTCCGCGTCGCCTTGAGCCGCCGGCGCCCGGGAGCGTCGCGTTTCTCGCGGGCCGCCCGACGTCGCACGCCGGCGTCGACCGGTCGACCGGGCAGGCAGGCGTGGCGCACGGTCGCGTTTTTTTCCGCGTAGCACGCGCCCCTGTGCGTCTCGCACCGCGCCGCGAGGCGCAGGAACTCGCCGCGCCGCGCCGCCGTCGCCGACGCGGGCCGCTCCCACGTCTCCTTGATCCACTGGTGCTGCACGGCGACGGCCTCGCTGAAGTCGTTGAGCAGCTCGGCGAACCAGGTCGACCCCGTCTCCGGCAGCTTGTAGGCGACGAGGGACGCGGGCGCCGCGGCGACGCCGCCGCTGCAGCGGCCCTGGTGGTGGCCGTGCGTCGCGTTCGCGCGGTGGTGCACGTGGCGCTGCGGCGCCGCGGCGAGCGCCGCGGCGAGCGTCGCGGCGGCCGCGAGGCCGAGGCGCATCGTCTGCCGAGGCGCCTCTCAAGTGCTCGCGGTTCGGGTTGTAGTTCACGCTGAAGATTTGTACCCCAGGCGGCGGTATCCAGGTTTTGAGTTACTCTTGGTTTGGTGTGCGCACAGCCTCGGAGGGTGTCGGGCTGCCCGTGTGCGTCGCGCCGGACGGGCCCGCGCGGTCTCTCGGGCGGTCGCGTCGGGGGGCGATGGCGTCGCTCGACGACATGAGCGGCGTCGAGGACGCGCCGCGGAGTCGGCGCGCCGGCCCGCTCGTCGTCGGCGCGCTCGTCGCGGCCGTCGGGCTCGCGGGCGCGGCGACGCTGACGCGGCGCCGGCCGGGCATGTCCCAGTTCATGACGCGCGTCGCGACGTCGGAGGCGGCGGACGCGGCCGCGGCGTCGCGGGGCGGGATCGCGAAGCGGAGCGGCGCGATTTTGGGGGACGAGGGCTACCGCGTCGTCGTGCCGGAGATGCGGGGCCTCGAGCCCTCGTTCACGGTGCACAACAAGTACATTTTACGGGACGGCCCCATCGGCGAGGACTACCCCTGGCTCGAGGGCGTCATCGTCGAGCCGCGGCGGGCGACGTATTTCGAGCCCTTGGACTACCTGTCGGACGCGACGTACAAGTGGTCCGTGTGGGAGGAGGGCAGGGCCCAGCCTTCCGGCGAGGCCTACGAGGGCTCGGGCATGGTCCACGAGTTCCTCAACGCGGGCACGTTCGTCGTCGAGATGGCGTCGACGAGCGCGGACAAGCGCACGCGGGGCTTGGTCCACGTGAAGTACGTGAGGCGCGAGCTCCGGGGCCTCTTCGAGGAGGACCGGGGCCGCTTCTTCGAGGCCTACCGCACGCTCTGGCTCGTGACGACGGAGGAGGGCCGGAGGCGATACGGCACGGACGACTACAAGGGCATCGACTACTTCATCCGCCTCCACCTCGTCGACGCGGGTGCGTTCGCGTGCGACGGCTTCCACGACGGCGCGGGCTTCATGAACAGCCACGTGGCCATCAACTTCGAGCTGGAGCGGTCCGTGCAGGTCGTGGACCCCGCCGTCGCGCTGCCCTACTGGGACTACACCATCGAGGCGGCGAAGGTGAACGCGACGGGCAACCTGTCGTCGTGGCGCGAGTCGTCGATCTTTAGTCCCGACTTCCTGGGGACGCTGCGCCCCGAGAACGACCTGAACATCGTCGACGACGGCGGCTACTGGGACCACCTGCCCATGCTCCGCGACGACAAGCGCAACTACTCGTCCTACACGAACGCGTACGGCTTGATGCGGTCCGCGTGGAACACGCTGAACACGCCGTTCCTGACGCGGACGTTCAAGTCCTACGGCTACGTGACGAACCACTTCCCGACCTGCACGGACGTCCACAACGTCATGCAGCTCGACGTGTGGTACAACGGCACGCAGAACTGCACCGAGGGCTGCGGGTCCGCGGGCCTCACGGACATGTTCTCGTTGCAGGTCATGTACGACCCGCACGGCACGGTGCACAACATGATCGGCGGCATGTGGGCCATCGACGCCCAGGAGTACATGTCCGACGGCTTCTGGATGGCGCCGGGCGGGCGCATCGACACCTACACGCTCTTCCAGGAGCTCAACCCCAAGGGCTCGTGGATGTCCGAGCTCATCTCGTGCCCGGACTACTGCTCCGCGGACACGGCCCAGGCCGACTGCATGTGCGCCTGCACGGACGAGACGGCGGCCATCAAACGGTCCGAGGCGCCGGGCGCCGCCTACGAGCACCTCGAGAAGCAGGGCGCGCTCGACTGGCTCAAGCACCGCGCGTGGTCCTCGCGCGCGCGCGATTTGCTCGTCGTCCGCGCGGACCGGTCCCGGGGCCCCTACCTCGCCGACGGCTCGCGCCGCGTCCACTTCGCCGACGGCCGGTCCCTGGCCGAGGCCGACGAGATCTTCATGGCCCTGTCGACGCAGATCTGCGACGCGGGCTTCCTGGGGACGATGATGGACAGCGGCGCGCCGCTCGACCCCGTCTTCTACCTCACGCACTCGTCCGTGGAGCGCTACTGGCAGTGGAAGCGGCTGTCGCCCTACCCCTACGACGAGATCTGGCGGGACGGCTCGTCCTACTCCCAGTGCGTGAACCCGGCGCACAACTACAACGACACGCGGCTCTGGAAGAACCTCGTCGACCACAACGAGCACTTCTACACCAACGGCGAGCTCAACGACATCTTCAACCCGAGCTACGACCGCCTGCCCTACGTCTACGCCGAATTCGAGTGGCAGCACTGCGACGCGCTCGGCAGCCCCGTGCGCGAGTTCTGGAAGTCGAAACTGTGAGGCGCCGACGCTCCGCTCCCCATCTCCCCGCCCCGCCAAGCATCCCGCTCCCCCGCGGCGCCCCGGCGCCCACTCTTAAACTGACCGTATTCGACATCGGGCCAACGTCGCGGCGAGGATCGCGTAGCCTTCGAGCGTCAGGTGGAGCCCGTCGCCGCGGAGCGCGCCGCGGCCGTCGTCCGCGAGGGGCGCGTGGACATCGCAGAAGGACGCGTTCTCGGACGCCGCGACGTCCGCGTACCTCGCGTTCACGGCCCGCTCGTCGAAGGGGTGGTTGTGTCCCGCGGCGTGCGGCGGCAGCGACACCAGCACGACGGCCGCGTCGCTGCAGCGCCGCAGGTAGCGCACGAGGCGCGCCGCGCGGGACGCCACGGCGTCGACCGACGCGCCCTGGAGCAGGTCGTTCGTGCCGAAGAGCACGTAGATCAGGCCGGGCCGCGACCCGCAGACCATCCACGCGCGCCCGAAAGCCGTGCGGAACGTGTCGTAGCCCGAGCCCGCGTTCGCGCAGGGCGCCGCCCGGGACGCGCAGAGCAGGGCCTCGTCCTTGTCCGCGGCCATGGCGAAGAGGCTGTCGCCGAAGAAGACGGTCGCGGACGCGTTCGCGGCGACGGACGCGTTCGCGGCCGCCTCGAGGCGACGCTCGACGACGGGCCGCTGATACTCCATCCAGCGCGCGAGCCGCAGGGCCGCGAGCATGCTCGACGCGTTGATCAGCCGCGTGTAGTCGCAGGCGCCGCAGGTCTGGAGGCACTGCGCCACCTCCGGGTCGTGCACCGGCAAGTGTTCCGTGACGCAGTCGAGCGCTCTCGTCGACGTCGCGAGGAGGAGGAGAGTTCGAAGCATGCAGCGCGCTAGCGCCCAGGTGGGCAGCCTGTGCGACGACATTGAGCGCCCATGCTATTGAACTCAGACTTGCTAGGCCTAGGCGAGGTGGGCAGCCTGTCCCCCGACCATGCGCTCCCGCGTAAACACCCTCGAATTGCACTTCTCAAGGTCTCATCGATCACCGCCTCGCCGAGCTCCAGCTCCTCGTCACTCGCGCGCCGCGGCACGATGGCGCTCCCGGGCATGGGCGATTACGACAGCGACGGCGACGGCGGCGGCGCGTCGGCGGCCGCGCCCGCGGCGCCGTCGCCGCCGGCGCCCCCCGGCGAGGACTTTGGCCCGCCGCCGACGACGGTGCTCGCGCGGGTCGTGGACACGGCGCCCGCCGTCGTCGGCGCCCTGGCGGTCGTCAAGCGGCCCGGGTCGAAGGCGAAGCAGGCGCAGGGCGCCTTCGGGGAGATGCGCACGAACCTGCCGGCCGCGCTCGTCCGCGCGCCAGTCGCGGGCCCGAGTCGTTCGTTCGGCGGCGGGAGCCACCTCCAGCAGATGGACCTGAAGGCGTCGAACGTGCACGCGGGCGGGTCCGTGGAGCGCGCGGCCATCGAGGAGTGGTCCTTCGACGAGCAGTACCACACGTTCCAGAGCTTCGGGTACGCGCAGGACGCCGCGGGCGGGCAAAAGCTCGTCGGCGACGGCGCCGCGGCCGACGCGCCGCGGCCGCGCGCGAAGCGGAAGCGCGGCGGCGACGCGCCCCTGGGCACGGAGGACGAGCACGGCGTCTGGGCGCCCGAGCCCGAGCACATCGACGAGGACGCGCCGGAGGACCTCGCCGCGCGCAAGGCGGAGATCGCGGAGGCCGTCGCGAAACCCAAGTCCGCGACGCGCGCCTACGACCAGAACGAGGACTTCGACCGGCGCGACGAGCGGAAGATCTCGCATTTGCTGCCGGCGCGCCACGACCGCGACACGACGGCCATCGAGGCGAAGCACGCGTTCCACGGCGACGCGATGCGGGACTACCAGGGCCGGAGCTGGACGCGCCCCAACCTCGGCGAGCTCCGGCCCAAGGTCGACGACGACCACGACTGCTTCATCCCGAAGCGCTGCGTCCACAAGTTCACGGGCCACGGCAAGGGCGTCCAGTGCATCAAGCTCCACCCCACGTACGGCCACTTGATGCTGTCGGCGTCGATGGACGGGTCCGCGAAGATCTGGGACGTCTACAACGACCGGCGCTGCCTCATGACCTACGCGGGCCACGCCGAGGCCGTGCGCGACGCGACCTTCAGCCACGACGGCAGCACCTTCGCGACCTGCGGCTTCGACCGCTTCACGCGCGTCTGGGACACGGAGACGGGCGCGGCGCTCCACACGTTGACGCCGAACCGGAAGATGTGCTACTGCGTCGACTTCTACCCGCGCGACGACAAGATCCTCCTCGCGGGCGCTTCCGACAACCGCATCTACCAGTGGGACCTGCGGGCCAACGAGGAGATCGTCCAGGAGTACAACCACCACCTCCAGCCCGTGAACTCGATCACGTTCATCGACGACGACCGCCGCTTCGTGTCCACGGCCGACGACAAGAAGATCTTCATCTGGGAGCACAACATCCCCGTGCCCATGAAGTACATCTCCGAGCCCCACATGAACGCCGTGCCCGTCGTCGAGCTCCACCCGTCGACGAACTTCTGGTGCGGCCAGTCGCTCGACAACACGATCGTCACCTACGGCGCGCGCGACAAGCTCAAGCAGATGCGCAAGAAGACCTTCAAGGGCCACCTCAACTCGGGCTACTCCTGCGGCATCACCTTCAGCCCCAACGGCAAGTTCATCGCCTCGGGCGACGGCGAGGGCAAGCTCTTCTTCTGGGACTTCAAGACGACGCGCGTCTACCGCAAGCTCCAGGCCCACGACAGCGGGCCCTGCATCGGCTGCGCCTGGCACCCGCTCGAGCCCTCCTGGGTCTTCACCTGCGGCTGGGACGGCCTCATTAAGCTCTGGGACTAGCCTGGCTCTGTGCGCCGCTGCTGCGGTGGTGAGCGACCGGGACCGTCGTCGTCGGAGTCGTCGTTGGCGTCGTCGTCGTCGTCGTCGTCCTTCGACTTCGACTTCTCCTCCTAGAAGGACGCCTCAAAGGCTGCGGCAATTTTGCGGCACCACAAACATCGCCAGAGGACCAGCAGCTGAGCCGACAAATTCGAGCGAGTGAGCGCGCGCCGACGCAGCGCACGCCGTCCGGAGCCGCTTCGTACGCGACCTCGTCGCGTCGTCGCGTCGGCGCCGTGGCTGAGGACCAAACGTCGAGCATGTGCCCGCCGCCCGACGCCTTCGACGGGCTCGAGGCCGAGGCGGGCGCCCTCGAGGGCCAGCTCGACGAGGCGCTGCTGAACATCAGCAGCGACGCGTCCCGCAAGACGCTCATGGTCGCGCGGGACGCGCTGAGCAAGCTCTACGGCGCCGCGGAGCAGCTCACGCTCAAGGTCGACGGCTGCGGGGGCGGCGGCGGCGGCGACGCCGCCGCGCGGCGGAAGGCGCTCGTCGAGCGGTGCGAGGCGCTGTCCGAGGCCTGCGTCGAGGGCCGCGAGCGGCGCCTGGCGTCGGCGCTCGCGTCGGCGGCGGACAAGCAGCGGTCCGCGGGCAACGAGCTCTTCGCCAAGGGCGACCACGCGGACGCGTCCGAGCGGTACGCGGCCGCGCTCGAGCTCACGCCCGACGACGCGCGGCTCTACCTGAACCGGGGCCTCTGCTGGCAGAGTTTGAAGGAGTGGGCCAAAGCCGCCGCCGACGCCAAGGCCGCCGTGAAGCTCGACTGCGGCAACGCCAAGGCCCACTTCCACCTCACGCGGAGCCTCGTCGCGCTCGGGGAGGTGGAAGCCGCGGCCGTCGCGCTCGGCAACGCGCCCGCGGAGCTCGTGGAGAGCAGCAAGTCCCTCGCGGAGATGAAGCAGAGCACGATCCCCGAGGCGGCGAAGAAGCAGGCCAACGGCTTTTTTATCGCCAAGGACTACGAGGCCGCGCTCCCCCTCTACACGTTGGCCGTCGACCTCACGGCCGGCGCGGCGCACCTCTACCTGAGCAACCGGAGCGCCTGCTACCAGGCGTTGGGCAAGTGGGCCAAGGCCGCCGAGGACGGCAGGGCCGTCGTCGCGCTGGAGCCCTCGTTCCCCAAGGGCCACCTCCACCTCGCGCGGTCGCTGAAACAGTTAGAACGCAAGGACGCGGCCGTCGAGGCCTGCGAGTTCGGCCTGGAGCACGTCGCCGACAAGGACGCCGCCGCCCTCAAGGAGCTGCTGGCGTCCCTAAAGCCCAGGGGCGCGGCGCCCAAGGCGCCCTGCGCGACGGCGAAGGCGCTCCGCGACGCGGGCGCGGCGCTCTACAAGCGCGGCGCCTACAAGGAGGCGCTGACGCAGTACACGAAGTGCCTCTCCACGTCCGACGACGAGCGCGACGCCGTCTACGCGAACCGCGCGGCCTGCTGGCTCATGGTCAACGACCCGGACCGCGCGGCGAAGGACTGCGCCGACGCCGAGGCCGTCATCGCGAAGCGTCTGGACGACGACGAGGCGCGCGAGGCGCTGCCCGGCGGCGAGCGCGACCGGCTCACGACGTCGCGCTCCAAGGTCGCGAGCCGGCGCTGCACGGCGCTGTGCCGCTTGGGGCGCTTGGACGAGGCCGCGGCCGTCGCGGAGCGAGCGTTCGAGTCGACGGGCGACGCGGGGCTCAAGAAGAAGCGGAGCGAGGCGGGCCAGTACCTCGAGCTCCGCGGCGCCGGCGACGAGGCCGTGGGCCGCGGCGAGTTCTCCCGGGGCAAGCGCTGCTTCCTCAAGCTCCGGGACGAGTGCGGCGTCACCGACGACCCGCTCCTCCGCCTCGCGCTCGCGAAATGCCACGTGCGGCTCAAGGAGTACGACGACGGCTCGCGCGAGGCCATGCAGGCCCTGGCGTCGAAGCGGCTCCGGGGCCAGGACCTCGTGGAGGCGCACACGACGCGCGCGGACGCCTTGGTCGCGGTGGGCGACCGCGACAAGGCGGCCGCGCACGTGTCCGCGTGCCTCCAGATGGACCCCGACGACGACGCGCTCAAGACGAAGCTCAAGAAGCTCCGGCGGGGCACGAAGGACGCGGAGCGCGTCAAGGGCGACGTCGAGGCGGCGATCAACAAGGGCGACTACGACGCCGCGGTGAAGGCGGCGACGGAGGGCATCGGCATCGACGAGGACGACAAGAAGCTCCTCGCGTCCATGCACGTGCGCCGCGCCAAGGCCTACCAGCTCCTCGCGTTGAAGGCGAAGCGCCAGCCCACGGGCGACGAGAAGAACGCGTCGCTGAAGGCGTGCTGGCGCAAGTGCCACTCGGACGCGTCCGCGGCGCTCTACCACGCGTCGCCGGGCTCCAAGTCGGCGTTCCTCCTCGGCGCCGAGGCGCTCCAGGGCCTGGGCCGCTACCAGGACGCCATCAACCTCCTCGAGCAGTGCCTCGAGGCCATCCCGGAGACGAAGCAGGACCGCGCCGTCGTCGGCAAGTACAAGGAGGCGCAGTTCCTGCTCAAGAAGGCGAACCGGCCGAACCTGTACGCCGAGGTCGGCCCGGATTTGGACGAAAATTCGTCGGAGCAGGAGATGAAGAAGGCCTACAAGAAGGCCGCGCTCAAGTGGCACCCGGACCGGTTCTCGACGAAGAGCGACGAGGAGAAGAGCAAGGCCGAGGTCCAGTTCAAGAAGATCAACGACGCCTACGAGTTCCTCACGGACCCGCAGCGCAAGAAACTCTGGGACCAGGGCCACGACCGCGAGGAGGTCGAGCAGAAAATCGAGATGGCGAAGCAGCAGGCCGCGCAGGGCGGCATGCGCGGCGGCTTCCCCGGCGGCGGCGGCTTCCCCGGCGGCTTCCCCGGCGGCTTCCACCACCACTAGGCGATTTTCCTCCGAGGCGCGTAATATCGCTTACTCTTCGCGCTTCCGCTTCTTCGGGCCGGCGACGAGGCTCGCGGCGTAGAGCGCGATCTCCACGGACCGCGGCGACCAGTCAGGGCCGAGTGTTGCCGCCTTGGCCTCGAGCGCGTCGAGCAGCGCGCGGTACTCGTCCAACCCATAAGTCTTCTTGTGCGCCGGCGCGCCGCAGCAGGCCTCGAGCGCGGCGTCGCTCATGATCGCGAAGCGCGGGTCCGCGGCGGCGAAGATCACCGACACCGTCGCGACGCCGACGCCGGGCAGGGACATGCTCCCGAAGGCCGCGCCGCAGTCCGCGGACGATGACGCCGCCGCGAGCGCGGAGCGCGGCGCGCGACGCCGAGCGCACGGCGCCGTCGTCCGCGGCGTCGACGAAGCGCATCAGCGGCCGCATCTTGCCGCGCGTGAGCTTGAACGACATGACCGTCTGGAGCTCTTTTTTGGTGAGCTCGCCGTTCTTGCGCAGCGTCTTCTCGAGCGCGACCCACTTGGCGTGGAGCTTGTTGAGGTCGCCGTACTTGGTCTTTTTCGTCGCTTGCTTCGCTTCGAGGGACGCGAGCGCCGCGCTGTAGAGCTTCGGATCGTCGGAGCGCCACAGGGCGGCGCAGGCGCCGGCGTCGACGGCGTCGATGAGGCCCATTGGTTTTGGTGGTGCGAGGCTGCTACGACTGCACTCAAAGCGCTCAAAATGAGCTAGATGGCTGCTACGACTGCGATGCAAAGCGCTCAAAATGAGCCCTCCATACCCGCCCAAGTGTTGAATCTGGCATCTTTCCCTCAATCAAAAGCTGGGGGCCTAGGCACGGGGATACTTGAAGATCCCCTTGGCCTAGGCCTTGACCCCCTGCTCTGAGGGCTGCGTCGCGTGCGCCGGACAGCCGGGCCTCGTTCGAATCACCTTCACAGATCAGCGGAGCACTCGAGAAGATGTCCAACCCTCCTGCGTTCACCAAGGCGTCGAATTTGGCGATCTGCAGCGGCTGCGGGAAGGGATTCCACCCGAAAAACCTGCGCTGGTGCCGGGGGTGCATGGTGGACCGGTATTGTGGATTTAAGTGCCAGAAGGCGCACTGGAAGGCGCACAAGCGCGATTGCGCGCAGCGGCGGCGCGCGCGGAAGGCGCCCCACAAGGGCACGTCGACGAACGAACGCGGCAACGCGCTCGTGACGCGCTTCGAGCGGCTCTTGGAGCGGGGGCGCGCCGGCGAAGCCAAGGCGGCGCTCGACGAGGCGCTCGCGCTGGGCCACCCGCGCGCAATGCACATGAAGGCGCGGTGCCTCGTCGACGAGGGCGACGTCGACGGCGGCATCGCGCTCTTCGAGCAGATGATCGTTGCGGGCCTCGGGGACGGGGAAGGGGGCAGCAACGCGGGCCTCTTGGAATACAACGCGGCGCGGGCCCTGATGCTGCGCGGGTCGCCGAGCGACTGCGGGCGGGCGGTCGACCTCTTCGACGTGGCGCTGGGCAAGAAGCCGACGAACGCCGGGGCCATGGTGATGAAGGGCGTCGTCCTGAAAATGCTGGGCCGCCGCACCGAAGCGCTGGCGGCCTTCGACGACGCCATTACGGGCTTCGGCGAGAACTTGCAGGAAGCCTCGACCGCGCATTACAACGCGGGCGACATCCGCCTCGAGGACCACGACCTTGTCGCCGCCGCGGAGCACTTCCGCTTCTGCGTGCGCGCGCACGCCAACGATCACGCCTCGCGTCGGAAGCTGATGCTCTGCGAAGCTCCCCACCTAGCTTGGCTCCTGTCGGCTGCTTTCACTCTCGGCCCGTGCCTCTGCCTCTACTGCTTTTTCGGGCCGCTCGCCAAGAAGATCGCTATCGCTGGCGCCATCCTCTTTTCCCCGGGTCTTTTTCGTCGCCTCCGGCGCAACCTGCACAGCTCCTAAGTCGAATTAGTCACCTAGATTAGTCACCTCCCCCGGGCCGGCGGCCGCGCTTCGAACTGGAGCCGCGTCGCGACGACGGCCCCGGCGTCGCCGGGCTCGATGACGACGAGGTGGACCTCGCCGCCGGACCCCGTGTCGCAGGCGATGCCCGCCTCGATGGCGCAGCGCACGACGCCGATGGCGTCGTCGCGGGACGCCGTCGGCGCGTGGCGCGCGGCCTCGATGCGCGCGATCGCGCCGAACTGGCCGCTGCCCATGGCCGCGTACTTCGACGACGCCGTCGCGCCGTCGGGCTCCACGCGGTAGAGCTTGGGGCCGGTCGCGTCGACGCCGCCGAGCACGAAGCCGCACTGGAGCCGCGACGACTTGAGCCGCCGCCGCAGCAGGCCCCGCGCCTCGTCGACCGTCGCGACGTCGACGGCCGCGGGCGCCGCGATCGCCGTCGTCGCCGCGCGCAGGCCCCGCAGGCGGATGTCGAGCGCCACGTGGCGCGTCAGCTCGTCGGCGTCCGCCGCCGTGCCGCAGCCGCCGGCCCAGCAGTTGCCGCAGAGCGGGTGGAGCTTGTCGCAGGACGAGTCGGCGATGATGGACCCCGTCGTCGCCCGCGAGTCCGCGCCGAGCACGACGCCGTGCTCGAAGACGACGCCGGCGAGCGTCGTGGCGCGCGTCTGCCGGAGCAGCAGGGCCAGCGCGATGAGGTGTCGCGCGGCGCCCATTATTGCCTCAAAAAATTGCTCATCTTGCAGGGCAACAAAAACGCTGCCCTTCCGGTTTGCGGCAGCCAACACGATGATCGCAACCTTCGGGGAGCGGCAGGACGAGTTCCAGAAACACACGGTCTGGCGCGGCGACCACAAACGCAGCGCCTTCAACGCGGCGCTCGAGGCGGCGCGGCACGCGGCGACGCGCTGCCAGCGCGCCAAGTACAAGGCCGCCAAGGACGCCGAGGCCGCCGCGGCGCGCGAGGCCGAGGCGGCGGCGGCGGCGCGCGCGGCGCGGGGCGACGCGGGCGACCTCGACCCCGTGGCGTCAGCGAAGCGGCGCATCGCCGCCTACAAGCGCGACCAGACGCGCAAGGCCGAGGCCGCGAAGCGCGCGGCCGCGCGGCCGCGGCCCGACGCGCTGCCCTGGTACGACAAGGCCAAGGCCGCGCGCCTCGCGACGCGCGAGGCCGCGCGGCGCCGCGCCGCCGCCGAGGCCGCGGACGCGGCGGAGCGCGCGAAGAAAGCCGCCGTCGCGGCGCGCGTCGCCAAGGTCGACCGCGTCGCGACGCGGCGGCGCCACGACCGCCTCGGAAAACCGGAAAAGGGGTCCTACGTCCTCGTCGCGGAACCCGCAAAACACCCCAAGTCCCTGGACTGGCGGCCGCCGAAGGCGGGCTGGACGCCCGGCCCCTTCCGCAACGCCAAGGCGACGAGCGCGGAGCACGACCGGCTCTTCGGCGCGCCGCCGCCGGTGGCGAAGCGCGCGCTCAAGCTCGTGCGCCTCCGGGCCGCCGTGGAAGCCTTCTCCGGCAAAAAGCGCGACGGCCCCATCGCCGCCAAGAGCCCCGGCTGGGCCAAGGTCGCGACGGCGTTCCGGCGGAAGCTCCGGAGCGACGGCGCGTGGGTCGCGCGGCGCCAAACTCGGATCCTCGCGTCCGTCGAGGCGCTCCGCGGCCGCCTCGCGGCGCTCGGCTACGACGCGCGCTGGCACAAGGTGCGCGACGGCGCGTCGTCAAAATCAAACTCGCCCCGCGGGAACCTACTCCTCGACGACGACGTCGCGGACGACGTCTCCGACGTGTCCTTCTCGCCCGTGAAGGGGCCGCCGCCGGAGAAGCCGACGCTCTTCAAGCGCGTCGACTCGCCGGACAAGGACGCACTGTCCTACGCCGACGACGACAGCCTCCGCCCGGCGCCGGACTCGCCGGAGCCGGGCGCGCGGGAGAAGGCGACGCACCGCGTCGACCTCGGCCCCGCGCCGCGCCTCGGCGACGACGACGACGACGACGACGACGACGCGCTCATGATGTCCGAGGAGGACCTCATGATGTCCGAGGACTTCAAGCTCCAGTCGAGCCAGCAGAGCGACGCGTAAGGATTCGGCTTTCCTTCCGGGCCAGTGCTGGCGCGCGACGACGCACCTGGCCGACGCCGTCCGCCGGCGGCGCCGGTTCGGCTCGCTGTTCAAAAGCTGCTTCGGTGCTTCCGCGTGCCTGTCCACGCCTGCGCGCGCCACCCCGCCCGCCCACCGCCACCGGAGACGACCATGTCGGCCTGCCGCTACACCATCGAGTACGCCAAGAGCGGCGCGGCGACGTGCAAGAAGAGCAAGGAGAAGATCCCCAAGGGCGAGCTGCGCATCGGGAAGATCACGCAGATGGACCGCGGCGACGGCAGCGAGCCCATCGACATGTGCGGCTGGCACAAGCTGATCCCCTTCTTCCAGATGATGAAGGGCATGCGCAAGACGTCCAAGTTCGTCGAGTCGTCCGACGACCTCGCGGGCTGGGACGACGTCCGGCCCGAGGACCAGGCGCTCGTCGCCAAGATGATCTCGGACTTCCACGACCCCGACGTCGACTGGCCGCCGAAGCCGCCGAAGAAAGAGAAGGCGCCGAAGCGCGAGGCCGAGGGCGGCGACGCCAAGGCGCCGACGCCCAAGAAGGCGAAGCCGTCGCTCCCGCCCGTCGAAGCCGAGACGCGGTCGGGCGTCGCCATGGGCGACCTCCGGGCCATCGCCGAGGAGCTCGCGGGCCGCTGCAAGGCCCGGGGCGCCAACGTGCCCGAGCTCGACGCCGCGCGCCAGCAGCTCGGCCCCATCTGCCGCGACCTGCTGACGCCCGACGGGACGCTCGACGTCGCCGCGGCGATGGCCGCCGCGGAGAAGCTCTGGGGCGTCAAGAAGGCCGTGGACTGCGCCGCCGAGGGCAACGGCGCCCTCGCGTCCGCCTTCGCGGAGCTCGCCGAGTTCGAGTTCAAGAAGGGCGAGCGCATGAAGGGCGCCGCGTACAAGAAGGTCGCGAAGGCGCTCGCCGAGACGACGGACGAGATCACGTCGGGCAAGCAGGCCGCCAAGCTCCCGGGCATCGGCAAGTCGTCCGCCGCGAAGATCGACGAGTTCCTCGAGACCGGCGCCATCGCCAAGCTCGAGGAGTACAAGAACGAGGTCTAGGCCCCCGCCGAACTCCGCCCCCCTGTGCTCACTGTTGTGCCCCCCGTCGACGCGCGGTAGCCGCGTCGTAATCCGGCTAGACTCGTCGCGCCGCGGCGGCGAGCCCGGGCCAGAGCGCGGCGGCCCGGGCCTCCTCGCCGCCGTCGACGGGCGGGAAGGGCAGGTGTGCCTCGGGGAGGTCGCCGTCGGCGATGCGCGTCCCCGCCGCGGCGAAGACCATGACGTTGGCCCGGTGCGCGACGTTGCGCGGCGGGAGCCGGGCGCGGAGCCACGCCGTCGTCGCGTCGAGGTAGCGGAAGCCGCGGGCCTCGACGAGCGCGCGCCACTCGCCCTGGGGCCGCGGCGCGACGTGGCCCTGGTCGTTGACGTCCGACGACGCGGAGAAGACGAGGGAGCCCGCGCAGACGTCGCGGAGGACGTCGAGGAGCGGGCCGTGCGCGTCCGCGCGGACGTGCTCGAAGACCTCGACCGTCAGACAGACGTCGTGGGCGCCCGCGAGCGCCCGGCGCAGCGCCGCCGGCCCGCCCGGGGCCGACGCGTCCAGGGCGACGTAGGACGCGCAGGCCGACGCCGCGATCGCCCCGTCGAAGCCGTGCATGTCCCCCGGCTCGACGCCGACCGCGGCGTCGGCGCCGCACCGGCACGCGTAGTCGACGTACATGCCCAGGCCGCTGCCGAACTCGAAGAGGTTTCGCGGCCGCAGGGCCGCGACGAAGGCCGCGAGGGGCTCGTCGAAGTTGAGGCCGTGCTCCGCGCCGAGATGGCCGTCGGCGGACCAGGCGCCGCCGCCCGTGACGTAGGCGCGCGCCTCCGCGCGCTGTTTCGCGCGCGGCGGCGCGAAGGCGAGGTCCGCGTCGCGGTAGACGTCCGGGCCCGTCGGGAGGCGCGCCGCGCAGGCGTCGGCGCCGTCCGCGGCGACGGCCGCGCCGCGGGCCGCGAGCGCGGCGATCGCGGCGGCGTCGACGCCCGCGCAGTCCGTCACGAAGACGAGCGTGGCGTTCTCCGGCACGCCGCAGGTCGCACGGCCTCGGTAGAAGCGCACGACGCCGGCCGGGCAGCCGGTCGCGAACGCGACGGCGACGCCGGCGAAGGCGGCGAGCGCGGCCGCGCCCGCGTTCGCCGCGCCGCCGCCGAAGAGCGCGACGCGGTCGGCGCCGCCGCGGACGGCGAGGGCGCGGCGCAGCGTCCGCGAGCCGTCCAGCGACGCGTCGCCGACGAGGAGCTCGAGGTCGCGCGCGACGCGGCGGTCGCGCGCCGCGGCCGCGCGCGCCGTCGCCGCGCGCGCGATCTCCGCCATGACCATGGGTCGGATGCGCGGCGCGCAGCGCGGATCCCGCGCCGCGACGGCGCCGCAGACGGACGAGAGCGTCTCCGGCGAGAGCTCCGCCGGTGCTATCGGGTCGTCGAGGTCGACCCAGCCTTCGTAGTTGAGCGACACGGCGACGCCGTCGTAGTCGATCGTCAGCGCCGCGTCGCACACGTACTCCCGCGCGGTGCTGGCGACGGCGCAGCACCAGGCTGCCGCTATGGCGACGCGGAAGCGGCTCCCCATCGTTTCGTCTACATCGTTTTTGAGGTTCACATTGATGGTCTCCTTGCAGTCGCCGAGCATGGCATTCGAGACTCGAGCGAGAAGGCTGCCCCGCTGTCGCATGGGCACGTCGAAGCTGATGGGCAGCCTCCGCTGCGGCTGGGCGCGCGCGCCGCCGTCTTCGATGCAGCACCCGCCGCCGCCGGCGTCGTGCGCATCCTTCCCGCAGCACCAGTGGACGCAAGCGACGTCGAGTCCGACGCCTTCCTCGAGGAGGCGCGCCGCAAGCTGGCCACCGACGGCTTCGTCGTGCTCCGGGGCCTCATCCCGAGGGACGACGTGCTCGCCGCGCGGCGCACGGTGCTGCGCGCCTACGACGCGCGCGGCGACGTCGTCGAGCCGACGAGCGACACGCTGCTGCCCGGCTGCGGCGCGGGCTGCGTCCCCTTCACCGAGGGCCGCAACGAGCTCACGCACAGCGACGCCATGCTGCGCGTGCTCGCGGCGCCGCGGGCGGCGCGCTTTTTCGAGCGGTTCTTTGGCGAGTCGGCGCTGACGCTCGACTACAAATGGCTCCGCGGGGTGCCGCGCGGCGTCGCTACGGGGTGCCACCTCGATCGGGTCTACATGGGACGCGGGACCGAAAGGCTGATGACCTGCTGGATCCCCCTCGGCGACGAAACGCCGCTCGACCTCGGCGGCCTCGCCATGCTCGAAGGATCGCACGACCCGAACGGCCCCTTCCGGAAACTCCACGCGACCTACGGCGCCATGGACGTCGAGCGCGACGGCTTGCAGGGCTCGGGCTGGTTCACGGAGGACCCGTTGGAGATTTCGGCCCGCTTCGCGCCCGACGCCACGTGGCGCGCCTGCGCGACCTACGAAGCGGGCGACGCCGTCGTCTTCGGGCTCGGGCTGTTGCACATGTCGACGGCGAACCTCACGGACCGAGTGCGGCTGTCGGCGGACGTGCGCTGGCAGCCCCGCTCCGAGAAGGTGGACCCGCGCTACATCGGCGCCGTCGACGCGGCGGACCGCGTCGCGTCGGGCGCGCGTGCTGCGGCCGACGGCGCCGCCGCCGCGGGCAGGGTGAGCATCGGCGACCTCAAGCGGCGGTGGGGCTTCGCGCCGTTCGTGGCGCCCGTCTAAAATGGAGTGTGTGAAACCGGAAGGCGGGGCCGCGGCCGGAGCCCAAACTCGGAGCGTCGTAGTGCACTGTTTACCGGAAGGCGGGGCCGCGGCCGGCCGTAGCGCGGCCCAAAGGGCCCGACCCTAGACGTCGAGCATGGTCTGGAACGCGGAGTCGATCTCCGCGACGAGGGCGTCGTAGAAGGCGGAGATCTTGTCGTCGGGGTCCTTGGGGTCGACGAACTTCGTGTCGACGACCTTCTGGATGATGGCCGCCTGGGCGGTCTTGATCATGGCCCAGGTGACCTTGGCGTCGGGCGGCGAGTCGGCGATGGCCTTCTGGCAGTGGTCGTAGAAGGCGATGATGCACTTGAGCATGCCCACGGATTTCGTCAGCGGGCACGTGAAGTCGTAGTCCGTGAAGGCGTTCTGCTGGAGAAAGTCCTCGCGGATGATCTTCGCGACCTCCATGACGACCTTCTGGTCCTCCGAGAGCGACTCCTTGCCGACGAGCTGGACGATCTCGGAGAGCGAGTCCTCCTGCTGGAGGATCTCGCGCGCGCGGTTCCGCGTCGCGCCGTAGGACGCGTCGAAGTCGTTGAAGAAGGGCTCCAAAACGCGCATGTACTTGGTGTAGGAGATGAGCCAGTTGAGCGACGGGAAGTGCTTGCGCTGGGCGAGCTTCTTGTCCAGACCCCAGAAGACCTGGACGATGGACAGCGTCGCCGCGGTCACGGGGTCGCTGAAGTCGCCGCCCGGCGGCGACACGGCGCCGATGACCGTCACCGTGCCCTCGCGGCGCGGCGACCCGAGGCACTCCGCGCGGCCCGCGCGCTCGTAGAACGCGGCCAGGCGCGCGCCGAGGTACGCGGGGTAGCCCGAGTCCGCGGGCATCTCGCCGAGGCGCCCCGAGATCTCGCGCAGCGCCTCGGCCCAGCGGCTCGTCGAGTCGGCCATCATCGACACGTTCATGCCCATGTCGCGGAAGTACTCGGCTAGCGTGATGCCCGTGTAGATCGACGCCTCGCGCGCGGCCACGGGCATGTTCGACGTGTTCGCGACCAGGGCCGTGCGCTTCATGATGCCCACCTCCTTGCCGTCGATCGTCGTCGTGAGCTCCGGGAAGTCGCACAGCACCTCCGCCATCTCGTTGCCCCGCTCGCCGCAGCCGACGTAGATGACCGCGTCGCTGTTGGAGAACTTGGAGATGGACTGGGAGATGACCGTCTTGCCGCAGCCGAAGGCGCCGGGCACCGCGCACGTGCCGCCGAGCACCGACGGGAAGATCGCGTCGACGACGCGGAGGCCCGTCGTCAGGGCCTGGTTGCCCGGCATCTTCTGCACGATGGGCCGCGCGCGGCGCACGGGCCAGAAGTGGGCCAACTTCAGCTCGTGGGTCTGGTGCGTGTGCTCGTTGTAGACCTCGAGCACCGTGTCGCTGATACTGTAGGAATCCTTGCCGTCGGCGCTGTCGCCGTAGACCTTGACGACCTTGCCGTAGACGTTCGGCGGGCACATGATCTTGTGGGACGTGACGAGCTCGTTCTCGTAGACGGAGCCGAAGATGTCGCCGCCCGTGATGAGGCTCCCCTCGCGGAAGGCCTTGGACGGCGTGAACTCCCAGAGCTTGCTCTCGTTGAGCGGCGGCACGTCGACGCCGCGCGGGATGAAGACGTCGCCCGTCTTCGACCCGATGGTCTCCAGGGGCCGCTGGATGCCGTCGAAGATCTCGCCCATGATGCCCGGGCCCAGGCCCACGCTCAGGGGCTTCCGCGTCCGCAGCACGGGGTCGCCGACGCAGAGGCCACTCGTGTCCTCGTAGACCTGGAGCGACGCCGTGTCGCCCTCGAGCTTGATGATCTCCCCGACCAGCTTCATGTAGCCCACGCGCACGAGCTCGTACCTAAGAGCGACGCGGGGTGAATGGTACCGCGCGTTTCTCGCGGCGAAAGAGATGGTGTTGCGCTGCGTGCGCGCATGGCCGCGCCGCTCATTTTTTCAGCGATGACGAGCGGGCCGGACACGCGGTGGATGTAGCCATAGTCCGACTCTTTCACGTCGTCCCAGTCGGCCATGCTGCCGAGCGCCGCGGTCGAGAGCTCGCGTCGCCGGCGCCGTCCAACACGAGGTGCCGGGAGAGCCGAGCCTGCCCAGAGGCTCTCCGTAAATCCTAGCGGACAAAAGATTGACGACCCCCGGCGGGATTGACAAGTCGGCGACGGCCTCAGCTCTGCTCGCCGCTTGTCGATCGAGTATGGCGACTGCGTCCTATGAAGCGCGCGGGTTCACGGGAGAGAGTCGACGTTCGCGGCGCGGCGGTGGTGCGGAGATCAGACTTACGGCAGCGGAGACGACGCCGCCGCCGCCTCGCCGTTTTCAGCGAGGCGAGCTGCTCGTCGCGCTCTGCGAGACGACGCGCGGCGCCGCGGCGCCGCCCGTCGCCGTACGACTGACCGCCGGGCCCCGCCGCACGCTGCTGGGGCCGCCGCGCGCAGAGAGTCTGGAGCTGAAGACGTCGCGCGAAGACGGGGAACACAATTACCGCGGCGGCCGACCCGATCCGCTCCCGATCCGTAGGTCTCCGATGGCGCCCGCGAAGAAAGCCGCCAAGAAGGGTGCCCGCGCCAAGGGCGAGGCCCGCGAGGCCCGGTTCTACCCGGCCTACGACGTCGTCGCGAAGAAGGGCGCGCCCCACGCGCAGAAGCCGGCGAAGCTCCGCGCGAGCCTCCAGCCCGGCGCGGTGCTCATCCTCCTCGCGGGCCGCTTCCGCGGCAAGCGCGTCGTGCTGCTCAAGGCCCTCGACAGCGGCCTCCTCCTCGTCTCCGGCCCCTTCTCCGTCAACGGCGTGCCCATCAAGCGCGTGAACCCGGCCTACGTCATCGCGACGTCGACCAAGGTCGACATGGCGGGCGTCAAGGTCGACGCGAAGCTGAACGACGCCTACTTCAAGCGCGCGCCGGCGCCCAAGGCCAAGAAGGACGCCGAGGGCGACTTCTTCGCCGCCGACGCCGCCGCGCCCGCGCCCGAGCTGTCGGACGAGCGGAAGAAGGACCAGGCGACGCTCGACGCCGCGCTCGTCAAGGCCGTCGACAAGACGCCCATGCTCAAGGCCTACCTGGGCGCCCTGTTCACGCTCACCAAGGGCATGAAGCCCCACGAGATGATCTTCTAGGCATCCCGACCCCGCCGACCCGAGGTCGCGCGCCGAGGCGCGCGCGCGGCCGAGCCTAGTTTCTCTCGAACGCTCTCTCTCTCTCTCGTGCTCTGGGGTAGCGCGTGGTGCGGCGTGCGCTCGTTGTTCGGCGGCTCGTGTATGATGCGTCGCGGTTGCGGCCGCGAGCGCGGCCACGGCCGCTCCGAGTCGGTCGCGCGGCCGCCGGCGTCGCGCGACGCGCGCCCTGGGCTCTTTCGAGCGAGCATCTGATGATGCACGCGCTCCTATCGTCGAGCGCACGGCTATGCGGCGGGCGCGGGCGAGTCGTCGACCACTTGAGGACTGCAACAAGGCTGCAAGTTGCAACGACCCGAAGTTTTTTCGGGCGACAATCCATTGTCAAGCCTGGACTGCCTCATCGCCGCTGCCATTGCCAAACCATGGTGAAACAGAAGAAGATGCAAAAGGTCACGAATGTGAAGCGCCAGAAGATCGAGAAGCCAGCGCCGAAGCTCGAAGTGCTGGAGAAGCCGCTCGAAGTGCTGTCGGACAGCGAGGAGGAGCTGGCTGCGCCTGCACCTGCAGCAGAGCCTGCACGGGCGCCCGCTGAAGACGAGGACGACGTCGCCGACGAGGGCTTCGTCGCCGACGACGACAGCGTTGCAGGCGAGGACGCCGACGAGAGCGCTGAAGAGGAAGACAACGAGGACGACGAGGACGACGAGGACGACGAGGACGACGAGGATGACGCCGCCGAGGCCAAAGAAGCCGCCGCCATCGCCGACGCCGCCGAAGACGCCGCCGGCGCCGCCGAAGACGCCGCCGACAGCGAGGAGGAGGAGGAGGAGGACCCGGCGTGCGAGGAGGGCGACGTCGTCGTCGCGTGCCGCGACTGCTCGGCCAAGTTCGTCTTCACGGCCGGCGAGCAGGAGTTCTTCAAGGAGAAGGGCTTCGACGGGACGCCCGTGCGCTGCAAGGAGTGCCGCGCGGCCAAGAAGGGCGGCGGCAAGGGCGGCAAGGGCGGCGAGCGGTCGAACGTGTGCTACGCGTTCCAGCGCGGCGAGTGCACGCGCGGCGACTCGTGCAAGTTCGACCACGGCGGCGCCTCCGGCGGCGGCCGCGGCGCCGGCGGCGGCCGCGGCAAGGGCGGCTTCGGCGTCTGCTACGCCTTCCAGCGCGGCGAGTGCACGCGCGGCGACTCGTGCAAGTTCGAGCACTCGGCCGGCGGCGGCCGCGGCGGCGGCGGCAAGGGCCGCGGCCGCGGCGGCGGCAAGGGCAAGGGCAAGGGCAAGGGCGGCGCCAAGGCCGGGGTTTGCTACGCCTTCCAGAAGGGCGAGTGCACGCGCGGTACCTCCTGCCGCTTCGCGCACTAGCCGGCTTTCTCTTCGCGCTTCTTCGTAACTCGCCTCGCTTCGTAAAAAGAACACACTATGTACAAAAAGAACGCGGGGCTAGGGCGCGTGCTGGAGGGCCTTGGCCTCCTCGGTGTAGATGAAGCGGGCCTCGAGCGCGGCGAATTTGCGCGCCGCGAGCGCCGCGGTCGCCGCGAGCGCCGCGGCGGACGCGGTCGCGAGCGCGCCCGCGACGCGCGGGAGCCCCGCCGCCGCCGCGACGAGGTGGAGCGCGGCGAAGACGAGGGGCGGCGCCGCGAGCGCGTTCGGCGCCGCGGCGACGGTCGGGCCGACGACGTCGCTCCGGAGGAGCGCGCCGCCGAAGGCGGCGGCCGCCGCGGAGACGGCGAGGGAGAAGGGCGCCGCGGGCCCCGCCGCCGCCGCGCGGCAGAGCAAGGCGAAGGCCGCGACGTTGCGCGCGCCGCGCGCGGCCTTGGCGAGCGCGCGCGTCTCCGCGAGCGCCGACGAGCAGACCGCGCAGCCCTTGGTGTGCTGCTCGTAGCGGTCCAGGAGCTCGCGCCGGGGCAGGGGCGCCAGCGGCGCCGGCGCCGTGCGCCAGGGCATCGTCGCCGCGAGGCCGTCGAGCTTCTTCCGGTAGTTGACGACGAAGCGGTCCGCGCTGGACGGCACGACGTACTCGTCGCGCCACGCGCCGCCGTGGCCGTCGGCCTTGTAGGCCTGGAGCCGCTCCTCCTGGCCCCGGAGGAAGGCCAGGTCCTGGTCGAAGACGACGTTGTTCTCGAGGTGCTTGGCGACGAGCGCCGCGCGCGTCATCTTGGCCTCCGTGTTGAAGTCGCGGCCCCGGCGCACGAGCACGCGGCTCTTGCCCCGCGCGACGGGCACGGCGTAGAAGAGCGCGATGGCGCGCTTCCCGCCCGGGAGCTCGAACTCGTAGCTCAGGCGGCTCGGCGCCTCGAACCGCACCGTCTGCGTCGCCGTCGTCCGCGCGAAGCCCAGTCGCGACGACCCGTGGAGCGGCACCGTGACCTCGCCCGCGAGGCTCAGCGCCGCCGCGACGGACCCGCCGGAGCCGCGGTCCTTGACCGTGAGCGGCAGGGGCCGCGCGAGCGCGCGGTCCCCCTGCGACGTGCCGTGGTGGGACACGGGCACGTGGCTCGGGTCGATGACGTTCTCGACCAAGGTCGTGTAGTCGTAGGGCAGGTCGCGCGCGTAGTCCTGCTCGTAGATCCACCCCGCCTCCTCGAAGTTGGGCACGACGGGCGGCTCCGACGACGGCGCCGCGCCGGCCCGGAGCCAGACGAAGACGATGCCCTGGCGCTCGGCGACGGCGTGCATCCGCGCGCCGTAGCGCGCGCCCCAGTTCTCGTACTTGCGCTCCGCGAGGGCCGCCTCGTCGAGCTGCGGCAGGAGCGCGCACGAGCCGCACCTGCCCTCGAACTGCCAGCCGTGGTACGAGCACTCGACGCGCGTCGTCCCGTCGGCGTCGACGAGCCGGCCCTCCGAGAGCGGCGCGAGGCGGTGCGGGCACTCGTCCGCGAGGCACCGCGCGCCGCCGTCGAAGGCGTCGCGGAAGAGCACCAGGGGCGTCTCGAAGAGCGACGCCTTGAAGGGTTTTTTGGACGAGAGCTCGGCGCTGAAGCAGACCGCGTACCACCTACCGAGTGCGCCGGTGACGATTCGTCGTCGCTTCCCCGGTCAAAAGCTCTCGAACATCGTCAAGGCCGCAGGACGCTGCGCATCACGTGTCCTGCCACTCGATGCTCTCCTTGTGCGGTTCATCGAGGAACGCCGCGTCCGATGGCGTCGGCGCCTCGACGGCGGCAGCGCGCAGACGCAGGCGCGGGACGCGCCGCGCAGGGCTCCACGCCCAGGTTGTTGCGACGAGAGCCGCAATAGCTTTGGAAAATGGCGCCATAATCATCCCGAAGGTTTTGTCAGCTGTGCCAAGAGGTATGCAACAACCTTAACCACTGTCATGCTGATCTGAGATGAGTGCTCTGAGAATGGGGTGAGGTAGTGGTGGTGGTGGTGGGGGTGGTACCCCTGGGGCCGCTGGAGACCACTCGAATCCACCGGAAATATGCTTGTTTTGGCTCTATCGACCAGTTTTGATCTCGAGCTTGAGCAAACTGGTGGTTTTGACGCTCGATCATAAATTTCGACCGTGTGGAGGTCATGGCCGAGCAGCCCTCCAGCTGCCGATCGGCCAGAACGGGTGGTTCACAGGCTTCGTTGATCCCATGTTGCAGCTGTTTTGACCACTCATTTTGAGCAAGTCGCGACTCAGGGTGGGTAGGGTAGTGGTGCTTGGTGTCGTGGGGTGGTTCACTGCCGGCCTCCTGAGCTGTGCGGCTCACAAAAGTCACGGTGGGGCGAAAGTGCAGTGCAACGCCGGGTGCATCTTGCACACGCGGCCAATTATGAAGTCAATTACGTGGCCAGGGCGGGCCGAGAGAGCAAAAAGAGGGGCGGTACATCCAGCCTGAGAAGAAGGGGCGGGCAAGGCGAGGCGCGCGGTTCGCGGGGAAGGAGGAGAGGGCGGGGAGACGAGGCTCCCTAGTCGCACTCGACGCCCTGGCCGACCCAGTCGTTGCCGCAGAAGGTCGTGTCGCAGGTGCCGTAGGCGAAGTAGGCGGTCTCGTTGAAGTACGTCGACGGGTACGTGTCCTTGTCGCAGTCGTCCGGGTCGACGTAGCACCAGTCGTCGGCGCACCAGTCCGCGCCGAAGGAGTCGCCTACCGAACGCGTCGGTGACGATTTTTCGTGGATTTGTCAAAGTCTCTCGAAAATCGTCACGGCCGCAGGACGCTGGGAGTCGCCGCCCCCGGAGCAATAATCAAAATCGCCGTCCCAGGCGCCGCGGTAGTCACCGATCAGGGGCGCGTCCTCCATCCACGTGCCCTCCGTCACTTCGTCGGCGGACTTGCCGACGCAGGGGCAGGACGACGCGCCGCCCGTCGTGTCGCAGGACGTCGACGAGTACGACCCGAAGGCGGCGGCGGTGCCCGCGAGGGAGACGAGGCGAAACAACAAGGCTACAACATCGTTGGTGGTCGATCGGGGCAGCGCGTCGTCCAATGGTAAAATTTGGACCTCATCATCAAGCTCCGGCCGATTTGAACCCAGAGTTGGGGTTGGTGCTGAAGAACGGACGGCCGAGCTCGGCGCCCACGGGAGCGTCGCGTCGCGCGCGCGCGCACCGGCGACCACACACACAACACACACACAGAAAGCATGCCGAAGCACGATTTCTTCAGCCCCAAGGCCATCAGCAACCGCATCAAGGCCAAGGGCCTCACGAAGCTGCGCTGGTACTGCGAGATGTGCCAGAAGGCGTGCCGCGACGAGAACGGCTTCAAGTGCCACCAGACGTCCGACGGCCACCTGCGGCAGATGCGCATCTTCGCCGAGAACCCCAACGCCGTCATGCACAACTACTCCACGGAGTTCGAGGCGAACTACGTCGAGACGCTGAGCCGGCGCCACGGCACCAAGCGCGTGCACGCGAACGTCGTCTACCAGGAGTACATCGCCGACAAGCACCACGTCCACATGAACGCGACCAAGTGGGAGACGCTGACGAACTTCGTCAAGTATCTGGGCAAGAGCGGCCAGGCGCTCGTCGACGAGACCGAAAAGGGCTGGTTCGTCGCGTGGATCGACCGCGACCCCGCGGCGCTCGCGCGCCAGGCGGCGCTGGCGAAGAAGCGCAAGCACGACATGGACGACGAGGAGCGCCAGCGCCTCGAGATTAAAAGACGCGTCAAGGCCGGCGGCGGCGGCGACGCCGCGCCCGAGGCGGGCGACATGTCCGAGCGGTCCGCGGGCGACGTCGTCCGCGTCGACGTCCAGGCCGCGCCGAGCGGCTTCGTGCGCGGCGGCGCGTCGGGCGCGCGGCCGAACGCGCGCGCCGCGGCCTTCCGCGGCGACTCGCCCGAGGAGGCCGCGCCCGCGGCGGCGGCCAAGAAGCCGTCGATGCTCGACGAGCTCATGCAAGGCCAATCGTCGAAAACGCCGCCGGACGAGCCGAAGCTCGACCACTGGCTCCACGCGGACATCGTCGTCAAGTGCGTGAACCGCAAGGTCGCCGACGGCGCCTACTACAAGAAGAAGGGCACCGTGCTGCGTCTCGTGGACGACTTCGTCGCCGTGGTCCGCATGAACGACAGCGGCGACGAGCTCCAGCTCGACCAGGACGACCTCGAGACCGTCATCCCCGCCGTCGGCAAGCGCGTCAAGATCCTCAACGGCGTCGGCCGGGGCCTCGTCGCCACGCTCGTCGCCATCGACGTCGACGACTTCAGCGTCGCCGTCGAGGTCGAGTCGGGCCCGCGCCGGGGCCTCGCGCGGCGCGGCGTCGACTACGAGGACGTCTCGCGCCTGGCGTCGTAAGGCGCTTCTTTCTTAGACGTGGAGGGGGCGCTGGCGGAGCGTGGCGTCCGGCGGCGCGTCGGCCGCGGCCGCCCAGGAGCAGGCGGCGAAGTCGTCGCCCGCGGCGACGGCCGCGGGCCGCTCGAGCGCGAGGCCGCGCTCGACGTCGGCCGCGCGGCCCGCCGGCGACAAGGTCGGCGACGACGCGCTCCGGTCGGCGCCGAAGTGGGCCCGGAGCGTCGTGAGGTGGTCCTCGAGCACGCGGAGGTGGTCGCCGAGGCCCTTGTCGCGGTTCGGCGGTTCGGCCTTCGAAGAGTGGCGCTTGACGATCTCGACGACCTTCTCCTCCTCGAGCTCCAGCGCCATCCAGGCCCGGTACAGCCCCCGGAGCCAGGTGTGGATGGTCTTCCTCGAGGCCCAGATGTCGAACGCGGACACGAGCATGACGATGATGAGCAGCGGCGACAGGTAGCTGTCCAGGGCCTTGAGCTCCGCGTCCGACGCGCTGCGCTTCTCCGCGTAGTGGCGCATGAGGAACACGTAGACCGCCGACACCGTCGGGATGCAGCTCAGGTCCCAGACGAAGCGCGCGAACGGGTACTCGGCGATGTCGTAGGACTCGCTGTGGACGCTGCCCTTGAGGTGGTTGAGCATCTCGCGCTTGCTCAGGGGCCGGGGCGGCCCCTCGGGCTCCGGCGGCGCCGCGGCGCCGTCCTTCTCGCTGTCGCGCTTGCGGTAGTAGTGGAAGCGCATGACGCTCAGCAGCGTCGACACGCACGTGACGACGAGCGAGACGACGAACGACAGCTCCGCGTAGGTCGGGTCGCGCTGCCGCGGGAGCAGGTCCGCCGTGAACAGGTTCTGGGCCGTCAGCGTGAGCGCCACGGTGTAGCCCACGTCCGCCGCGAACGCGGCGATCTCCGACGACCGCGACCAGCCGATGATCGCCTGGGCCACGAGGCCCATGGCCGTGATGACGATGTTCGGCATGACGATGGTGCGGATGTAGAAGTGGCTCTCGCGCCGGATCTCGATGGCCGCCGTGAGGTAGGGCACGGCGTAGGAGCTGTAGTGACTGCCCACCTCGCGGCCCCAGCTCGCGGACTTGACGGTCCAGTCGTTGAGCTTGTCGAGCGACGACACGTCGACGCCGATGTGGTCGATCCACTCCAGGTCCTGCTTCTCGGGCCGCGACCCCGTGGCGCCCAGCGTGAAGCGCAGCGTCTGGCGGTCGTAGGGGAAGTCCTTCGTGACGAGCTTGATGCGGAACGTGAACATCTCCGGGTTGCTCCACTGCGCGAAGCCGTCGCTGCCGACGTGGGCGACGCCGTCGATGCGCTCGGCCTCGGCGACGGCCTCGTAGAGCTCGAGGTCCGGGCGCCAGTACCCGAAGGGCCGCGTCAGCGTCGCGAGGGGCCGCGCGGCGCCGTCGTCGTCGTAGTAGCGGTACTCCGACGTGTTCCACGAGAGCCGCTCGTCGACCCAGTTCCGCTGCATCCAGCCCGAGACGCGCGCGCTCAGGTCGTCGCTGTCGACCATGATGTTCAGCACGTGGAAGCCCACCTTCACCACGAGCCCCCCGCGGGGCGACGGCGCGACGTTGGGGTCGTAGACGTCGAGGCCCGTGACGGCGGAGCTCACGGGGTCGCGGAAGAGCTCGTCGTGGAGCATGGTCTCCGCCGCCGCCCGGTTCTCGTAGATCGTCGCCCGGGCGCACGCGGCCAGGGCGAGGAGGTGGCGCACGCAGCCCCACATCATGCTCCCAACACACTTTTTGGATTTCAGCTCTGGTCGCCAGTGACGCCGCCACGATGAGAGAGAGAGAGACTCGGAAGCCGGCGCGCGCTCGACGGAAAGAGAGACTAGGCCGCGGCGGAGATCGAGGCGCGGGCGGGCGGAGATCGAGCTCAGCTGACGTCGATGAACGCGGGCCCCGCGGCGAGCTTGAGGCGGAGGAGCGGGTGGAGCCTCGCGTTGTCCGCGAGGCTGTGGACCTTGATGGCGGAGTCGTCCTTGCCGCCCGTCGGGAGGAGGATGTCGGCGTAGATGGAGGCCCCCGACGCGTCCTCGCAGTTGCGCGAGAAGGCGCAGACGGCGACGACGTTGCGCGTCGCCGCGGTCTTGGCCATCATCTCCGCCGCGTCCCTCCAGTAGGAGAGGCCCAGGCCGTAGGACGCCGCGGTCTCGCCGTTGAAGCCGACCTCGTTCGCCGGGAGCTTGAGCCAGTTCGTGCAGACCATCGCGGGGCCCTGCACCGCGGAGCCCGGCGGGAGCCGGTCGTAGGCCGCGCGGAGGTGCCGCGCGGCGTCGGGCGACAGCGACTCGAGGGTCGTCCGCAGGTCGCGCGCGAGGGCCTTGGCCGCCGCCGCGCCCGAGGGCAGGGGCATGGACGCGAGGCGCAGCGACGCGACGGCGTTGCAGAACGCGCGGTTCGCGAGCCGCGGGTCGTCCGCGTACTTGCGCAGGTCCAGGGCGCAGTAGCAGTGGAGGGCGTCGCCGGCGTCGCGGCCCGGGATGCCCCCCTCGAGGAGCAGCGCGACGACGTGGGCCGCGTGGGCCACGAGCACGTCGTTCGTCGACACCTTCGGCACCGCGCCGCCGACCGTGTCGCGCTTCAGCCGCTCCACGTCCGCCTGGCTGAAGGACAGGCGCAGGAGCGTCTCGACCTTGGGCGCCGGCGCGCCGAAGAAGAAGGACCGCGCGAGCGTGCCGTAGATCGACGCCGGCGGCGGCACGAGCGTCTCGACGAGGCGCCTCACGTCGTCGTGGGGCGCCGCGCGGCTCAGGGGCACGCAGTCTCTGTCGTGGGACGGCGCCGGGCAGATCGCCGCGCGCTCGTTCGAGCTCCAGGCCCGCGTGAACAGGGCCAAAAGCCCGTGCGCGTCGCAGAGCGCGCGGCTCGCGCTGAGCGCGAGGCAGTAGCCCCGCGCCCCGAAGAGCGTCAGCTTCACGCGCAGGAGGGGCTCGTCGCCGCCGAGCACGCGGTCGCCGTCGACGCGGTCGAAGAGGTGGCCGGCCGCGGGCTTGTGCCGCTGCTGCTCGAGGTCGAGGCCGAAGTTGAGCACGCGCGAGAACGGCACGCCGTGGTTGCAGCATTTGATCTGCCACGACTCCGGCGTGCGCACGCACCGGCCCTCGGCCTCGGGGAAGGCCCGCAGCGTGCGCTGGAGGCTCCGGTAGATGCGGTCCGCGAACGTGTCGGGCGACGCGACGTCCTCGAAGAACCACGCGAAATCCACGACCTGCGCCGGCAGGTCGCCGCGGCTCTCCTGCGGCCCGGGCGCGATGACGGCGTTCGTCGCCTCGCTGATGCCGCAGGTCGCGAGCTCCACGGTCCCCTCGTCGAAGTAGTCGACGTAGCCCTCACCGAAGGCGAGGCACTGGATCATGACGCCCGCCGTCGCAGTCTCCGCTGATTTCGTCCGGGCGGCGGCGCGATGCGAGGAGCCGAGGCGCGGCGCGGCGGCGCGGGCGGCTCCGGACCGGGGCGCGCGTGCCCCCGGCGCGTCGCAAGCTTTTAGACGTTTGTGCTTGCGCTTGGAGCCGGCGTCGAAGCGACACGCAGGTGCAAGGTTCGCCCCGGTGCTGATGGTGCTGCGGCAACGTGCTGTCGCCCGCCCCCAGCCGCCCGCCGCCGCCGCGCGCGACGACGCGCCGCGCCGCTGCTGGACCAAGCCCGGCCGCGCGCGCGCCACCACGGGTCGTGCGAGCACTGTCCGCCTGATTGCCAAAATATGGTCGTGCTCATCGACGAGGCCGCGGCGATCAGCGCGTCCGCCGCCGAGGCGGCGCTGACCGTGTACAAGTTCGAGCTCTGGATGGCCGCGATCGGCGTGCTGTGCTACAAGCTGGCGCAGCGCCTCAAGCTCCGCAACCTGTCGCTCTACGAAGGTCGGCGCCTCTGACCATGGCCGCGCTGCTCGACGGCGACGCGGCGCTCGCGGCGCTCGACGCGGACGCGGCCTTCGCCGCGCTCGCGCGCCTCCTGCGCCGCCCCGACTTCCTCGACGGCGTTTTCGAGTCCGGCCGCTGCGCGTCCGAGCCCGGCGCCGCGGCGGCGTTCGACGTCGCCGCGGTCCTCGACCTCCTCGACGCGAGCGCGTCCGTCGCGGGCTGCGAGGCCGGCGCGCCCGAGGGCGGGCCGCCGCGGCGCGGCGTCGACTACGAGCTCGGCCGCTGGGCGCCGCCGGCCTGGGAGCGCTACGCGGGCGCCGTCGCGGCCGGCGGCGCGGCCGCGGCCGCGCGCGCCGCGCTCGCCGGGGGCTACAGCGTGACGATCCGCCACGCCGAGCTCCGGAGCCGGCGCCTCGCCGCCGCGTGCTTCGCCGTGCAGGACTTCCTCGGGCTGCCGGCGCAGGCGAACGTCTACGTCACGCCGCCGGGCGCGAGCGCCGCGAGGCCCCACGTCGACCGCCACTGCGTCTTCGCAGTGCAGCTCGCGGGCGCCAAGCGCTGGTGCCTGCGCGAGGCCGATGGCTACGTGCCGCCCCCGGCGCGCGAGCGGGCGACGGCGCGCGCGGACGCCGCGTACGGCGGCGAGCGCGCCGTCGACCTCGCCGCCGGCGGCGCGCTCTACGTGCCCCGGGGCGCGCCCCACTGCTGCGAGAACGCGGGCGACGCGCTCTCCGTCCACGTGTCCTTCGGCGTCGACGTCCACGCGCCGCTCACCTGGGAGGGCGCGCTCCAGGCCGCGCTCCGCGGCGCCGGCGCGGCGGCGGGCGCGCACGCGGCGCTCCGGGGCCTCGCGCTCGGCGACGCGCCCTTCCTGCGCCACGCGTGCCTCCACCGGCGCGCCGGCGCGGCGGACCGCCTGCGGCGCGAGGCGGCGCGGGCCCTGGGCGTCGTCGAGGCCCTCGACGGCGCGGCCGTCGAGGCCCGGGCGACGGACGCGGGCCTCGCCTACCTCGGCCTCGCGCCGCGCGCGCCGGGCGCCGCACGCGCCGATGCGCTCGCGGGGCTCCGGGCCGTCGTCGACGCGCCCGCCGCGGACCGCGCCGCCGCGCTCCGCGACGTCGCCGACATGGCCCGCGACGTCCGCGACCGCGCGCGCGCGCTCGCGGCGGCTTTGCTCCCGGACTAACTTGAATCACTTCTTCTTACCCTTCTTCCCGCCGGGCGCCGCGCCGCCGAAGAGCAGCGCCGTGCAGTTCTCGCAGCCCTTCTTGCTGTTGATGTTGTACATCTGCTTGCACTCCTTGCACTTCTTCATGACCTTGCCTGCGGCGGCGCGCCGCGTCCGACGACGGCGACGGCGACGCGCGCGGCGCACCTCCGCCGGACGGCGCGCCGCCCTCGGCCGCGAGGAGCTTGTCCTTCTCGGCCTTGGCCTTCGCCTGTTGCCGCGTTCGTCGGACTTCGAGCTCGAGCACGTGCGTACCTTTTCCTCGCTCTTGGCAGTCGCTTCCTCCTGCTTGCTCGTGTCTTTGGCACCCTGTTGCCAGACTTTATCCCGCTGGGCCTGCTTCTTCGCGAAGGCGGCGAGCTCCTTCTCCTTCTGGGCGGCCTTTGAGGCCTCCTTGGCGGCTATTTGGCCGGCGCTCATGCCAGACGATCGATCGCGGTCGGGGCAGCCCAATGTTCAAAGTTAGATATCAATAAAAGTTTATTGCCGTCAGGTATCAAACAACCCGACAGCGCCCTCGATCGGGACGGGTAGAGCGGGCATAGGTGCTGCCCGGCCGCGTCGTCGGCGGGCCGCTCGGGCCGCGCTCCGGGGCCGTCGCCGCCGCTCCCGTCGCCGCCCGCCGCGCGCGACGGAACCGACGAAACCATGCCGCAGGAGCGCTACCTCTTCCGCGGGTCGCTGCTCAACAAGGCGAACACGGACAAGGACTTCCTCCTGCGCTACGCCGAGGACGAGCTGACGAACGGGTCCAAGGATGGCGGCGACAAGCTGCCGGAGATCCGCAAGCGGGCCAAGGAGGCCAAGGAGGCCGAGGAGGAGGACGAGCGCATGCAGCGCAACTCCGTCATCGACATGACCGCGCTCATGAAGGTCAAGAACGTCTTCAAGAACAAGATCTGCGGCGACATCTTCTCGAGCGCGCCCAAGTCCTACGACGGCGTCCTCTACAAGAGCCGCATCACGACGTCGAAGGAGACGTCCGAGGCCGTGGACACGATGACCATGGACATGGACGACCACGACGACGACTCCGACTCGCTCGAGCGCGGCAGCCACGACTCGCGGCCCATGAGCCGCGAGGCCGCCGACGAGCTCATGAAGTTGGGCGCCGAGAGCTCGACGCAGGCCGAGCTCGAGGGCCACGACATCGAGGCCGTCTCCAGCGACGACGAGTCCGAGCCCGAGGACATGACGCAGCGGCAGCAGCTCGCGGTGACGCTGCGCAACTACTGCAAGCGCGAGGGCAACGTCGGCTACCTGCTCGAGGAGGGCGCCGTCGTCGCGCTCTGCGGCCTGGCGTCCATCGACGACGACCGCATCCGCTGCGCGTGCGCGGTCGCGCTGTCGAACCTCACGCGGCGCCGCGACCACCTCCAGGCGCTGTTGGCGTCGGGCGTCATGGTCGCGGTGCTCCAGCTCGCGACGTCGCTGCCGTCGGCGACGTCGAAGCGCAACGCGCTCATCTCGGGCCGCATGGAGAGCGGGCGGATCCACCGCAAGGGCTCGCGCGAGGACAAGCGCGAGACGTCCGGGCTCCGCGTCGCGCTGCACTGCGCGCGGACGCTCGCGAACCTGTCGTGCTGCGCCGGCGGCGAGGCGTCGCTCGTGGGCGACGGCATGGTGCCCGCGTGCCGGCTGACCCTGGCGCACGGCCCGCGGACGGCCGCGCCCTACTGCGTGCAGGCGCTCTACAACCTGACGACGGTCGCGGAGCCCTACGACGGCCTCGACACGGTGATCAAGGCCGTCTGCGCCATCCCGCTCACGCCGGCCATGGACGCGCGCCAGGTCGCCGTGGGCGCGTGCTGCAACGCGTCCGTGTTCTTCAAGCTGCGGAGCCGGCTCCTCGAGGCGGGCGCGCTCCAGACGCTCGCGACGATCGTCCAGGCCGACGCCGTGAGCGACGCCGTGAGCCGCAAGTTCCCCTTCGACTCGCGGCTGCGCAACTCCGTGTCCGCCTGCCTCCACAACCTGGCGTCCGCGCGCGCGTGCCGGTCGGACATGGTCGCGCGCGGCGCGGTGCCCGCGCTCGCGCTCCTCGCGAACGACGAGGACCCGGAGCTCCTCAGCGCGATATCAGCGACGCTGTCGAAGCTGACGCGGGACGTGTCGAGCCGCCAGCGCCTCGTCAACGACGGCGGCCTCGAGACCGCGCGCGCCGTCGCGCTCCACTGCCGGGGTTTGGCGTCCGCGACGCAGCCGCTCACGGAGGCGCTGCTCAACATGACGCGGCGGCCGGGGTCCGTCGCCGGCGTCGTCGCGCGGACCTACGACCCCGCGCCCGGCGGCCGGCGGCGCGGGCGGCGCACGGCGCTGGGCATCGCGGGCCGGTCGCTCACGAAGTACGACCCGGCGTTCGACCCCGGCGCGACGGCGCGCGGCGGGTCCTTCGACGACGGGGACCAGGCGGGCGCCGTCGACGACGGCTCCGTGGACAGCGCGAACCGCAGCAGCGTGGTCATGAGCGGCATCGTCGTCGCGGACGTGATCATCGCCCTCGCGCGCGTCAACGACGTGAAGACGCGGCGCGGCTGGGCGCGCGCGCTCGCGCAGATTTTGGACGAGCCCGAGTCGCACGGCCCCATGCTCACGGGCAAGGCGCTGACGCCCGTCATCAACCTCATGCGGTCCCTGGCGTCCGCGGGCGAGGCGTGCCCGGAGGCCGCGTACACGGACCCGGCGGCCATCGAGGCGCTGGCGCTCGGCCTCTACTACATGACGCTCGGCGAGCACACGGAGCGCATCGTCGTGGACGTCGGCGTGGGCAGCGCCATGGTCGACCTGCCGGAGTGCCTCGAGGTGGCCATGGCCGTCCACGGGTCCGACGACGTCGCCGCGGGCGACCGGAAGAACGTCATGCGGGGCCTGCTCGAGGCCGAGGACCCGCTCAAGGAGCGCGTGCTCGGCTGCGTGTCCCACGCGCTCTGCAACCTGACGGTCGCCGTGTCGCCGTCGGCGCTGAAGCGGCTCGTGGACGACGGCGCCCTGAAGGCGCTGACGAAGATGCTCAAGAGCGGCATCCTGAGCGTCCAGGCGAGCTGCGCGACGGCGCTCGCGAACATCGCGTTCTCGCGGTCCGTGCGCGACGCCTTCACGGAGGGCGGCATGTGGAGCCCCATCACGGACGTGGCGCGCGTGTTGATTCGCCACACGCACGAGGACACGGACCTCCACGGCTTCACGGGCGGCTTCGCGGGCGAGTGGGTCGAGGCGTGCAACGGCGCCCTGGTCGGCGGCTGCTGCGCGGCGCTGGCGTCGCTGAGCTTCGAGCCCGAGGCGCGCGCCCAGCTCCAGGAGGCGGGGGCGCTCGGGGCCGTGCTCGAGATCTGCCTCACGTGCCAGTCGAACCTGACGAGCGTCGTGGAGACGATCACGACGCGGCGCTGCGCGACGACGCTCTGCAACATCTCCTCGGACAACAACGAGACGCGGCGCTGCCAGCTCGTCGAGCAGGGCATCGTCAGCGCGCTCGCGCGGCTCAGCGAGTCCTACTCGGAGGACATGCAGAACGACATCGCGCGGTGCCTCTGCAATCTGGCGTGCGCGGCGGACACGCCGCAGAACGCCGTGCCGACGCGGCGCTGCTGCGCCCAGGCCTTCTGGAACATCTGCACGCCGCCGACGCTGACGTACCTGCTCGAGGCGGCCATCGAGGCGCGCGAGCGCGAGGCCCGGCGCGCGTCCGTCGCCGCCGACGACGCGAAGAAGAAGAAGGAGCCCGGTGGCGGCGGGCTGCGGGCGCTGCAGCCGAACATGGGCTTCGTCCACGCCTTCGCGCTGCTCGCGGCCCAGGACGACGAGCCGACGCTCGCGCTCGTCGGCGCGCTCTTCGCGGCGGTCGCGGACCGGTCCTGCGGGCGGCGCGTGCTCGTGGAGGCGAAGAACAAGGTGCTCCACGGCATGTACACGCTCCTCCGCTCGCGGACGCGGTCGACGCGGCTCACGGCGGGGCTCGCGGTGTGCTCGCTGCTGACGCACGGCGAGTCGGCGCCCGAGGCCGTGCGGACGGGCGGGCTCAACGTCGTCAAGGTGCTGGCCATCCAGGGCGACGACGACGCGGCGCTGGCGTCGGCCCACGCCCTCGCCGCGCTGGGCGCGCGCGGCGACCCCTACGAGATCCGGCGCCTCGTCAACGACGGCGTCGCGCCCGTGCCCGTGCACCTCATCATGTCGCACGGCGCGGACGTGGCCATGGTCGCCGTGCGCGCGATCACGTGCCTGGCCATCCACGAGGAGCTGCGGGCGCCCCTGGTCAAGGCCGGCGCGGCGACGGCGCTCGTGTCCGTGTGCCTCCGGGACGCGGCGACGCGCGACGAGCTCGCGGACGCGCTCGCGCGCGGGCTGCTCTACCTCGCGTCGTCCCACGACGAGGTGCCGGCCATCGTGTCCCAGCGCGCCGTCACGGCGCTGGTGATCTTAGGCCGCCACGTCGCGGGCCGGCGGCGCAACGGGAGCCTGCCGGAGCTCTTCCGCGACGTGCCGCGCATGTGCGTCGCCGCGATCCAGCAGTTCACGTTCTGCGACGAGGTCCAGCCGGAGATCGTCGGCGACGGCGGCGCCATGCTCGTCGTGGAGCAGATCTGCGGCGAGGGCGTCACGGCGGCGGAGCGGGCGCCCGTGGCGCCGGACGCGGCCGTCGCGCTCGCGAACCTCGCGCGGACGGAGCGGCTCGCGACGGACCTGCTCGAGGACGGCGCGGGCGAGGCGGCGCTCGTGCTGACGGGCGAGCCGGGCGTCGCCGACGACCGCCACGGCACCTGGCGCATCCTGACGACGCTGTTCCACCTGACGCTGTACTCGGCGCGGCACCGCGAGCAGCTCATCGCCGACGGCGCGGTCGCGCGCGTCGCCGCGCTCGTCCCCGCGTGCCGGGGCCCCGCGCGCCAGTGCGCCGCCGCGGCGCTGTGCAACCTGAGCTTCTGCAAGGCGGCGAACGCGCGCGAGGCCATGGTGGAGCAGGGCGCGGTGCACGCGCTCGTCCACATGGCGGAGCACTTCTCGAACGAGACGACGCAGAACTGGTGCTCCGTGGCGCTGAGCAACCTGAGCAGCCACACGGACGTGCAGCCCGGCGACGTCGCGGCGCTGCTGGGCATCACCTTCGGCCCCGCGGAGGACGGCGGCATCCCCATCGCGTCGCTCGCGACCGCGTCGGCCGCGTCCGCGGCCGCGAGCCCGTCGAAGCGGCAGCTCAAGCGCGAGGGCGACGCGCTGGAGCCGGGCCACGAGTCCCACGGCGGCCACGGGTTGGACCACCACGGGCTGCTGGGCGAGGGCGGCGGTGACCACGGGCTGCTGGGCGACGGCCTCGAGATCGCGGGCCTCGAGGGCGAGGACGCGTCGCTCGCGTCGTCCGTGACGATCCAGCCCAAGGCCGTGACGCGCGCCATGTCCGGCAAGGTGCGCACGATCCTCGGCGCGTCGGGCATGGGCAAGCACGCGAGCGTCGCCGAGCTGCTGAAGATCCCCGAGGACGACGGCAACCTGCTCCGCCAGCGGCCGCCGGAGCCGGACTGGTTCTCCGTGAGCCGCGAGCACCACGAGGCCTTCGCGACGCAGGCCCTGCGAAAGATGGCCTCCAAGGCCTGCGCGGACACGCTCCCGCCGCGGCGGTCCGCGGGCCTCGCGGAGCAGGAGCGCGGCAACACGATGCTCGAGAACGTGACGCCCCCGGCGCTCGTGGAGACGTTCATGGACGTCGCGGTCCAGCAGGACACGATCGGCGGCGACGACGCCTTCGCCGCCGACGACATCATCCCCATCGCCTTCCCCAAGCTCCCCGAGCGGCCCGACCTCGCGCCGCCGGCCGTCCGCGTCGACGAGCACCAGCGCATCCTCAACCTCGCGTCCGAGTCGGGCCACGACGTCGACACGAGCCACAAGAAGCACAAGAAGCACGGCCACCACCACGACCACGACGACTCCATGGCGTCGACGCCCCCGCCGGGGTCCGCGGACTCGAGCCACCCGCCGCGCTCCGCCGAGTAAGGGCGCCACGCTTCGCGAGGGCCGGGTCGGAGCGCCCCCTGCGCCAACACGCGATGAGGAGGTCCGGTCGTGGTCCCCGCGCGGGGGGGGGGGGGGGGGGGGTTGAGCTACCCCCCGCCACGGGCGCGACGCAGGTCGTCCCAACGTGCGCCCCAAATCTAATTAATAGTTCAAGTCTCCCAAGCCGGGGCCGCGGCGCCCCGTAACGTACTACGCCGGCGCGATCGCGGGCTCCCGGGCGCGGACGGGTCCCGAAACCGGGCCGGGCCCGACGGATCCAGAGCCACAACCTCCCGCGTCCTCGGGCGTCGACCGGCCCGGAGCGGCAACCCCTCGGGATGGCAGTGTGTCGCACACGGATCTCGACGATCTTCCCTCCGCACTCTCCCCGCGAGAGCCCTCCCCATTTCGATGGACATACTCCCAGCCGTGCTCCTCGAGCTCAACCCGCCGCCGCCGCGCTTCTCTACCGAGGCCGGCGCCGGCCACCGCGGGCTGTACTCCCAGGCCCGCGGCAAGAGTCCGCTCGGGCAAGCAAACCCGGCGCGTAGGTCGACGTGAGAGTCTGAACCGTTCAGGTGAGTCAACCCGGAATCCGCCTTCGATTCCGCCTGTTTTTCCGTCTCTCGGAACACCGCAATTAAGGCGGGATAGATCTAGTGGCGGATTCCGAGGGGGGGGCGACTCCGGGCTCAAAACCGCCTGAGCGAAAGCCCCTAGGCCCGCCTCTAATACGCGTACAATATGTGCGTCCCTTGGCGGCGCACGACGCGCTTGTTGACCTCGACGATCGCGCCGAAGAGGCGCCCGAGCTCGTTCGTCTGGGGCCGCGTGTGGGTCTCGCGCACGGACTCGGGCTCGTCGCGCGCGGCCTGCTGCACGACGGGCCCCGACATGACCTGGAGGTTGTTCCAGACGACCTCCTCGTTCGGGACGAGGTCGCGCGTGGCTCGCAGCGCGACGAGCGGGTGCCGCTCGGCCGTCATTCTGATCTCGGGGGCCGCCGTCGCCGCGGTGGGCGCGCCCGGATCGTTCGCGTGACGGACGTTCCGCAAGAGCGCGTTCCCCTTGGTAACGCCGCTGAGCAGCCACTGCGAATTTCGCTCCTCGTGCGCCGCCCGGCGGTCGAAGCAGTCAATGTAGACCTCGCCGCGGTCGCCGAAGAACCGCCGGAGCGTCGGATCGCGGAGCAGCGACGCGATGCCCCCGCCGAGGATCCCACCGGCCCGGGCCGCGTGCTCGTCGGCCGCGGCGTTCGGCGCTCCGGGATCGGGCCGGAACGGCTCCCGGGCGCTGAGCTCGCCCGCGAGGTCGCCGATCAGCGCGCCGGCGCGGACGGCGACGCCGACGACGGCGGCGACGCCGTCCTCCGTCGCGACGAGCCGTATCGGCGGCCGCCGCTCGCCCTCGACGGCGTCGCCGCGCGCGAGGACGCCGCCGGGCATGGACCAGCTCGTCGACGACCGCGTCGACGGGTCGCACGCCGACGCGTCGGCCGCCGCCGCCGGCCCCGGGGCTACGGGCGCCGCGCCGTCGCGGAGGAACGCGGGCACGGGCCCGTTGTCGTCGCCGCGCGGCGGCGGCAGCGAGAGAAGGACTGCGAGCGCCGCGGCGCCCACCGCGCCGCCGTGGTCGCGCTCGACGACGTGGCGCCAGCAGTCCTCGTCCAGGGTGCCGTGGAGCCAGCGACAGGTCACCGATAGCGCGTCTGCCCCTAGGAAATCCTGAGGTTGGCGCTCGGCCGCCGCGAGCACGACGAGGGCGACGAGCGGCGCCGGCAGCGACGCCAGCCCCGACGCCTGCGGCCGCCCCTCGCGGACAGCCGCGGGCGCCGCGTCGACGGCCCGCTTCTCGCGCCAGGCCTCGGCCGTCGTGGCGACCGCGACGACGGGTCCCTCGGCGGCGCGCGGGCAGTCGCCGACGCAGCGAAAGACCCAGCGCCAGAACGGCCGCCGCCGCCGTCGCACGCGCCACGCGTCGTGTGTGTAGATGATTGCGTAGCGCGAGGCGTCATCGTCGATCGGCTCCGAGGCGGCCTCCGGCGGTTCCGGCGTCGCCGCGTGCTCGTCCCCCGAGACGGCGGCGTCGTCAGCCGGTTCCGGCGCGGCGGAATCGTCCCGCGGTTCCGGCGCGGCGGCGTCTTCCTGCTGCGATGCCGGCGCTGCGGTGCCGGCGTCATCCTCCGGCGCCGCGCGCGGCTGCTGCACTTCGAGCTTGCCACTCGCGCGGCGCTTCAGGAATTCCTTGAACGAAAGTGGAGGCGCATGCTGTGTTGGTGCCGGCGCTACTGGAGTTGCCGGCGTTGGCGCCGCGGCTGCCGGCGCCGGCGCCGCGGCTGCTGGCGCTTGTGCCGTGATTGCTGGCACTGGCGCAGCGCGCGCCGGCTGCTGCGCCAGCCAGGCCTTGAAGGACATGCCCTTTACAGCCTTCTCGAGGTCACCATCGACGAGCAGCCCGGTTCACCATCAACCCAATCGCGCGGAAGCGCATCATCGCGCAAGCCGCCGGAGTTCGATCGACGGGATTCGCCCGCAGCGAGTCGCCTCGCAGACACCATGGCCGACGAGGCGAAGGCCGCGGGCAACAAGTGCCTCCAGGCGAAGGACTTCGACGGCGCCATCGCCCACTACACGACGGCCATCGGCCTCGACGGCACGCAGCACACCTACTACAGCAACCGCGCGGCGGCCTTCATGAGCAAGGGCGACCCGGCCAAGGCGCTGGCCGACGCGGACATGTGCATCAAGCTGAGCCCGACGTGGGCCAAGGGCTACTCGCGCAAGGGCGCGGCGCTGCACGCCATGAAGAAGTACGACGAGGCCGACGCCGCGTACCAGGCGGGCCTCGCCGTCGCGCCGGGCGACGCCGCGCTCAAGCAGGGCGTCGTCGACGTGAACAAGGCCAAGGGCGCGGCCCAGTCGGCGGCGAACAACCCCTTCGGCGCGGCGCTGGGCCCGGACCTCATCCCCAGGCTCGCGCAGCACCCGACGCTCCGCCACAAGCTCGGCGACGAAAATTTCATGATGAAGCTCCGCATGCTCCAGGCGAACCCGCAGCAGATGATGTCGACCATGTTCCAGGACCCCGACATGCAGGAGGTGCTGAGCTTCGCGCTGGGCATCAACATCTCGACGCCGGACCAGTTCGACCCCGCCGACCCGGCCGCGGGCGCGTCCGCGGCCGCGCCCGCGCCGAGCCCGCCGCCCGCGCCCGCGCCCGCGCCCGAGCCCGAGCCCGAGGTCGAGCGCACGCCCGAGGAGCAGCAGGCCTTCGAGGCGAAGCAGGTCGCCCTGGCCCACAAGGCCAAGGGCAACGCGTGCTACAAGGCCAAGCAGTTCGACGACGCGCTCGAGCACTACGACGCCGCGATCGCCGCGGACCCGACGGACGTCACGTACCGGAACAACAAGTGCGCCGTCCACTTCGAGAAGAAGGACTACGACGCCGTCGTCGCCGAGGGCGCGGAGGCCATCCGCGTCGGCCGCGACCACCGCGCGGACTACGAGCTCGTGCACAACAGGGCAGGACAAGAGAGCGACATTCCCAACTTCAAAGGCTCCGATCTCGGCCATTTTCCACTCGTTTCGGCTGATTTTTGGACGAGCGATCATCTCTTGGAACGGTCTCGAAGCGTGGATGCTTTTCCCGTAACGCGCGCGCGCGGAACACTCGCGTTGAAGCGACGTTGAATCACCCTTGTCCCGCCCAGGTGCACAAGATCTACGTCCGCATGGGCAAGGCCCGCGTCAAGCAGGGCGACCTCCCGGGGGGCCTCGAGTACTTCGCGTCGGCCCAGGTCGAGTACCGCGACAAGGCCACGGAGCGCCTCATCAAGAACCTCGAGATGGACATCAAGAAGGCGAAGACGGCCGCGTACGTCGACCCCGAGAAGGCTTTGGCGGCCAAGGAGGAGGGCAACGTCAAGTTCCGCGAGGGCAAGTTCGCCGAGTCCATCCCCCACTACGAGGAGGCCATCAAGCGCGACCCGAAGAACCCGGCCTACAACAACAACCTCGCCGCGGCGCTCACGAAGCTCGGCAACTTCGCGGCGGCGAAGCAGGCGTGCGAGAAGGCGCTCGATCTGGACCCGTCCTACGTCAAGGCCATCGCGAAGAAGGGCGACCTCGAGTTCCTCATGAAGGAGTACCACAAGGCCCTGGAGTCGTACAAGAAGGGCCTGGCCCTCGAGCCCGCGAACGCCGCGTGCAGGGCAGGGCAGGAAAAGAGAGCGAAATTCCCAACTTCAAAGGCTCCTATCTCGGCCGTTTCCCACTCGTTTCGGCTGATTTTTGGACCAGCGATCATCTCTCGGAACGGTCTCGAAGCATGGATGCTTTCTTCCGGGACGCGCGCGCGCGGAACGCTCATGTTGAAGCGAACTTGAATCTCTCTTTTCCTGCCCAGGTGCAAGCAGGGCCTCGCGAAGACGACGCACGCGATCAACTCCGCGTCGGGCAGCGACCAGGAGCGCGCGCAGCACGCCATGGCCGACCCGGAGATCCAGGCCATCCTCCAGGACCCCATGGTCCGCGACGTCATCAACAACCTCTCCGGCGGCGACCAGATGGCCGGCCAGCGCGCGCTCCAGGACCCGCTCATGAAGGCCAAGATCGAGAAGCTCATCGCCTCGGGCATCCTCCAGATGAAGTAGGGCGCACACGGTCGAGCCCCGCGCGCTTTTCTAACCGCCGTGACCCTCTAGCGCGCGCGCCGCTTCCGCGTTTAGCGCGCGCGCCGCTTCCGCGTCGGGTAGGCGACCTCCTCGTCGCTCGAGAAGCCGCCGAGGAGGTCGACGACGTCCGCGGGCTTCGGCGCGCGAACCGGCGGCGGGCCCCGCGCGCGGCCCGGCACGGGCGGCGGGCCGCGCCGCGGCGCCGCGGGCGCGGCGCGCGGCGGCGCCGCGGCGCCCGCGCGGCGGTCGCAGAGGTCGCAGCAGGGCCGGTCGCCGTTGCCCGGCCCCGGGTCCGCGCCGAAGTGGCCGACGAGCCGCTGCCGGCGGCAGCAGCTCCGCGGCGTCTCGCAGTACCTGACCATGTCGTCGAGCTTGTCGAGGTCGCGCTGGAGCCGCGGCCCGCGCCGCTTCATGCGCCCGAAGCCCGTCACGAGCTTCCGGATCTTCGCGACGTCCTGGCGCCGGTAGTAGAGCGCGCAGAGGCTCGGCGCGCCGTCGCGGCCCGCGCGGCCCGCCTCCTGGTAGTAGCCCTCGAGCGACTTGGCGAGCGACGCGTGGACGACGTAGCGGACGTCGGCCTTGTCGATGCCCATGCCGTAGGCGATGGTCGCGCAGACGACGTGGACCTGGCCCGCCTGCCACGCGGCCTGGGTCACGCGCCGGTTGAGGGGGCTCAGGCCCGCGTGGTAGTGCGCCGCCTTCACGTCGTCGCAGCGCTCCGAGAGCAGGTCCGCGCACGCCTCCGCGTCGGCCTGCGTCATGCAGTAGACGATGCCGCACTGGCCCGGGCGCCGCTTCACGAAGTCGACGACGGCCTCGCGGACGTCGTTCGCGTCGCCCTCGCTGTAGTCCTCGACGGCGAAGTGCAGATTCGGCCGGTCCGACGACGTGCGGTGCGCGAGCGCGTCGGGCGCGATCTTCAGCGACTTGCGCAGGTCCGCCTCGCAGGCCGGCGTCGCCGTCGCCGTCAGGGCCATGAAGGGCACGCCGGGGTAGGACCGCCGCAGGTTCCCCAGCTTGCGGTAGTCGGGCCGGAAGTCGTGGCCCCACTCGGAGACGCAGTGCGCCTCGTCGACGACGAACCGCGCGAGCAGCCGGCGCCGGTGGAGCTTCGCCAGACACTCGCCGAAGGTCGGCGACGCCGCGAGGCGCTCGGGCGTCACGTAGAGGAGCTTGAGGCCCAACTCGCCGCGGCCCTCGCCCGCCTTGTGCAGCTCGTGGAGCACGGACCGCGACGCGGCCTCCTTCGTGCCGCTCGTCAGGTGCGCCGCGGGGATGCCGCCGCAGGCCGCGCCGAGCAGCGCCGACACCTGGTCCTCGATGAGGCTCAGCAGCGGGCTCACGACGATCGTCACGCCCGGCGTGAGCAGCGCGGGAAGCTGGTAGCAGAGGCTCTTGCCGCCGCCCGTCGGCAGCACGACGACGACGTCGCGGCCGTGCAGCGCGCCGCGGATCGCCCGCTGCTGGCCGGGCCGGAAGGACCCGTGGCCGAAGAAGACGCGGTTCGCGGCGGCGAGCTTCTCGTCGAGCGCGTCGGGCTGCGGCGGCCCCGGGGCCGCGCGCGGCGCGGCGCCGACGCCGTCGCGCTTGCGCGTCATCATCTCCATCATCGTGAGCTGGCGCTTGTTGGTCTGCATCGTTGCGCGCGGGGCGGGCGCCAGGCGCAGAGAGGTCCCAGGGTTGAAAGTGCGACTTGACGGCAACATAGCTTCAAGCAGAACCCCCCACGACAAACCCTGCCGCGTACCAAAGAAAGCGACGCGCAATATGGCCGGAGCGCGGGGGCGATGAGAGCCCTGTATCGCCCCAGCATGATGCGCAACAAAAGCCGCGACGCGTCCGGACATCATCGGAATGGCTTACTGCGGAGTAGCATGAAATGCACGATCCAGTCTTACACACGCCCGCATCTACCGCAGCGCCTTGGCCTGCTTGAGCATGGTCGTGAGCTCGCCGGACTCCTGGAGCGCGGCCAGGCCCGGCGTGCCGCTCGAGAGGCCGCCGACGGACTTGCCGCCGATGAAGACGTGCGGCAGCGACGACTGGCCCGTCATGGTCTCGAGCTCCGCGCGGAACACGGAGGCGCGCGGCCCGAGGAGGAACCACTCGAGGCCGAGCTGCCGGTTCTCGAAGGTGCAGCCCGTCTCCTCGAGGAGCGCGATCGCCTCGGTGGAGAAGGGCGACAGGCCGTAGCTGTAGATGACGCACGGCGTCTTCCCGACGGCGTCGAGCTCCGATTTGACGTCGTCGACGTCGACGCCGCCGATCTTGCCGAGCACGAGCGCTTGCAACTTCGTCTCGAGCGAGAAGATGGGCTTGAGGGCCTGCATGCCGACGCCGGCGAACTTGATGGCCGGGTTCAGCGCGCTCGCGCAAGACGCCAGCGCGATGAGGACGAGCTTGCGGAGGAGAGCCATCGCTGCGCGTGCTTGGTGGTGCTGCGGCGGCGGTGGTGCGACGGCGTTGCTGGTGTGCTTTTGCGGCGTGCGACGGCGTCGCTGGCCAAAACGTCAAGTTGCACTTCAACAATCTGCAACGATCTCATAGGCCGGAAAAGGAAGGAAAAGGCCGATTGCGAAACGAGCGAGTTAGAGAAGGGACGGACTCCCTTCCGACGCGGGGCAGCCAGCGCAAAGAAAAGCGCGGCGCCTCGACGCGTCGAGGGTCGGCGACAATTCCGGACACCTCAGCCGAAGGAGATGCTCGACCGGCCGCCCGGCGGCGCGTGGAGGCGCGTCGTGGACCGGTCCGTGATGAAGTTGCCGCAGTTCTGGTTCGCGCCGTTGGCGTAGGCGTTGGATCCATGCCTCGCGTTCGCGCCGAAGGCGTAGTCGTCGGCCTTGGGCTGGCGGTACGGCGCGGGCTGGTACGCCGACTCCCGCGCCGGCGGCTGGTAGTCGCGCGCCGGCGCGCGCGCCGGTGCGCGGCGGGTGTCGGCGAAGCGGTCGTCCGCGCCGCCCCAGCCCAGGGAGAACGACGAGCCGCCGCCCGGCGGCGCGTGCAACCGCGTCGACGATCGATCGGTGAGGACGTTGCCGCAGTTCTGGTTGGCGCCGTTGGCGAAGGCGTTGCTCGAGCCGTGGCGGACCGCGGCGCTGGAGCCGTGGGCGTAGGACTCGGAGCCGTGGGCGTAGGGCTCCTCGCGCGGCTGCTGGAGCCGGGGCTGCTCGCGGCGCGAGTCGTCGCGCGGCTGCCCGCGGTGGTGCCGGGGCTGCGCCGGGAGCGGCGCGCTGTCGTCGCCGAAGCAGATGCTCGAGCGCCCGCCGGGCGGCGCGTGGAGGCGCGTCGTCGACCGGTCCGTGATCACGTTGCCGCAGTTCTGGTTCGCGCCGTTGGCGTAGGCGCTCGACGAGCCGTTGCGGAGCGCCGCCGAGGCGCCGAACTGCATCTTCCCGTCGCGGCCGAGCTGGCTCACGTTGTTCTGGCGCAGGGGGAAGCGCGAGTCGTTGCCCTCGTGGGACATGATGTGCTGCATCGTTGCGTTGTGCGGCGCCGGAGAGCTTTCGGGATCCGCAACGACAAGGGCAGCGTCGGCTCGGCCCACGGCAGCATCACCGCGGACTGCCGCAAAGGAGAGCGCATCGACGCCGCCGCCGACGACGCCGTCCGCCTCCGCCGCCGACGCCGCCGTCCGCCTCCGCGGCCGTCCGCCTCCGCGCCGCCTGCGATGCTCCTGCCGAACCACATGGACCCGAACGCGGTGCCGCACGAGGCGCTCGCGCAGCGGCAGCGCGTCTTCCAGACGGGCGTCTTCATCTGCCTCATGCTCCTGCTCATGGACCCGCGGGACCCGCGGCGCGAGCAGGAGGCCGCCGTCGCGCGCGCGCGGGCCGAGGCCGAGGCCGCGGCGCTGCGGCGGCAGCGGGCGCCGACGTGGCTCGACGGCGCCGTCGGCGGCGGCGCGCGGCGGCCGCAGAACGTGACGGGCTTGTACCGCGGGTCGTGGAGCTTCGGCAACGGGACGGCGCCGGCGGACAACCGGGAGGCCCGCCTCGGCGGCGACACGGGCCGCGCCGTCGTGCAGATGGACATGTTCCGCCTCGAGGAGCTCGAGTCCATCTCGCTCGTCCGCGCGTTGGTGTCGCTGTCGGCGCCGCCCGGCGGCGCGCGCGGCCGCCGCGACATCTTCGCGTCGGCCTTCGGCGTCTACTTCCACGGCGCGCGCACCGCGGCGCTCCTCGGCAACGTCGGCGAGCCCACGGAGGCCGGCGTCGACCTCGAGCGGCGGAACGCGTCCGGTCGGAACGCGACCGCGGGCGCCGCGGCGCCGGGAAGCGACCGCGGCCGGGCGGGCCGGCGGCGCCGCGACGGCCCCCCGCGCAAGGACGGCGCGCGGCGCCGCGACGGCCCGCGCGCCGGCCCGCGCGCCGCCGCCGACGAGCCCCCCGGCCGCGGCGACGCCGGCGGCGCCGGCCACCGGCGCCTCGCGGCGCGCCTCCGCCGCGACCACCCGCGCCTCGCGGACGCCGTCGACGACGACACGCTCGCGGCGGCCCTCGACAACCTGCGCCGGCGCCTCGGCGACAGGGCGCGCACGGTCGTGTCGTCGCGGCCGTTGCCCGACGCGTTCTTCGCCGACGACCACGCGTACGACCTCGTGCTCGCGCGGGAGTCCACGAAGAAGGACGCCGAGGCCAAGGACCCGTCGGCGTCCACGGTCGTGTCCCGGGCCGACGCCCTGCCGCCGCGCACGCCCCTGCGCCTGCCCCCGGACGCGGCGTTCGCCTACCCGAGCTCGCCGTTCACGTCGACGCTCTGGCGCGACGGCAAGTGCGCGCTCCACGTGGACCTCGTCGCGTCCGACGACAAGGCGGCGAAGAGGGCCATCCGGCACTACCGCAAGTCGACGCCCTTCGTGACGACGCTCGCGGGCGTCGTGCGGTCGCCGGGCTGCGGCTTCCGCCTCGACGTCGAGGCGACGGCGACGCGCGTCGCCTGGGACGCGGCGCGGAGCCAGGGCGCGTGGTACTCGACGCTCATGACCGCCGTCTGCCTCGCGCAGATCTTCGCCCTCTTCAAGCAGGTCCACTTCTGCCGGACGCAGACCGTCGCGGCGCGCGTGTCGCTGCTGTCCGTGTCCATGCAGGCGCTGCTGGACGCGGTGCTCTGCGTCGCGAACCTGTTGCTGTGCGCGGCGGTGAACGCGCTCTTCGCGTCCTTCGCCACGGTCGCCTTCTTCAAGCTCGTCGTCTTCTGCGTCGTCGAGATGCGTTATCTGCTATTGGTCTTCCAGGCGCACGACCCCCAGCGGTCGCTGAGCGACGGCTGGGGCGCGCGCCGCGAGCTCGCGTACCTCCACGCGCGCTTCTACGGCGCCCTCTTCGCGGCGCTGCTCGTCCTCTACGCCGCGCGCGACGACGCGCGCGTCGTCGTCGTCGCCGCGTACTCGTTCTGGGTGCCGCAGATTTTCCGCAACGCGAAGCTCAACGCGCGCGAGCCCGTCTGCGACGCCTACCTCTACGGCATGGCCGCGAGCCGCCTGCTCCTGCCGCTCTACTGCCTCTGCGACCCGGACGGCCTGCCCCGCGTGCTCGTCGTGCCGTCGCCGGGCGCGCCGACCTACGGCGCGAGGGCGGCCTTCGCGCTGGTGCTCGTGGCCTGGCAGGGCGTCCAGGTCGGGCTGTTGAAGCTCCAGCAGCACTACGGCGCGCGCTGCTTCGTGCCCGCGGCGCTGATCCCGAAGCCCTACGACTACCGGCGGCCCATCGCGCACCTCGTCAAGGGCGACGACGCGAACCTCGAGTGCCCCATCTGCATGGGCGACGTCGCCTGCGACGGGGCGCACCACCTCGTGACGCCCTGCGACCACGTCTTCCACGACGTCTGCCTGGGCCAGTGGATGGACCTGAAGACGGAGTGCCCGGTGTGCCGCGCGCAGCTCCCGCCGGTCGACGCGGGCGACGACGACGGCGCGGGGGCGGGCGGCGATTCGCCGCCGAACCCGTAAGCGTCTACTTTGTTTTGGCGCGCCCTCACCCTTGTGACCCGAACCTGTGGCGAGAAATCGCTGAAAACGACGTCGCTCTCCGGGCACACAACATCCTCCGTTAAAACAGCCGCGTCTCCCGCCTCCCCCGCGCGCGGATCTTGCCGTCGGCGAGGGTCGCCTCGGAGAGGGAGTGGTCGAGGGCGTCGGCCTGCTCGTCGTGGTGGACGAGGCCGTCGACGGCGAGCGCGCGGTCGCGGCGCGGCGTCCAGGAGCGGACCTTGGCGCCCTGGGCCGCCTGGCGCCAGCCGTGGCGCGCCTCGCGGACCCACTTGTCGCCGGCGTCGTCGCCGGCGGCGTCGCCGACGCCCCAGAGCGCCTCGAGGGCCTTGGCGGCGCGCGCGTTGAGCGCGGCCTTCTTCTGCTCCTGGTCGAAGTGGTCGACCGCGCGCTCGAGGTCGTCGAGCTTCACGGCGCCGTCGCGGTAGTCCGCGTGCTTCCGCAGGTTCGCGAGCTTGTCGTCGCAGAGCCAGTGGACGAGGTCGCGCCGCGGCCCGGAGAGGTGCGTCTGGATCTGGAGCAGCGTGAGGACGCCGTCGCGCGCGAAGCGCGCGAGCACGCTCCGCACGGGCGGCGGCGTGCGCTCGCGGACGGGCGCCGCGGCGAGCGCCGCGGCCTCGGCGCGCGCCGCGTCCTCGGCGGCCTCCGCGCGCGCGGCGGCCTCGGCCTTGCGCCGCCGCCTACGGGACCGGAGGCGCCGGATCTTCGACGGCGTCTCGATGCGGAAGGGCTCGGGCCGGGGCGGGCCGCTGACCCGCGGGCCGATGGTCGGCAGTTTCACGGTCCCGAGGGGCCGGATCGCGAAGGCGCAGGACGCGCTGTGGCCCGCGATGGAGTCCTCGGGCACCTCGACGTGCGCCGCGGTCGCCTCGGTCAGCGCGAGCGACGCGGCCGACTGCTTGACGGCCGGCGTCGCCGCGCGCGCGCAGGCCGCGCAGAGCCGCGTGCCCACGAGCTCGCGCACGTCGTCGGCGCCGCCGCACCACGCGCACGCGCGCGCGACGGCGCCCGCGGACGCCTCCGACGCCTCGGAGACCTTCGTCCGCACGTCGAAGCGCACGGACTTGGGCCGCGTCGTCGACGGCCGGCTGTCGACGCCCGTGGGCGGGCGGCTCGCGGCGCCGGCGTCGCCCTCGACGCGCGTCGACGGCCGGCTGTCCGAGGGCGCGTCGCCGCGCGACGACCGCGCGGGCCGCGCGTCGTCCTCGAACCGCGTCGACGGGCGGCTGTCGGGGACGGCGTCGCCCCGCGACGACCGGCCGGGCCGCGCGTCGTCCTCGAAGCGCGTCGACGGGCGGCTGTCCGCGGGCATGTCGTTTTCGAAGCGCGTCGTCGACGGCCGGCTGTCGCCCGACTCGCGCGAGAGGCGCTGGCTCGGTCGATCGCCCGACTCGCGCGAGAGGCGCTGGCTCGGTCGATTGCCGGACTCGCGCGAGAGGCGCTGGCCCGGTCGATCGCCCGGCTCCCGCGGGTGCTCGCCCGACTCCCGCGACGCCCGCGGCGTCCGGGCTTCGCGCGACGCCCGCCGGCTGCCGCGCTTCGGCGCCGCGAAGTCGGCCGCGCCGAAGCGGACGTCCGCCGCGTCGCCGCGCCGCCGCGCGCGCTCCTCGCCCGCGGTGACGCGCGCGAGGCGCTCGAGGCGCAGGGCCGTGCCGCAGGTCGGCGGCCGCGCGTCGCGCTGCTTCGACGGCGAGGACGCCGCCTCCGGCCCCGCCGCGGCCGGCGGCGGCGCCTCCTCGTCGCCGCCGCCGCCGGGCCGCAGGAAGCCGCAGCCCTCGAGCCGCGCGCGCGCGGGCAGCGACAGCGTGCCCCGGTCGCGCTGGCGCCGCTGCCTCCGCGCCCAGGCGCCGAGGCCCGCGAACTCGCCGCCGACGTCGCCCACGGCGAAGGTCCCGTGGGCCTGGCGGTAGCGCAAGAGGAGCTTGAAAAAGCGCTGCCACTCCTCGCCGAGCTGGTAGCTGTGCTCCTTGTGCACCTGGATGTTCGCCTTGCGCCACGACGGCGCGACGCCGCCCCGGGGCTGCTTGTTTTTTTTGCGGGCGCCCATGGGCTTTTTAGGGCAGGGCTAGCGCCATGCCGCTCTCCCTAGTCCAACTAGGGATCCCAGTAGGGCTAGGTGCGACGACGTCGACGCCCGCGAGCTGGGGCCCACCCGAGGGCCAATCGCAGCGCCTGAGGGTGCCCGGCGACTCAGGCCAGCACGAGGAGCACGCGCGACGGGCTGCCCATGGGTGTCATGCGCGACATCCATCATCCAGGCCTTCATCCTCTGCGTAAAAATACCCCAGGCGAACGCGGTCCAGATCGGCCGCCTCTGTTGTGACGCCCGGGGATTGAAGCACCAGCGACGTGCTTGGCGGCGTCCTTCGCGTGTGGGGAGCGCGTCAGAGGGGCCGTTTGCGCGGCGGAGCCTCACGGGTGGACGGCGGACGACGTGGTGCAGCACGCGCGGGCAAAAACGCGGTCGTCTAAGCTGCTTCGGCGCTTCGGCGACCGAGTTTTTGCCCGCAACGCTCTTCTGCGCGCCTGCCGAGGCGGTCGCGCTCCCGCCGACGGTCTTAGGATCGGCCCGGGCCGCAACTGACTTGGCGGGCCGCAGAAGCCATCACTAGTCGTCGCCGCTCCGTGGGGCCGCGCGCGGAACGCCCGATCGGACGACAGGGGAGCCGCCGACCCGCCGCCGCGCCTCCCGAGCGCCTCCCCGACCCGCTCCGCCCCGCAGGTTACCATGAAGGCTGTCGCGTACCTCATCCTCGCCGCGGCGTCGGTGAGCGCGTTCGTCGCGCCCAAGCACATGCCCTCGTCGCTCGTCGCTCAGACGACGGACTCACTCGTCGCGCTCGAGGCGTGCCGGCGGAACACGAAGAAGGAGAAGCGTCAGCGCAACCAGGTCAGGATCAGTGTCCTCGAGACTCTGGATGCGCGCGCGCCACAACCCTCAAATCCCTTGCAAACATTCCTCCCCGCGTCGCAGGAGAACATGCGGAAGTTCAAGCGTGGCGCGGCGCCGGCCCAGCGGGGCGCGGGCGGCAAGAAGAAGAGCTTGAGCCGCAAGAAGTTGACGCTCAAGGCCCAGTCGTGCGCAACTCAGCGTCCTGCAGCCGTGACGACTTTCGAGAGGTTTTTGACCGGGAAACAACGAAAATGCTTCGTAGGGCCAAGGAGAAGGGGCGCGAGGCCACGTTCATGTCCAAGCTGTTCCTCGCTACGGGCGGCGTCCAGCAGGAGACGCTCGACCTCGGCGTGCTCTAGAGCGAGCAGCCTTCGGACGGCGCGAGGCGCCGCGCCCGCGCGACCGTCGCGCGATCCCCCGATAACACGTGTACCTCGGAAGTTCCCAGCTGGCCCGAGTCGGGTGGCGGACTCCGGCGGCGCGTCCGGGGCTGGGCGCGACACAGTACGGCTCCGGTGGGCACCTACGACGTCCCCGGCTGCTACGGCAACACCCGGGGCCGGGCGTATCCACGGACTTATCCACGGCAACATCCCCCTCCTAAAAAAGCTCTGCGTCTGAAACGCCGGGGGCTGCGTCTGAACAGGCGAAGTCGTTCCGCATCCATGGCGCGTCGGTGGTCGCTGGCGTTCGCCGTCGCCCTCGGCGCGGCGCCCACCGGGGGCGCGTACCTCGAGGGCTGCGGCCTCGCGGTCTGGGCGGCGGGCGACGAGGGCGCGTCGTGCACGACGACCTGCGCCGGGCACCACAACGCCACCTGCGACGCCGACGCGCTCGCGCTCGCGGCGGACGAGGACGTCTTCGCCGCCGTCAACGTCACCTGCGACGCGACGGAGGCCAAGGACGCCGACTTCGCGCCCTTCTTCAACGCCAACGGCGCGTGTTCGCCCATGGCCGACGGCGGCGCCTACAGCTGCGGCGCGACGCCCAAGGGGTCGAAGCGGCGCGTCTGCGCCTGCTGCACCGGCGGCGCGGCGCCGTCGAAGGCCCCGAGCGCGCCGCCGACGGCCATGGGCACCTACGCGCCCACCGCGCCGTCCGGCGCGCCGTCCTACGCGCCCACCGCGCCGTCCGCTTCGCCGTCGTACGCGCCGACCGCGCCGACGGCGAGCCCGTCCTACGGCCCCACGGTGACCCCGACGAGCGCCGCGCCGACGCACGTCCCCGTCCCGGCGCCGTCGCGGTCGCCGACGACGCACCTGCGGCCCACGGTCTACGTCACGCCCGAGCCCACGGTCAAGTGCGCGGCGATCGGCTGGCTCCTGGGCGCGGCCGCCGAGTCCTGCAGCGAGACCTGCGCGCGGGACCACAGAGCCTGCCACGACGACGAGGCCGACGCCGCGCGGGACCGCGTCGACGAGTGGGGCGAGGTCGCGGCGATGGTCGCGGCGCGCGGCGGCGACGCGTGCGCGGGCGGCTGGGTCAACGGCAACGCCATGGCGCCCTACGTGAACACGAACAACGGCAACTGCTTCGGCCGGGGGCCCGACGCCGCCGTCGCGGGCTTCTGCGGCCTCGCGGCCGAGGCGAAGCGGCGGCTGTGCCCGTGCTGCTCGTCGGGCTTCGCGCCGAGCCCCGAGCCGACGAAGCGCGAGCGGCCGGACTGGCAGGGCTTCCCCGAGGAGCCGCAGGAGGACGACGACGACGACGACTCGTCCTACAACTCGCGCGCGGGCATCCTGTCCTCGGGCGCGCAGGCCGGCGCGGGCGTCGCCGGCGTCGCGCTGACCATCTTCGCCATCTACAAGCTCCTCAAGTGCCACCACATGGGCCTCGAGAACACGGGCATCTTCAAGGAGAAGTACCGCCGCTCCTCCTTCTCCAAGAAGGAGGTCGGCGCGCCCTCGAAGGTCGCGTCCGTCTTCGAGGAGGACCGCCGGCGCACGGGCGTCGCCGTCGTCATCGAGGACAAGGCGCCGGCCTACGCCGACTCGGGCTTCTCCTGATGGAGCGGCGCGTGCGGGGGCGGTAACGACGCGCGAGCGCGGGGACGAGTCCGGGCGGCGCCGGGCGATGGCTCCACGGGCTTCTTTTCGAGCGCCGCGGATCTGTGGCAGAGGAGCATGGAGCCCGAGAAGCTGTCTTAAAACGCCATGGACTCCTCGCACCTCCAGTCGTCGACGACCATCCAATACTCGGCCATCACCGACGACGCCCTCCCGACGTACGAGGTCGAAGGCAAGTGGCTCGTCGCCTGCGAGGCCATCACGACCGTCGTGTCGCGGGCCTGGGAGTTCGCTTTGCCGCTGGCCCTCCTGGGCGTCTGGGGCGGCGACGAGCTGTCCCTGCGGGCGCCCGCGGCGCTGGCGCTGGCCGTGACGCTCGCGACGACCCTCTTCTCGCCGCGCATCGGCAAATGGGCCGACGGACAGGACCGCCTCTTCGCCGCGCGCGTGTCGCGCGCGTTCCAGGTCGCGGGGACGGCCTGCAGCGTCGGCGCCGTGCTGAGCATGGCGTCGGAGGACACGGCGGGCTTCCGGAACTGGCTCGCGCTGGCGCTCGGCGGCGCGTCCGTCGAGGCGCTCGGCGGCGTCGTCACGCGCGGCGGGCCGAAGAAGGACTGGGCGCCCGCGCTCTTCGAGGGGGAGGCGCTGGGCGGCGCGCTGTCGAAGACGACGGTGGCCCTGTCGAACGCGGCCCAGGTCGGCGAGATTCTAGGGCCGTTTCTGGGCGCGACGGCGATCTCGTCCCTCGGGCCCGTCGTCGGCGCGGGCGTCGTCGGGGGCCTCGCGGCGGCCGGCGAGCTCCCCGCGCAGCTCATCCTCGACGGCCTCTACCGCCGGAACGCGGCGCTGCGGACGCCGCCGCCGCCGGAAGACGCGGCCGCGGAACACGGCGGCGGCGCGTGGGCGCGGTGCTGGCGCCAGCCGGGCGGCACGGCGCTGCTGACGGGGTCCTTCGGCTGCCTCTTCTTCACGGCGCTCGCCCCCCACGGCCCCGTGCTCACGGCCTTCCTCGCGACGCGCGGCGTCGACCCGCGGGCCATCGCCGTCTTCCGGACGCTCGGCGCCTTCGCGGGCATCGGCGGCATCTACGCGTTCGGGAAAGCGGCCGACGGCGTCGCGAAGCGGGCCGGCGACGCGCCCGGCGCCCAGGCGGCCGCGCGCGTCGTCGCCCTGCGGTCCGCGTCCTTTTGGGCCCTCGGCTTCCAGTGCTGCGCCGCCGTCGGGGCCGCCGCGGCGCTCGCCGCGGCCTACGGGCCCGGCGCGGTCCCGGGGCTCGCCGCGTTCATGGCGGCCGTCGTGCTGAGCCGCGCGGGGCTCTACGCCTACGACGTGGGCTACCTCGAGCTCCAGCAGCTGCTGGTCGACGAGCGCGACCGCGGCGCCTGCCAGGGCGTCGAGGCGGCGCTCTGCGGCGGCAACGAGCTGCTGCTCGCGCTCGTGACGCTCTGCTTCTTCCACGACCCGCGCGACTTCGGCGCGCTCGCGGCGCTGAGCGCGCTCTTCGTCGGCCTCGCGCTCGCGCTCTTCGCCGCCTGGGCCGCGCTCTACCACGTCCACGACCACGACCACGGCCGCGGCGACCACCCCCACGAGCACACGCCCCAGCAGGCCAAGGCCCTCGACGAGAGCGGCGCGAAGCGCCACGTCCACGTCCACCGCGCGGACCACGGCGCCCACGACCACGGCCACGGCCACCACGACCACGGCCACGACCGCGCCTAGGCCCCGGTAACTCCGCCGCGTTAGGCCGCGTCCTCCTCCTGCGCGACGCGCGCGCCCTTGGCCACGAGCTCCGTCGCGGGTTTCGGCGGCTCCGCGCGCTGCGCGAGGATCCAGTCGTAGGTGCCCATGCCGAGGACCGCGAGGTAGGCGTGGAACGCGAAGAGGCTCGCGTACGCGAGGAAGATGCACAGCGACGCGACGCCGCACGCGCCGAAGAGGACGATCGCCGCCGCGTGGAGCGAGCCTCGACAGCTCGCGACGACGAAGGCGCAGGCGCCTAAAAGGGTGCGTCGTTTTCGAACACTCTCTCGAAGCTCCCGGGACGCCGGGTGCCCGCCGGCGGCGACCGCGTACTGGGCCGTGCCGAACGCCGCGACGGCGAAGAAGGGCACGTAGTTGGAGCGGCCGACGCTCACGTTGAGCCAGGTGCAGAAGTGGTCCAGGCCCGCGACGACGCTCTTGTGCTCGCGGCAGTAGCGCGCCTTCGTCCACCGCTCCGTCTCCGGCAGGAACTTCGAGAAGCAGCTCGGCTCCGTCGGCGGGTGCGTCTCGAGGAAGAGCCAGCAGCAGAGGCCCACGCAGACGCAGAACGCGTGCGGGAGCACGGCGTAGGCCAGCGCGCCCTCGTCGCACCGCTTGCGCTGCCGCAGTAGGACGAAGCTCACCAGGCCGTAGAACAGGCCCGTCGCCAGCGCGTTGCCGACCCACGACGCGACCTGGTTCGTCGTCAAGGGCCGGTCGAAGCCGACGCGCCGCGGCGGCTTCGCCGCGCTCATCGGCGCGACGAGACGTCGCGGTGGCGCTCCAACAGGGCGGCCTGAAGGACGGCCAGACTTTTTAAAAACCATACTTGAAGGCATGTTGAAGCGCCCCACGCCGTGGTGCGGAAGAGCGTCCGATCGCCACAGCAGAACCGAGGACACACAACTGTACATTAGAGGGGCAGCCTCGCGTCGTGGCCGTGGTCCGCCGGGTAGAAGCACCGCTCGACGCCGAAGAGCGCGGCGCCGTGGAGGTAGATGCCGAGGAGCATGGCGTGGGCGATCTGGGACACATCGGAGTCGAAGACGCAGAAGCAGGAGCCGACGAAGCCCGTGTACCAGTGGTGGAAGTGCGCGGCCGTGTCCCCGGGGGCCACGACGAGCAGCCCGTGCCCGCCGACGACGAACGCCGCGAGGCCGAGCGCCTGGGCCGCGGAGAAGGGCGCGTCGCCCGGCGCCCGGGTCGCGTTCCGCGCGGCGGCGAGCGCGAGGTGGTTCGCCAGCAGGCCGCCGACGATGGACGCCGTGAACGCCATGAGCGCGAGCGTGTGCACGTTGCCTGCGCCGAGGGCCCCGTCCGCCGGGGGAAGGAGGAAACGGGTTTTCGCGGGACGCCGGCGCCGCGCGCACGCAGTCGCGCGTGAGCTCGATGTTCGCGTGGCGCAGGAGCTCGAAGAGGACGCCGTAGCCGAAGGTGAAGAACGCGAGCCACGCGAAGAAGACAAAGGGGTCCGCCGCGACGCGCGCGCCGACGCGGCCGGCGAGGAAGAGCAGCCCGCTCAGCACGCACATGCGCAGCAGGTCCTCCTTGTGCGTCGCGGCGTGCTTCTCGTTCATCTTCCAGCCGCGCCTCGCGGCGACGGCGCGCTGCGCGCCGTAGAGCGCGACGTTGACACCGAGCCAGGCGACGAGGCCCTCGACCGTCGCGTAGGGCGACAGGTAGGCCGGCAGGTCCTGGCGGTCCGCCGTGTACACGCCCTCCCTGAGCAGGGCCCAGCTCAGCGGCGCCACGTAGACGGCCAGCAGCGAGAAGAAGGTGCGCGGCACGGGCGTCGCGGCGTCGGCGCCGCTCGCCGTCGTCTCCAGCGTCGACTTCGGGCTGCCGCTCATGAGCGCGTCGTCCTCGTCGGCGACGGGCGACTCGGGCAGCATCTCTCGTCTCGCTGGCGCCGATGATTCAGCTCTAGTAGCACATCATGCAATTGACATCATGCCCATTTTCTTGTGGCAATTTTGGGGAAGCGCAATGGAACGCTCTGCTGGGATTTAGTGCTATTTGCCGCCGCGCTGTGACGACCACGAGCCATGGTTCGCGTGCTCGACCTGCTGCCCGAAGATGTCGAGGCGCTGGGCTTCGACGAGGTCTCGGAGAGCGAGGTCTCCGAGGAGTCGTCCAGCGTCGAGCTCGGCACCGTCGTGCACGCGGACGCGCCGCGCGACGCGGACGCGCCGCGCGTCGCGCGGCGCGCCGCGGTGCGGCAGACGACGGACCCGCGCGAGCTGCAAGAGGCCATCGCCGCGTCGCGCGCCGAGGCCGCGCGCGCGGCGGCCGTCCGGCGGACGACGGACGCGGACGAGCTCGCGGCGGCCAAGGCCGAGTCCGCGGCCTACGAGGCGTCCAAGGAGGCCGAGCAGCGGCGCCGGCGGTTCCGCGCGGAGGACGCCGCGGCGGACCGGAGCCGGGGCCTCGCGGCGCTCAACGCGCGGACGCTCGAGGCCGTCGCCGCCGCGCTCGCGAGCGACGGCGGCGGCCGCGACTGCACGCGCGCGCTCGAGCGCGTCCTCGGCGACTACGCGCGCGACGCGCGGCGCCTCGACGCCGCGCGGCGCGCCGCGGACCCCTACGCCGCGTCGCTCGGGGACGACGCGCCGCGCGCGGCGGGGGCGCCGGCCGAGGACCGGCGCCGGCGGCGCGACCGGCGGCGCGACGCCGCGGGCTGCGGCGGCGGCGAGATCCTGCGGCTCGGGTTCCGCGCCTTCGGCGGCGCGCGGCGGCGGCGGCGGCGCCTGCCGGACCCGCCGGGAGTGGCGACGCTCCGCACGGGCCGGGACCTGCTCGCGGCGCGCCTCGCGGCGCACGGCAAGCGCATCTTCGACGTGAGAGGCGACGGCGCGTGCCAGTTCCGCGCCGTCGCCCACGGCCTCTGGGGCACGGAGAGCCACCACGCGCTCGTGCGGCGCCAGGCGCTCGCCGCGCTCGACGCGCGGCGCCCGCCGTTCCACGACTGCGAGGTCTACGCGTCCAACGCGGACGGCGATTTGTGCACGCTCGACGTCGGCGACGACGTCGAAGCCTACCTCCGCGCGCTCGCCGACGACCGCTCCTGGGGCGACCAGAACACGCTCCAGGCCTGCGCCGACGCGTTCCGCTGCCGCGTGCTCCTCGTCACGACGCACGCGGACAACTTCGAGCTCCGCATCGAGCCCGCGGACGACCGCGCCGCCGTCTCCGAGATCTGGGTCGGCTTCCACTCGGAGTGCCACTACGTCGCGGCCGTCGACGTGGCTTAAATAAACACCTGAGGCTTGCGCAAGGAGGCTGCAAGGTGCCTTCACACTTACCTTCACGACCAACTTCGCTGTGCGGCTCGCCGAAGGCTCGAGCTCTCGAGACTGACTGCGCCGCCGGCGTCCAAGGACCAGCCGCCACCGCCAACGCCGCCGCCGGCGCCCAAGGACACAGCGTCATCATGGCCACGGACAACAAGTACGACCGCCAGCTGCGGCTCTGGGGCGCGAACGGCCAGCGCGCGCTCGCCGAGAGCCACGTGCTGCTGCTCGGCGCGGGCCCCGCGGGCACGGAGACGCTCAAGAACCTCGTGCTGCCCGGCGTCGGGCGCTTCACGGTCGTCGACGGCGCGACGGTGAGTGAGGCGGACCTGGGCAACAACTTCTTCGTGCGGCCCGAGGACGTGGGCCGGCCGCGCGCGGCGGCGACGGCCGAGCTCCTCAAGGAGCTCAACCCCGACGTCGAGGGCTTCCACCGCGTCGCCCGGCCCGAGGAGGTCGTCGCGGCGGAGCCCGACTTCGTCGCGAGCGGCTTTTCCCTGGTCATCGCCGCGCAGCTCGAGCCCGCGGCGCTCCAGGCGCTCGGCGAGCGCTGCTGGGCGAACAACGTGCCGCTCATCGCGATCCGCGCCTACGGCCTTTTGGGCGTCGTGCGGCTCCAGGTGCGGCGCCTCGAGGTCGTCGAGTCGAAGCCGGACAACGTCGCCTGGGACCTCCGGTTGGCGGCGCCGTTCCCCGAGCTCGAGGCCGCGGCCGACGCGCTCGATCTCGACGGCATGGCCGACGCGGACCACGCGCACGCGCCCTACGTGCTCGTGCTCGCGAAGCTCGCCAAGGCCTGGCGCGTGAGCCACGGCGGCGCGTCGCCGAAGACGCGCGCGGAGAAGGACGAGTTCCGGGCGCTGGTCGCGGGCGCCGCGCGAGAGCTGCCGTCGAAGGTGCCGGAAATGAACATCGAGGAGGCGTCCAACGAGGCGTACCGCTGCTGGGCGGACCCCCGCGAGCTGCCCTGGGAGGCCCAGGCCTGGATCGACGACGCCCGGGCCGCGCCGGACGCGCCGTCCGAGGGCCGCCGCGGCTCCGTCGGCTCCGAGGCCGCGCCCGCCGCGCCGCCGTCGGCGACGCACGTCGCCGTCGCGAGCGTCGCCGCCTTCATGGACGCCCACGGCGGCCTGCCGCCGTTGAGCGGCGCCGTGCCGGACATGCACGCGGACACGGCGTCCTTCGTGGCCCTCCAGAAGCTCTACGCGGCGCGCGCGGACGCCGACCGCGCGGCGTGCCTCGCGATCTTCGCCGCGAAGCTCGCCGAGGCGACGGGCGCGCCGCCGACGGCCGACGAGGCCGCGGCGCTCGCCCTCGTCTGCAAGCACGTCCGCGACGTCAAGCTCGTCGCGACGCGGTCGCTCGCGGACGAGCTCGCCGCGCCGAATTTAGGCGAGGCCGCGACGGCGCTCTTCGAGACGGACGACGCGCGCGAGAAGGCCCAGGCGCCCGTGGTCTGGTACGCGGCGCTCCGCGCGGCGGACCGCTTCTTCGTCAAGCGCGGCGCGTGGCCGGGCGCGGACGGCGCGGACCTCGCGGCGGACGCCGCCGCCGTCGCGGACGAGCTCCGCGCCTTCGTCACGGAGGCCGACTGCGCCGACGCCTTCGACGGCGTCCTCTCCGAGGCCCACGCCAAGGAGATCGCGCGCTTCGGCGCCGCGGAGCTCCACGCGATCGCCGCCGTCGTCGGCGGCGTCGCGAGCCAGGAGGCCGTCAAGGTCCTCGCCAAGCAGTACACGCCCATCGACCACACCTACCTCTTCAACGGCATCGCCGCCACCGCCGCCATCATCGACGTCTAGGGCGGTAAGGGGCCGGACAGCGCGGTGCGGGGCGGCGGGTGCTCGCTGGGACCCCGTCTTCCACCCGCGGCCTCGAGGTCGCGCCCTGCAGCGGTGGTGCAGGTTGGTGCCTAGCCTGGGGAAAGGGGCGGAGGCCTCGGTCGCGTTCGCGTTCGCGTTCGCCTCGGGGGCCGCCCAAGTGGCCGCCCATTCGACTTCAACGACGCCAACGAGGGCTTGGGAATGGGTGGACACTGATCACGGCAGTCGCCATTGCAGTTATCCCACGATTCCCACGCACCGTCGCTCTCTGTACACTATGCGCATTCAAGCCGGTGCAAAAGTGCAGCCAGCGGCGCTCACGACGGTCGTGAGGCTCGTCGAGGAGCGCGCGGCCGCGAAGAGCCAGCAGCCCGCCGCGGAGAGCCGCGGCGACGCCGGCGCCGCAACCAAAGGCAGCAAGCACTGGGCCAAGCTCAAGCGCAAGTCGACGCGGGCCCAGATCACGTCGACTTTTCGCGCGCTCATCGGACACGACGCGGAGCACGAGGCGGCGCACCGCTTCAAGGAGAAGGTCGGCTTCGCCTGCCTCGAGCACGCGATGCTCGTCGGCGAGAACTGCCTGTCGCGCGCGGCGGACGCGCTGCGCCTCAAGCGGCTCGCCAGGGCGCGGGAGGCGCCGCGGCGCGCGGGCCTCCTCGCGCGGCTCTTCCGCCGCCGCGCCGCCGCGCCGGCGGCGTCGGCCGTCGGCGGCGCTCGCGCGCTCTACTTCGAGCCCGCGTCCGTCGACGCGTTGGTCTCCGCGCTGCCCGGCGTCGGCTTCGAGCTCACCAAGGGCCTGCGCGTCGTCGTGCCGGCCTGCGGCCTCTACCTCGTGTCCCACATGTGCCACGCGGACTGGCGGCGGGCCGGCCGCGAGTGGGCCGAGACGCGGCGGCCGTCGACGACGCTCCTCTTCTATCTCGCGGCGCTCTGCGACGCCCTCGACGCCCTCGTCCACGCCGTCGTCGTCGTCGCCCACGCCGACTACTGCCGCGGCGGCCACGTCGTCTCCCACCACGCACTCCACGACCTCGAGTCCCTCGGCGTCCAGCTCGCGTTCGCCGCCTTCTGCTGCGCGGTCCTCGGCGAGGTCCTCTCCAAGAACGCCGCCGCGCGCCGCAAGGCGAAGGCGCGCTAAGCATCTATCGTTTCTCCCATGGCGCACGCACGAAAACCTTCAGCGTGAAGTTTTCAAGGAGCCTTCGAGGCTCGCCCAAAAAGCCACAACGGCAAGGGTGGCGCACTCGGTGGCGCTCGTCATCGTCTGCGCCGCAGCCTCGCGCGCCTCGCGACGCATTACGCCAGGACAATGGCGGCGTCACGCGTCGTCTCCGAGAGCACGGCGGTCTGGCTTGTGCTGCTCAACGTCACGCTCTACGCCGTGTGCTACCAGCTCCAGCGCCCGGTCGAGCCCTTCCTCGTCAAGAGCCTCAGCGAGGGCGCCGACGGCGCGGAGGTCGCCAGGACCTACGGCCGACTCCAGTCCTTCTTCTCCTTCGTGCAGACCATCGGCAGCCCCGTCGTCGGCGCGCTGCTCGACGCCGTCGGCGCGCGCGCGTGCTCCGTCGTCGTCTTCGCGGCGTCGGCCGCGTCCTACGGCGCGCTGGCCTCGGCGACGTCCGTGCGGCACCTCTTCCTGTCCAAGCTCGCGGCGGCGCTGCAGCACGGCTTCCTCGTCGCGCAAGCCTGCGTCGCGAGCGCGACGGCGTCCGGCGACCCGGCGGCGCGCGCGGCGGCGCTCGGCCGGCTCACGACGGCCTACACGATCGGCGCGACGATCGGCCCGACGCTCGGCGGCTGGTTCGGCGCGCGCGGGGACCTCTACCGCGGCGCGCGCCTCGCCGTCGCCGGGAGCCTGCTCTCGGCGGCGCTCTCGCTCCTCCTCCCCGGCGCGGCGGCGGCGCCCGCGGGCGCGACGGCGGGCGGCCGCGCGTCGCTGGCGAAGACGCTGGAGATCGCGCGGCGGCCGGCCGTGCGGCCGCTCCTCGCCGTCAAGGTCGTCGGCTCCGTCGCGGCGTCGATGCACTCCACGGCGGCGCCGCTCGTGCTCACGCAGCGCGTCGGCCTCGACGCCTCCGCTCTGGGCCTGTCCATGTCCGCGTCGTCCGTCGCCGTCGCGGCGCTCGGCGCCTTCGCGATGGCGCCGCTCGTCGCGCGCGTCGGCGCGCCCGGCTGCGCGAGGCTCGGGCTCGCGGTCCGCGGCGCGCTCGTCCTCGCGCTCGGCGGTTTGTTCGCGGCGGCCATCGCGGCCGGGTCCGCGGGCCCGGGCCTCGCGGCCGCCGTCGTCGGCGCCTCCGTCTGCCACGCGTGCGCGGCGCACGTCTTGGCGACGTCGCTGACGACGCAGACCACGGGCCTCGCGCGGCGTCCTGTGGCGATGACGATTTCGAGAGATTTTGACGGGGAAGAACAATGAGACATCGCCACCGTCGTGCTTCGTAGGCCTCGTGAAGCCCTCCGAGCAAGGCAGCCTCATGGGACTTGAACACGGCTTGTTCAGCGGCGCGCGCGTCGTCGCGCCGCTCCTCGCGACGACGATCCTGAGCTACGGCGGCGTGGTCGCCGTTGCTCTTTGCTGCGCGACCATCGACGCCTTACTGGTCCTGGCGCTGTCCGCCGCGCCGCCGCCCGCCGCCGCCGACGCGGCGGAGGAGAAGGACAAGGAGACGTAGAATACGAGGCGACTTAAATAGCGAAAACCTACTAGGGCGACGACGGGCTTCGCGCGGCCGCGCGCTTCCGGCGGCGGAGCGCGGCGACGGCGACGGAGAGGACGGCGACGCCGGCCGCGGCGGCGGCGAACTGGCCGCGGAGCGCGGCGTCGGCGGCGGGCTCCGCGGGCTTTGACGTCGGGAAGGCGCTCAGCGACAGGGGCCGGCGCCGGGGCTTCTCGTCGCGGCCGGCGAGGTCGACGACGAGCGGCGGCGCGAACCAGAGCCTTCGCCCGAGGACGGCGCGGCCGTCGTGGCCGAGCTTGCGCCAGGACGCGTCCGTGCGCGCGCGCGCGAGGTGCGTCTGCGGCGGCAGGCCCGGCGGCTGGGCCCGCTCCGGCGCCGCGCCCCAGCCGCCGTCGACGGCGACGCCCGCCACGAGCCAGGCCTTGCCGCGGTCGCCGCATTTCGCGCGCGCGGCGGCGAGGTCGAGGCGCGCAAGTCGCACGGCGCCGGCGTTGGCGCCGAGCGCGTCGGCGACGTCGCCGAGGCCCCAGCGCGCGGGCGACGGCGCCGCGTCGGCGCCGCGGCCCGCCGCCGACGCCGCGAGCGCCTCGGCGCCGCGGCACGTCGCCGCTCGGGCCGCGGCGGCGTCGTAGCAGCCCCAGAACGTCTCCTGGCCGTCGACGGCCAGCGCGCCGCCGACGGCGAAGGCCGCGACGAGCTCCGCGGCGCCGCGGCGCGCGGCCGTCGCGACGACGTCGTCCGGCGCGTCGCCGCGGCCGCCGTCGCCGCAGGCGAGGTTCGGGTCCGGCGCGCGCGCGTGGCCCTCGGTCCAATACGCATAGGGCTCGGCGACGTCCAGAGCCAGCAGGGCGAGCCGCACGTTGCGCGGCACGTGGCCGCCGTCGTCGCCCGCGGCGGCCGGGTCGAAGAGCGCGCCGTCGCCGCCGAAGAGCCGCGGCGGGCCCGCCTTGGCGTTGGACGTCTCGACCAGCACCATGAAGCAGCGGTTCGACGCGTCGTCGTAGGACGCGGTCCGCGCCCGGTCGTAGCCCGGCGCGGCGCAGCCGCCGGGGACGGCGAGCGGCTTGTCCCACGAGGCCGCGTAGGCCCAGTCCTCCATGCCGCCGTGGACGGGGTAGACGATGGAGTTCATGCGGCTGTGGCGGTAGGGCTTGCCCCCGTCGAAGGCGCCGCCGACGGCGGCCATGGCCGCGGCGACGGCCCGTTGCGACGCGTCGTCGGGCGAGATGTCCGCGTCCGCGGCGGCCCGGAGGTCCCGCGCGTGGTCGTCGTCGCCCGGGCCCCGCAGGAGCCGCCGCCCGCGGGCGCCGTGGGCCCCGCGGGGCACGCGGACCCTGGGCGCCGCGACGCCCGCGGCGCCCGGCGGCGGCGGCCGGTTGTGGCTCGGCGCGCCCCACTCGTAGGCGATGGCCTCCATGCCGCCGTGGAAGGTCACGCCGACCTGGAAGACGTGGCGCCGGAAGAGCTCGTTGACGACGCGGCCCGTCGCGGACTTGGCGCACGCGGACGGCGCCGTGTCGATCGCGAAGTCGCCTGGGCAGCAAAAGGGTGATTCAACGTCGCTTCAACGTGAGTGTTCCGCGCGCGCGCGTTCCGGAAAAAGCATCCACGCTTCGAGACTGTTCCGAGAGATGATCGCTCGTCCAAAAGTCAGCCGAAACGAGTGGAAAACGGCAGAGATCGGAGCCTTTGAAGTTGGGAATTTCGCTCTCTTTTGCTGCCCTAGAAGTCGCGGTTCGTGTCGACCTTGACCTCGGACCGGCTCGCGTGCGCGAAGCCCCAGGGGTTCGTCATGGGCATGGCGTAGAGGACCCGCTTCCGCGCCAGGAGACCGAGCCAGCGGAGCCGCGCGGCGCCCGCCGCGCCCGCGCCGAGGCTCGCGCGCTCGCCGGGGCCCGCCGCCGCGCACCGCTCCGGGTCGATGACGCCGTCGGCCGCGCAGGACGCGCCGACGGCGAGGAGCCGCAGGAACGCGAAGGTCGACAGCGGGCCGACGCGCTCGTCGCCGTGGAGCGCGCCGCTCAGGAAGACCTCCGCGCGCGCGCTCGCGTTCGACCGCGGCGCCGCGCCCCCGCCGCGCTCGCCCGCGGCCGTGCCCGCGCCGCGCGCCGCCGCGGGCAGGCTCCCAAAGTCGGACACGACGACGACGACGTGCTCGCAGCTCCGGTGCTTCGACCCGCAGGTCCCCGCGACGCCCGCGCCGTACTGGCCCCGGTAGGCGTCCGACGCGAGGAAGACGCGCACGAAGCGCGGGTGGGCTTTGGCCAGCGCCTGGATGTCGTCGTACATGCGGTCGTAGGACACGTCGGCGTAGCGCTTGCCCCGGGACGTCGCCAGGAGGTCGCCCAGGCCCAGGAGGGCCGCCAGCCGCAGCCAGAGGGCCGCCATCGCTTCGCCTGCGATTGCACGCTTTTGCGGACGACGATGTCCTCGTGCGCGCGCCTCTAGATGCCGCCGAAGAAGGACGCGGAGGTCGACTACAAGATCGCCTGCCACCACACGCTGTCGGCCGACGGCACGGTGCTCAACAACGACGAGCCGGCGCCGCCCGAGTTCATCGCGTGGCACGAGGCGAAGACGTCGCTGCGCGCGCCGTCCGGGGCCGCGACCTGGAAGCTGAGCGAGGTGAACCTCTTCTTCCTCTCCGGCGGCGCCATCGCGCCGGCTAAATAAGACCCATGGCCGCGCTGAGGTGGGCCGCCGTCGCCCTCGGCGGCGCGCCCTTCGCGGTGTCCGTCTACGCGCTGCGCGGCGCGTGCGCGGCGGCCGCGGCGCCGGAGACGTTGCGCGCGGCGGCCTGCGAGGCCTACGCGGACTGGCCCGTCGTGGCCCTCAACCTCGTCTACTGGCCCACGTTCTGCCTGCTCTTCTGGGTCCACTCGCTCGCGGCGCGGTCGACGTGGCTCATCGACCCGTACTGGACGCTCATCCCGCTCTACGTCTACGGCTACTACGCGAGCCACCCGCTCGCGTGCGCCGCCGGGCCGCGCCAGCTCCTGGCGGCGGCGCTCCTCGGCGCCTGGAGCCTGCGGCTGAGCGGCAACTACTGGCGCCGCGAGCGCTACACGCCGGGCGCGCGCGAGGACTGGCGCTTCGCCGACGTCCGCGCGGGATTCAACGTCGCTTCAATGTGATGGTGCCGCGCGCGATTGGTCCAGCGAAAGGATCCACGCGTCGAGAGCGCTCCGAGAGATGATCGCTCGTCCAAGCATGAGCCGAAACGAGTGGAAAGCGACCGAGATCGGAGCCTTTGAAGTTGGGAATGTCGCACTCGGTTCCCGCCCAGGCCGACCTCCGCGCGGAGCTCGGCTGGCTCTGGTACCCCCTGTCCCTGCCCGTGGCCTACGGGTCCCAGCAGGGCATGCTCCTCGGCCTCACGCTCCCGCTCCGGGCGCTCTTCCTGCCCCGCGCGGGCGCGCCGCCGGCCGCCGCGGGCCTCGGCGCGGCCGACGCGGCCGCCGCGGCCCTCGCGGTCCTCGGCCTCGAGGTCGCGCGCCGCGCCGACGCGGCCCTCGCGGCCTTCGCGGCCACGCGCAAGCCCGGCGACGTCCTCGACGCGGGCCTCTGGCGCGCGTCGCGCCACCCGAACCACCTCGGCGAGCAGCTCTTCTGGGTCGGCTTCGCGGGGCTCGCGCTCGCGCACCGCGGCGCGTGGGACCCCTGCTGCCTCGGCTTCCTCCTGAACCACGTCCCGGACACGCTCGCGACGCTGCCGCTCATCGACGCGCGCATGGCCAGCGACACGAAACGCGTCCGCAACTTCCTCAAGTACGAGGCCGCCGTGCCGCTCATCTACCCCACGCCCGCGTCGATCGCCCGCGCCTTCCGCGGCGCCAAGGCCGACTGACCGCCGGCGAACGCGCGCTTTTTTCCGATCGTAGTGTTACCTCGATCCGGTGGCGGGCGCGAGTTCGGCTCGGCCCGCGGTGGGGCGCCGCGGCGGCTTGGCGAGGCCGTCGGCGCGGGGCAGCGACGCCGCGCTGAACGCGGCGTCGGGACCCCCCCGGGGGTACATATCTCTCAGAGGGGGGGTGGGGGGGGGGGGGGGGG